CCCTTCATTCTATCTGCAATTGTCGACTTGGGGACATTGTATATCTCTGCGGCGCGTCGGATACTCAAGCGCGGTGTTGATCGAATCGCATTGATCGCGAGAAGAACTCGGTTTTCTGGGAAGCTGTCGGACATTGTTGTGGTAGAGAAAACGCGTGTTGACGTTGGGTGGTTATGGTGGGGGAAAATGTGTCCGAGTCAATGGTGTGTCCGAGTCAATGGGGTGTCCGAGTCAATGGGGTGTCCGAGTCAATGGGGTGTCCGAGTCAATGGTGGATCACGTTAATGTTAGTATAACTTATAGAATGCGCATTTATAATGCGTAAAGGATAGTAGACGCATAGGCTACTCACTGATGACTCACTAAAAGACTATAAGTATAGAGTGCGCTTTTTGTTTTAGTGACCTATATAGGCAAATGGCTTACTGTAAGGTGACACACACAGGCTCATCAAGGAAGATGCACCGAATCCTCAACGAGCAGCAGGCAAAACGACTGTATTGTGCGTGCACCACTAACCAACTGACTGATCCCCGAGAGAGGGAAGTTCCAAATTCCAATCTGTCTCCCGCTCTCCAGATATCCTCCCTCTGTTGCGAGTCATGTCACTTCGCCATGAAATCCACAGTGTCTCGCCTGCCAATTGCCCAAGTGTACGGCTCATAGTGGGGCCCGTGACAATTCATCTCCCCCTTCCATGCGACTCGACCTCGAGTCAAACTCAAGACCTCTGCAAAATGCTGTGTGCACAGACCATCGCATCCACGGTATGCCTCCAGTGATTGCTGCCTTTCAAGCCTTTGTTTCCACAAGCATCATCATCATCACCGTGGTTGTCTCTTCCTATGCGTCGCTCCATCTCTTCTCCCCAGTCTCGCTACGCATCCGCCTCGTATACGTCGTCATGGACTTCTACCGCCTCGCTCCGCACGAGAAGAATCCGTGCCTCAAGTGCATGCGCAAAGATCTCAAGGATTCGGACAAAGATGACCCCGACCCACCGGAGTCTACTTGCCGCATCGATATCGGCAAGTCACTGACTAAGTGCACCCTCTGCGTGAAGAGAGGTGATCCGGGCTGCCTTCCAGTATGTTTCGCTGGCGATTTCTTGGCGATAAGCTGACACTTCGAAGGCTGCTAAAGCCATGATAGGGGATCAGCAGGACATGACTGCGCTGGTCCATTGCATTCGCGTCTTGTGCGCCAAGGAAGATAAGGACGAAGATGACGGCTTCTAGTTTCGGCCGGAGGATCGCGTCCGACTCGCCAGTGCTGCGCGGGCACTTATCGATGCATTCGACCGCAATGAGCGAGCCCATCGCCGTGAGCATGGTCTCACCGGCGAGAAGAAGACTCCTGTCGTACGTTCCCCTGCCAACTCGCTGATGTTTCGCGACTGACCATGATCAGGAGATTGTTCGTAAGTATGAGACTATCGTCAACGATCGCCGCGCCACTACGGCTGGCTTCATCGGTCCGCGTCCAACGCTTTCCAACAAGCCTGAGCGCCAGGCCCGTGTCGCCCTCGTAGGTCGTGTCTCGCCATGGTCTCGCCGCTGGTTTGCTGACGCGTCGCTACAGAACATCGCCCACTGGAACTTTGCCGCCCTCCTTCGTCTCCGTCATGGCGACGAGGGTTTTGCCGGCTGGTCGCAGGCGAAACAGGCCTGCATTTCCGTGATCGAGGAGGTAATCCGCGAGTACATGGAAGGTGAAGACGAGTATGAGGGGTTCGTGGCAGAGAATATCCCTGTTCTCGCGCAGGTTAAGGCGTGCATGGAGTGAGATTTGTTGGTGTTTCGGGCGCCGTGGGCGGAATTCTGCCTGAGTAGATACCCTGGAAATCGGTGGCACCCGGCGAATGACTGCCTTGCATTTCCTACTGCTTCGGCGTCGTAGCGGTGTTGCTCCGTTTCCTCTTCGCTGGTTTCTCGTCTTCCTGCCATCTCTGGGTCTTGGCGTTGCGACCTCCTGAGCAGGGTGATCAGTTGCTGCGCGTTTTGCATGTCTTCTTCAGGGACCCATTGGTTGAACTCTGAGGGCCATCCTTTCCACTTGACCCAAAAGAGCGTTTCGCCGTCAATTCGGCGCTCATCGCGCACCTCTTCGACTTCCCACTCCTCGTCATCTTCGAGATCTGGCATTGGCATCTGCTCCTGCCCCTGAACTTGACCATGCCAGGGTTCCAACAAACTGACAGGGAACACATCGTGAATCCGCGAATATTGCTGAGGCAAAGCCAGGCGGTACGCTAGCGAACCAACACGTTCCAACACCCGAAAAGGCCCGATGAACTTGGGCGTCAACTTATGAGGGGTCTTCAACTTCAAGTTGCGACTGGACAGCAGAACTAACTGCCCCTTGCTGAAAGCTTGGGGTTGGTGTCTTCTGTCGTAGGAAGTTCCAAGTTTCAATCTGAGTTCCCCGCTCTCCAGATATCCTCCCTCTATTGCGAGTCATGTCACTTCGCCATGAAATCCATAGTGTCTCGCCTGCCAATTGCCCAAGTATAGGGCTCATAGTGGGGGCCGTGCCACTTACCTTATCAATCTCAGTCAAGCTATATACATGTCACGGGTGGGCGCAACTGACCACTGCGTAACACCCTCAAAAGAGGGATCGTGGTTCGAACTGTCCAGTCGAACCAAGAGTTGCGCACATGAACCTCACACTGTCACGACCCGTGACAATACAAATGATTATTAAGAAACTATTAGTAGCGCTTACTAAGTACTTAGAATCTTTTTATGTATGGTTCAATAAAAATCTAGTAAAGCAGATTACTTATTTATATGGATCACTGATATATATAAACTACTTGCCTATATAGATTGCCCGTCTATATAGACCATTTGTATTAACGTTAGATTTATAGGCAGCGAGAATGGTCAGTTCAGAGGTGAGGTAGACAGGGATATCAGAAATTATGCGATGAGTATTAGGTTTTCTATCAGATAACCAAACATCTAAAGTTTAATCATTATACTGCCAGCTCTGCAGCTGTAACGGTCCCAGGAGTATATTGCAACTAGCTGGTGACGACTCTACGAGTTTGCCTCGAATGGAGAAAGAAGAAGAAAAGAGAGAACTAGATGACAGGAAGAGAGGGCAGCTCTTATATGCTCCGAAACACACAGACAATGCCTGCTTCAGGATGACGTTATCATGATACCACGGCCGAGGGTTGCCGAGGCCATCATGGGCTCAGCCCATCACAGCAGCTTCTGCATGCTCTATATTGTAAGCGCTCCTTCTAGAGATACCGTAGATACGTGGCTGTTAGACTTCCAACAACTTGCTTATATAGGTCGCTTTAACTATCTAAAATATATGATATAGCCTTGAAGCTTGTCACGGGGTGGGCGCAACTGACTTGTTGGAAAGCCAACAGCCACGATTCCACGGTGATCACACAGATGATGGGAGCTTACAACAGTGGGTTTGAGATACTCGGAGCATCCCAGATGTTCTTGATTGAAGGTTGTTCTTCTCCCACGTCTCCAGCGAAGGGGGAATCGCCCTGACCTCGTTGCCCAGCGCCCTGGTTACCCCTCACGTTGCCTGACGCTCAGTTGGGCAGCCATGCATCCAACAGCAGGGCACTTGCAGCTGAGCGTCCGAAGTTCCAGTGCCACGACTTTCCAACATGACTATCTGCGTAACACCCTCGACGGCAGGTGCCGTCACACGTTAGCATAACGAGTTAGATTGAAAGTTGTACGAAGTACTTATACTATTGGAAAGCCAACAGCCACGAATTGACTGCAACATAGCAATTGGGCACTAAAAGATGGGAAACCGCTCAATTTGATTATGTTCCCTAGTGTTTGTATTGTTCCAAAGTTGCAGGCCTCTTCCTGATCCTGAGAATCATGGTGCCAAGCCATTAGTCACCCCTGAACTGCCCTCCCTGACCACCTGCCAAATCCAACATACGAAGATACCTTCCTCGTCTGATATCACCAATTTCCGATTCCCAACAGTTTCATACCACGTGATGTCGCGTGGGGCGAGGTTATCTTATCTCCTCCGGGCTACGCGACGCGCCCATGATAGAAACCCGTGCTATTCTAAGTACAGTAAAGGACCCGAAAGCCTCATGCAAGTCATCATCGGCATGAATTCGGCCGCCCGCCCGCGTTCTTGTATCGCCGTCGGGTCCCGATTGCCGAGCTCAAGACATATAAGGCGTCAGAACGTCGCCAGTCTGCATTCAGCTGATGAGAGCAACGAAACACCCTTTAACTGAGTCAATTGATCCCCTTACCATTGAGCTGTCGGTATCCAGCAGCGTTTTGTACTCTGTTGTCGTCTCCTGACCAATTGACGACATGTCAGAGGCAGAGCAACCCACCAAGACGTACCGCGGCAACTGCCACTGCGGCGCGTACGTCTTTGAGGTCGAGGCTCCTGAAATCACGTCGCTGAGCGACTGCAAGTGCAGCATATGTAGCAAACGACAGGGAGGCTACCTGTGGGTGGAGAAGCCCCTGACCGTCATCAAGGACGAGGGCAAGCTTGTTCACTATTCGTTTGGTCCGAAGAAGGTGGACCACCAGGTGAGATCCTGAACCATTACATCGATGGCATGGCCTCTGATAGACTCCTGTTTAGTTCTGCGGCTCTTGCGGAACCACTGTCATCGCCACCATTGACCAGTTCCCGAAAGTGGGCGTCAATGTGAGTGTATGGGAAGAGACTGGAGTTCTCCACTGTTGCTGACATGGCCTAGGTCCGAGCCCTTCAAAACCTTGACCTCTGGGGCCTAGAGGTCAAGCCGTACGTGCCCTTACCCGACGCCGACTGATAACGGAATTTGTCAGCATCACTGACTGGCAACATCAGGTTCAACGCCGACACGTTTGACCCACAGTATGTGGCTCCGGCTTTCCTGGGCGTTGAGCCCACCCCGGCCGGCTTCGAGGACGGCAAGACGTACTACGGCAGCTGCCACTGCGGCGCCGTGACCACCGCCGTTCGAGTCAACGGCTCTCTCGAAAACGGTACCTACAAAGGACCAATCATTGAGTGCAACTGCAGCTTCTGTGCGCGGGTATGCAGCTTGACACCGTCCACCCATCTTATCCTAAACAACGTACTGACAAGCACACAAGGGCGGCCAAGTCTGGATCTACCCCACCTCTGCCCAGCTCGCTATTCACGGCCGGGAGAACGTGACCTACTACGCTTTTGGCCACCGCGTCTGGCGCAAGATATTCTGCAGGACGTGTGGTGTGTACATTGCCACTGAGGTGAACTCAGACCAGACCGATGACGAGATCGCCGCCTTGCCCGAGTTTGTCCGCAACTTCCGCGCCACTCATGTTGACAACAAGCCCCTGAACCTGCGTGTCTTGAACGGCGGGTTCGATTTCAGGGCCGTCAAGCCTCTCATCAGGTCGGACGGCTGGAATCGGGAGCCGCTGTATGTGAATCCCTAGGTTGGTCTGCAGGCCTGGCGTCCATCTTTTTGGATTGAGGGCAGGGAGAGGGAAGCGTAGCTCGGGAACGATACACAGGTTTGCGAACAAACTGCTTTCGACCCAAGGCGACGGTGTGCACACAGGCCACTCGTCGCTCTTACCAACGGAGTGGCTCAGTGACATGATGCTTGCGAAAGCTTGAAGGGCGGGATTGACCATCCCGGCACATCCGTTGTGTTCCCTCAGTTGTCGTACTTGGACCTATTCGTATTTTCATCCCCCCCTGCCTATTCCACCTCATCCCTCCACGGGATCGAGTCCTGCGCGCCCGCCCTCTCGACCGTCTTGGCTGCCGCCTTGTTCGCCCTCTTCACAGCCGCCTCAATGTCAAACGCTTCGTCCCTCTTGCTCACCGCATCCAGCGCATACCTCCCCACGAAGGTGTCCCCCGCGGCCGTCGTGTCGACCACCTTGGCTTTCTCTGCCGGCACAAGCCCCTTCCTCCCGTCCCGACTCATGTAGTACGCCCCCCGCCCGCCCAGCGTGACAGTCACGTTCTGCACCCCCTTCTCGATAAACCCGCCCGCCACCTTTTCCAACCCAGCCTCCTCCTCCAGCAAGCTCTCCTCCACCTCTCCCAAAATCGCCGCCTCCGTCTCGTTCAACACCAAGTGCACCAGCCCGACATACGCCTCGTCAGGCAGCTTCCTGGCAGGCGCCGGGTTAAGCAGCACGTCGACGCCCTCCCGCCTCGCAGCCTCGAGCGCAGCCAGCACCGTGCCCAACGGAATCTCCAACTGCATGATCAGCAGATCCGGCAACCGCCCGCCGTCGCCAGCCCTTTTTAACCTGTCCAGCGTGACAAAATCGCCCGGCTGCAGCGCATGGTTCGCGCCGGGCGACAGCACAATCCTGTTTTCGCCCGTCGGCTTGTCGACGATAATCAGCGCCACGCCCGTCTCCATAGGGGTAGGGGAAGACGTATGAGGAGCTTCCACGACGCCCGCGACATCGACCCCGTACCCCTTCAGGTTCGTTCGCAGCTGCGCGCCATACCCGTCCGCGCCGACACATCCGACCATGCTCACGTGTGCTGTCGCACCACCGCCACCGCCAGAAACATCATGATGATGGTGATGGTTCCTCGCCCGCGAGAGCTTGGCGCACGCCACGGCCTGGTTGGCGCCTTTGCCGCCGGGCGACGTGGCGAAGCTGTCTGCTGTGAGCGTCTCGCCTGGCAGGGGGTCTAGCATTTGTACCAGGTAAGGTTAATATCACATTTTCATCAGCAAGGGGGGACGGTGGAAAGAAGGAATTGGAATAGGCGAAGAGTGGGGCCAGGGATGATGAAGGGTGGCAGTGAATGGAAGTGCTAGGAAGTCAAGAACATACGGTGCGGGACATAAGCGACCAAGTCCATGTTGAGGGACCCGAGAATTGTGATATGTGGAATGGATGCCATTTTACCGTTTGTTTATTTCTCAAACCTGCCGTTGCTGGGATGATTGTTCCAGTTTGTGAGAACGCAGCGGGGAAGTGCAGCAGAGGAGTGAAGTCAATATTAAAACAAAACCACTGCAGTGTGGGGCAAGTTTCCATTGTTTGTCCTGTTATGCTCGCTAGTTCACCCAATGTTTGCCTTTCGTCGAATCTGCTAAGATTGATCTCGGTTCAACGAAACAATCTTGATTAGAACGAAAACTTGATTAGAACGAAAACTAATACATGGTCGCGGTGTATGCGTAGCCCTGCTAATCAATAGTGAAAGGGCGATAATCCAAGACGTTAAGCGCATCTTGGTCACAGAGCTGTTGTCGAGACACTCCAGAATATCGTACTTGATCCACAAGTCAGTTCGTTCTGCTGGTTGGCAAATAAGTCATTCAACCCCTGGAACCCGCCCCTAGGCTGTCCAACATGTATGCTTAGATGAGCTAGCTGAGGTGCTGTATCTGCCTCGAGAGCTGGACTATATACCGTCGCCCTCTTCCCGCCAACTATGTAGCAGCCCAACCATCATGTAGATCTTTGACCTGTGTCTATCCCTAAATCCAATCCGATTCCAAGTGACCACCAACGCCTTGCCATGCCCTTTGGTATCATGAATTATACAACCCAAGAACGAAATACGCTCGGCGCTCCAAAACCCAAACGCCGCCCAAAGCAAAGACAGGAAAAAAGAACATGAGAGAGCAGCGCGACAAGCCAACCTACCTCATTCCCACCACCGCCCCCTCCCCTCCCTGATATTCACTCCCCCTCGGCCACCTTCTTCCTTTTGCTCGGCCGCCTCGGCGTGTTCTCATCGCCAGCCAGCCAATGGTTCTTCTCAATTTGATGCTGCCTCAGGTTGTCCGGCCGGTTCTTATACTGGCTGGTGCAGCCCGGGTACGGACACTTGTAGATCCTGGGCGGCTCCGTGCTGTGCTGCAGCTTCTTGTGCTTGGCCATGCTGCCCTTGAACCACTGCGGGTCGCCCTTGGGGCGGTACCCGCAGATCTCGCAGCACGAGTTGGCCTCCACTTTCTGCTGCTGCTGCTGCTGCCCCGGCGGTTGCTGCTGCTCCGATGTTGTTTTCAACGTAGTGCATTGCTCTGCTTGCTCGGCGGCTGCTGGGCCGGGCGTCTGGGCGCTGGACGGCGTCCCGCCGCTACTAGACGACGTTGCTGTCGGCGTGGGAAGCTGGGCGCGGCTGGCATCGGATTTGAACGTGTGCGGGACTGCCGGCTGCAGGTCTGTGAGCGCGTCGGTTGTATTGCCCGCCTCAGAGGTCAGGTCATTAAAGAATGCATCAAGGTCGTCGAGCTGCGCTTCAGGTGCTTTGGCGCCCGAGTTATCGACTTCTGGGATCAAGCTCTCAATCAGCGAGACGCCAAGTCCGTGGTAGACATTACGCTTCGCCCTTCCCACGTCATGTTGCTCGTAGATCTGGTCGCATAGTTGTCTGACGTTGGGCACGAAGCTGCTGAAGAACTTCGTGGACGGTAGGCAACTCTGAATCTCCGGTTAGCTGAGCATAAGCGAACTGGACAAGAGGATGTACCTTGCCAGCTTGAAGCACCTCGAGCTCGATCCTTCGGACGCTGCAGATGGAGCCATCGCCGAGTCTCCCGTAAACAACTCCAAGTCTGTTCGTGAGGCAAGCATCGCCAAGCCCCTGCGAAAGCGTTTCTAATACGTATTTTGCCGTTGCCAGTAGCGCTCCGTTTACGTGGCCACCCGGGCTCATCTCCTTCAGATGCGTGATATTCAAATCAGAGACCTGCACATCGAGCGGCAGGGAACCTTGGTTAAGAACGACGCTGATTTCAAGCTCTGCTTGAGAGTCAGCCAGGATTCACGGAAGTATCGAGATAGGCTTACGTACCATCAAGGAAGTCGCGCGCTGCCATGAGCAGAGAATCATTGCCCCAGCCACTCCTTCCTTCATATGTCTCTGGGGATTTCCCTTTGGCGTTCTGACACAGCCCAACTGACCTATCCGCCAACCCAGCCAGTCGTTGCCCAATGTGGGCTTCACTAAGGTCTGGTGGCTGCCATATACTAATGACAAGCTGCCGGTAGAAGTTCCTGTCGTGTGACGGTAACCCATTGGCATATGCTAGAGACCGAAGAAAGAGGTCGTTGAAACGGGCGGATGTTTCCTGTTCATGAAGGACCAGGGAGAAGGCGTAGACGAGATGAACCAAGCAAAGCGCGTCGCTCGCTGAAGAGGGTTGCTGGCCGTTGATGAGGGCGCGGAGCGTCCGTAGCCCTGTTGTTGCTACCGTCCTAATCGACATGGAGCTGAGCTGGTTGGCAATGTAGTTCTCCCTGTAATATTGGAGTTTCACCATGGACGACACTATGTGCTCTTGCAGAGCGTCCCACGCGGAGCTGACCAGCGACTTGGTTTCGGAGCAGCACGTGTTCGTCTGACCAACCTCGGGCTCGTCGATCTTCACAGCCCGAGCTGTGTCGTCCGTCAGGACGATCTCCGGCGCATATGACAGGCTGGCAGGCACAGGGGCGTCGACTCCAAGAAGGGCACTGGACGAAGCCATGTCGCACGCGTTATCGAGCATGGGCATGTCCGCGGGGAGCTCTGAGAAGAAATCGTGCAAAGAATCGGGGCATATCTCGCCTTGGTAGCCGTTCAATGCATCCGCAAACATGTCGTCAGCCACGACACCGTCCACGGGGGACGTCATGCCTGTGTTCAGCCCGGACGCCATTGACCAAGTCCCGCTCCAATTTGAGGCCGGCGAAATCATGGAACTTCCGTTGCTCGCCATGCTCGCGTTGGTGTCGGTGCTAGCCGTCGATCTCACCGAGGAGCTAGGGGCCAGACCTTTGCTGCGCGGAACGCTGGGAGCAGGCCTAAAAACTGGCCGTGGCGTTTGACGACGGCCTTGAAGACCGGCCGTGGCTAGCTGTAGTATCGGCTTAGCAGCCGGGCCCCTGAAAGCACCGTCATCCTGCGGCCCACCTGAGAACGATGGCACAGCTGAGAACGACGTGGGGAGGAACCCGGGCATCGGCGGCCATTGCATGAAGGGCTCGCTTGGAGGAACGGTCGAATCGAGCTCAGGGAGGGCAGGAACGGCTGGCATCAGGAGAGCCTGGGGGTTGATGACGTTGTGGGGGCCTGGCGTCGGGGTAGGCTGGAAAAGGGACACCTCCATCGAGTCGATTTCGACGATCTCGGTGGACGGCAACTCGCTGGCCGTGCCGTCGACGCTGGGAATGTTGAGGGAATCGTAGCTCGGTGGTGGCGGAAGCATCACTTCCTCGTCGTCGAATCCCACGCCGGCTGGCTTCTTGGCCTTGTGACCGAGCGAATGGAAGAAGTTCTTGGCCATGGAAAGCATCTTGCGTCTCTTGGAGGGGTGGCCCAGGCAGCGCTTGCACCTGAGATCGTCGAAGCGCTCCACCCTCATATGGTCATAACACCAATACTCGCCCGAGGCGAGATATCTGCAGCCGGCAAGATGCTTGAGCATCGATTCGTGGTTTGGAAACCGCTGCGTGCACCTGAGCAGCGGGCATTCTAATCGCTCCTGGGGAGTCATGCGCACGGATGAATTGCGCTTGACGGCGGCCCAGACGATGAACCTGTGTCTGGCGCAATCTTCTTGCGATGTTTCTTTGGTTCTGCATGCATGATTAGGCCTGGGTATGTCCGCAGGAGAAGGACGGTAGCTCCAACACGTACACGCAGGACAGGGCAGCCTGGTCTTGAGAGAGATCGAGGTCGAGGCCCGAGTGGGACGGCGCCGCGTGCGTGCCCCGTCCATCTCCACTCCGAGTTTCTGATGAGCGACGGCCAGTTCGGAAGGGCGACAGGGGCCGGAGGGCCGAGGCGCTCGGTCCGGGGCCGGAAGATTGGTCCTCCAGGAGGGAGGTAAAGGGCTTCTTGATGTCCATGTGTTGGTGTGTGTTGGTTGGGCCCTTGTGAATCCAACGAGATCTAGGGGCGAACTTGGAGGAAATTGAGTCGCATAAGTCCAACCGATTGAGCAAAGTTCACAAACCCAAGGCAGGCGCAGTCATCCGCCACCCATTTTTGTTATATTTTCTGTTGTGCCGAGACGGATTGCGTGGTGTCAACGAGGCTCGAGGAGAGTTGCGAATCGTCACCGAGATCTTCAGTCCTACTTGTTTGACCAAGCCTGGGAAAGACTGCCCACGCTGCTGCGTGCGTGAGTGCGTGCGTTGCTACCTTGCTTAGGACTTGGTAGGACTCGGCCGCGGGTTTTCAGGCGGCAGGCGCTGTAGGGCAGACGAAAGAGGCTCCCGGATTGGCTGCCTCTCCGACCTGCATCCAAAGGAGCCGGCGCTGCAGCAGCACAGAGAAACTTGGAGAGCTGAAGACGAGCTTCGTCCCCACGCTGTCCGGCAGATGGCAGCCACTGCCAGGACGCCGGACCCAAGCGGACTCAGCCGCCTCTTTCCGTTTCCGGCCATGGAGTCTGCCTTGTGTCGTTTCAAGCAAGCAGCACGGGCCAATCGAGTGGGCGCCATAGAGGCGCGCAAGGCAGATTCAATAAGGTAACTAAACTGGCCACGTACTTTGCTAACAACTGTTAACAGCTCAACTGTGACCGCAAGGCCTGCAAAGATTAGTCTCGCTTGAGCAGTACAGATCGTCACCATGTCCTTCCCCAGACTGACGGCATAATGAAGCTTGGAAAATAACCTGGTAGGAGGACGTATCAAAGCAGGACTCGCCCGTATTTGGATCGTACAGTGCGAAGGTGCTCATAACGTATTGTATTGTACAGCGTCGAGTTGCATCTTCCGATGCGTATCAAGTCACATCTCGGATGCGCCTGACAGGCACTCCTGACGAGAAGTGGATGTTATCCGTGCCGGCCCCGTCAAGTCCGCCCCACAAGCCGGGGCGTCCTGTACTTTGTACTGCAGACGACATACATGAGGGTCACGGCGTGCTGCACAAGGAGAGGTTAATGTGAGGGTTCAAAGTCAGCAAGTGGAGGGGTCTGGTTCTCATCGGGGCTCAGGTAAGGTAAGATACCTAGGGAAGGTTCGTGTAGTGGGGTTCAATGCCCCACAGACACAACCCGCTTTATCAGACTGTTTCAAACGACTTTTTGTCTGGTGCCTAACGCAAACCCAATCAGCAACTTTTTTCTACCATTTTCCTTACCTGACTATCCGTATCCATACGCGCGACATCCTCCCTGCGAGAATCGTCAGCCTCCGACGCCAAACCCGTACTTTTCGTGCCCGACAGTTAATCTCAAATCATGCCTGGCCCAAGTAAACGGTGGGGTAAGTTGCCATTCTTCCTTTACCCCGCGATCCACTAACGAGGCGACATTTTCGCTACCTCCCATCGATGCGAGGCATTGCGAGGGGGATCGCTCGTGCGTCTCCATGCGCAGCATCCGGACTTGACTGTGGAAAATAGTTCTGCGCGACTTCTGACCCGGTACCCCTCAGATGGCAGTTGCGCTGACATACACTGCTTACAGAGGAAGAGGAGGAAGAGTCCAGCTCTGCCCCGAACTCTCCGGTCGTAGGAGCCGTGCGGCGCAAGTTTGACGACGAGGAGGCCGAGGATAGCGATGTACGTTTGTGCCCTACGAAGCAACGCGCCGTGTACACCAGACCTAACGTGTCGCCATGTTAGGTTCTAGACTCATGGGACGCCGCCGAAGATTCCGAGGCCGAGCGCGAGAAGGCGAAGAAGGCTGCCGAAGCAAAGGCCAAGGCGGAGGCAGAAGCTGCCGCAGCTAAGAAGAGCAAGGCCCAGCGGATTGCCGAGCGCCAGGCGGAGCGCGCGAAGGCTAAGGCCGACGCCGAGGAGGATGACAGTGACGAGGAGACCGAGGCGCAGAAGCGTGAGCGTCTCCGCCGGACCGAGAAGGAGGCCGACCTTAAACACGCCGAGGATCTCTTTGCCGACGTCGGCAATAACATCGGGGGGCGCAAGGCGACGACGGCAGGGAGCGCCGTGCCGATTGATGCCAGCGACCCGACCAAGACGGTCGATATCTCGGAGTTGCCGCTGTTCAAACCTGCGACCAAAGCGCAGTTCGAGCAGCTGCGTAATGTCGTGGGCCCCATCCTGTCGAGCAACTCTAAGAAGCCGCACTACACTTCTTTCCTGCAAGATTTCGCCAAGCAGCTTGCAAAGGACCTGCCAAGCGACCAGATTAAGAAGATTGCCAGTACCTTGACTGCTCTTAGTAATGAGAAGATGAAGGAGGAGAAGGCGGCCGAGAAGGGCGGCAAAAAATCGAAGGCAGCTAAGACCAAGACTTCGCTTGCGGGCGTCGCCCGCGGCGGCGGGGTGGCAGACAGTTTGCACACGTACGACGACGACGATGGCTTTGGGGAGTAAGTTGTTCGGAACCCTTAACATTGCGGAGCTCGAAGACTAACAATTTCTAAGTGATGACTTCATGTGAACGCTCCTCATTGTGGCCGAGCAGTTCGCCGGGCGGTATCCCTATCGCTGCACTCCTGGATTTGAGCGACCGGACGAAGACTACATTGGCTTTATCCCAATAAGCGCCGACCAGTCCACGAGTGACCTCCCTCTAACATACAAGAAGCGCTATTCAAGGCCTGGTGCGTCAGGGGTAGAGCAGCGCCCTGTCCACGGTAGTTGCGTTGGTGGTGGGATGGGGTGGGTGATGGGAGGACGTGGTCGCCAGTCTGTTGGGCCGGCGTTGATCTGCCCGAGATATTTGGGGCGGTAGGAGAATGCAGGGCAGCGTTTAGAATACTATTATTGTACCAGCAGAGCCTTGAGTTCGTCTACTCGGAATATGACAGCACAATGTTGACGTCCGTATACGCGATGCGGATTCCATATCATGCATGATATACCTGTGCTGTGCGGTGCGGGCTGGTAGTGCTTAAGGTACTGGTACTTGGGGGGTTTGAGCTACACTGTTGGCAGGACCTTAGGAACGCTCGTTTCGTCCGCAAAATCATACAGACGCATCATCTCCCAGCGCTGCTGATCGTAACGTGATCCACTATTCTGCCGAGAATGTCCGTTAATACAAAAGGGTGTATCATGCCATATGCGTTCACCACCCCGCGATGCCATCGAGCAATGGCATGAACGTCATACCTAGATGAGGAACATCTCTACAATCGGCCGCCATGTATTGAACCCTATACCCAAAAACCCAACGCCGACTTACTCCTCCCATGCATGCCAGCCAGACGAAAACACGCACCACCCGTTCCCAGACCAGAACAACCATCGCCTTGCCTTTTTGTTTACAACCCACTTTCAACTTCCCGCGTTGTACACATCAGACATCAAACACAAGCACAGAGCAGAGAACCCCTCCAATCAAGCAAGAAAGGGGGGGAAAAAAAAGAGGGGGGGGGTAGGGATGACAACGAGAGACGCTACATCAAATCCCCCGCCACCCCCGCAAGCAAAGCATGCACAACCAAGCTAACCGTCCACAGCCCAACCCTCTTGAACCTTCGGACGCGGCTCTGCTGGTCCTCGACGGAGCGCGCAAACGCCGCGTACACCTCGGCGCCCGTGTCATCCATCAGCCCGCAGTCGTACACGGTCCAGGAGCCGTCAAAGTCCGAGAGGCGTTTCACGACGCGGCAGTTGACGGGTATGTAGGTGCGCTTGGCGTTGATGTAGGCGACGATGGGTCGCACCAGCGCCTGGTTGACGTAGCTCATGTGGCGGTTGTTGAAGAGCGGGACCGCGGCGCGCACGTCGTTGAGGTGGATGCGCATGTCCATGACCAAGTAAGAGGGGGGTTCTGTGGAGGAGGAAGAGGAGGAGGAAGAGGAGGAGGAAGAGGAGGAGGAGAGGGCGGAGGCGGCGGCGAGGTTGGCTGGGGTGGTGGTTGGTATGGCCGGAGGGGTGGGGGAGGAGAGAGCTTCTTCCAGTGGGGAGGAGGGAGGGTCGTCGGTTTGGTCGTTACTGTCATTTTGGCCGTTGTAGGAGGCGCCCGGCGTGGAGTTATCGACGACGTCTATTTCTTGTTCAAGGTTTCGGCTGCTGGCAGTTTCGAGAATCTTGAGGTAGCGGTTGCTGGTAACCGCTTCTTCCATCTTGTCATAGAAGTCGGCTACTACCTTGCCGATGCCTTCTTCAGGGTCAGCGGGAAACATGATGTCGGCGACAATGTCGACATTTCCTTCGTAGATCCAACCGAAGGGCCCCTCAACGTTGCGGTTGAGATGGTCAATCTTGAGCCCGTCGATGCGGCACCGCGAAAATTTCTTCCAGACGGATGTGTCGCCGAATTCGTCGTGTCGACGCTCCGCCGCCGAGGACACGCCGTGGATCTGTCGGGGGTGAATGGTGAAGAGTGACCCGTCGAAGGAACCCGACATATGTGAAGCGGAGAGGAAATCGTAGAAGAGCCACTGTTTCCGCAGCTGCGGAAGCTCGCAAGAAAAGATGGAGACGGAAAAGGGGCGGAACCCGCCGGGCTGGTGGACTGTGACCAACAGATCCTCCAGCTTAAAGTAGTCCAGCTCAAAATCTCCCGGGTTGTGTTCGTGTCTATAGGAGAGGGGGTCCTGGTCCGTAGCTGCCCAGCGGACAGAAGTCCGGTCCACAACGCCTCGGACGCCTTTGACCTCGACGTCCTTCAGCAAGCCCTTGCCATTCCACCACTTGATGAATGATAGCGTGACGTTGACCGTGTCGATCGTCACGTCAAATTGGCTGTAGTTACCGTCGTCTTCTTCCTCGACGACAGCTGTTTCCTGGCCCGCCTTTCTGGCTGCCGCCGCTTCCGCAGCAGCGTTGGAAGAGCCCTTCTTCACGGATGATTTGCCCTGTCCTGGCCGTCGAGACACGAAAACATTACGGAAGGTGATGACGCCGTCCTTCCACTTCGGAACGATTGCCGATTCGAAAACGACGGTCAGGCCGGCTGATTGTGTGAGGTAGTCGCCGATCCACTTTGCGAGGGTTTCTAGCGTTCCGTTAGCATCGTCCGCTAGACGGGCGCATAGGTTACCTGCCTTGTGCAAATACCGTGTTGATAAACAAAATTATTAGAGAGAAAAAGGTGGTAGTTCCGACCAAGATCCACACGAGGTGCCCAAACAGGAACCAAGAAACAAATGCCCCCCATTCGTCAGCGTTCCAAGGCCGCATGCTCCTAATCGAAGCCCATTTGAAGCGTACTTTCAGCCGTTGCCAGAACCCCGTTGCCGCTGCAAGCAGCTCCTCCTTTGTGGGCCGATGGGGAAGGTGAAGATACTTGGACATCGACTCTGCCAGCGTCTCGTGCTCGGAAGATCCGGGAGCTGGCGTTCTGACCGGGTCTGGCCTGGGTGTCTCTGGCTCCTGTTTGAGAGAAGGCGGCTTGCTCTTGTCTCCTTCCCCCTTGGTGCTCGAGCTACTGGCCCTTTTGGCAGAGGGTCCCCGCCAGCTTCTGGCTTGTCGACCCTGCTGCCATGCTTGGCGAGCCAGCTGGCTCAAGTTCGCTCTCTGCCCCGAAGTCCCTGCCAGCGCCGAGTCGGCCGCGGCAGAGCATGTTGTCACAACTGCGCTTGTCGAGTGTGGACTAGAGCTAAGTCCGAGAAGCAGCAAACCGCCCGAAGCACAACTCTTCCGGACATTCCTGGGGGGGATTCGGGAGGGATACGGCTGGAAGAAACGTCTCGCGGAGTGGAAGAAGCGCGTGTTCTGACAGTGTGGTGTGTTGAAAAAGAACTGCCCTGCTGCTGGCGGGTTTGGAAGGTGGTTCGGCGGCGGTCGGCGGCCGGGGAATCTTGCGGCGAGGACGGCAACGGAATCGCGGATCGATCCCCAGAAGTGACGGCCCAGCTGGGTCGTGGATACGCTAGAGGTCATTGTTGAAAGACATGCTGAAGCACACGGACCTCACTAAGCAATCCTCAAGCCATGGCCAAGGCCAGCTGTCGATATGCGTCTCGAGTGGTGTTGTGGTGGGTTACGTTCTAGAACAGGGTGAGGAGGTCCGGAGCAAGTAGCGAAACCTTGGAAACGCGGCGCGCATAAAGACTTGTCGGCCATTAAGCTAGCGTCATGGACACGCAAGGGTGCCAGTGAGACAAGGCTCCAGCCAATGGATAAGTTTTGATTCTGCCGGTGGGCCCACGACTTTTTTGACCGAATTCCTAACCCCACCATCAAAATCGCAGTCACAGACAATACGGTGAGCACGCCGACGATAAGCACGACAACGACCCTTCGCCCTTTCAACGTAGATCCTCCGCCGTATCCCCTGACGGTACCGTGATACACCATAACCAAAAACTGTCACGATGCCCGCGCCGACATCCCTTATCCAGCCGCCACCGGCGCCCGAAGCGGTCCTTCTCCCCGCCCCCGAGCAAGAGGACGAGTTGCTCGTCGACATGCAGGAAGCCAGTACCACAAAACCCAGCGCCGTAGCGCCCCCAACAACCGAAGAAGACGCGGAAATGGCCATCGACGAGGAAGGGCGGCCAAGGTTTGCTCCAGGAAAGGACGTGGTATGCGGAAGCCAGCCCGAATTTGGGACGCATGGACAGCTCCAATTGACGTCTCTCGTCCCAGGACCCCGTCCGCCGCGCCGAGACAAGAAAAATCCCCATTCCGCCAAACCGCATGTCCGCCCTAAAAAGCAACTGGTCCAAGGTAAGCCCTCTCATCCATTCCCTTCCAAGTCACGATCTTTGCTAACAACGCCATTCAGATGTAGGCACCTCACCCCTCATCTCTCATAACCACCCCCAATCTAACACACCCCCTCACGCTCTCAGATACCCCCCCCTGGTCGACCACTGCAAGCTGCAAGTACGCATGAACATCAAGGAGAAGCGCGTGGAGCTGCGGTCGTCTAAGTTCACGGCGTCCAACGACGCGTTGCAGATGGGCGCCGACTTTGTGTCGGCCTTCGCCATGGGCTTCGACATTGACGACGCCATCGCCCTGCTGCGCCTCGACTCGCTGTACATCCAGTCGTTCGACATCAAGGACGTGCGCCAGACGCTCGGCCCTGACGCGCTCGGCCGTGCGATTGGTCGTATTGCCGGCAAGGATGGGGTATGTCATTCCTTCGTGGGTCGGGATGTGTGTTGAGTGGGGCTTTGCTGACGGGGGGAATGGAAATAGAAAACTAAGTTCGCTATTGAGAATGGTGAGTTGCAGTGTCGGTGGATGAGGAGTTGGGCAGCAGATAGGGGCTAATGGTTGCTTACAGCGACAAAAACACGGATCGTGCTCGCCGGGTCGAGAGTGCATATTCTCGGGGCCTTTGAGAACATAGGCATGGCCCGTGAAAGGTGGGTTCTTGGTAAAAGTCATGCCACGCCCACTCAGCTGACTGTCTTTCCAGCATTGTTTCGCTGGTGCTGGGTGCACAGCCTGGCAAGGTCTACAACAACCTGAGGATTATCGCCTCACGGATGAAGGAGAGGTTTTAGACCTGTCGCACAGCGGGGAAAGAGCTTCACAGGGACATCGGGCATGGTCGGCGTTCAGGAGTACACTGTTGCTTTACATGATTTGTCAACGAACGAGGATAAATCGGCATACCCAGGGATCTGTGTCTGGCTGCAAATTGCCAGTGATTCAATATCCATCGGATGAATTCTCCATGCCCACTTAGGGACCGTCGCGGGTATCATAGTTCAAAAACTGCCCTCCCTATTGTAGCCTCATCCGCATACTACTCGATCTCAACGTCCAATCTTCTTGATATGGACCTCCAGCTGGTTAGCCTCGTCCGGGTCAACGTCAATATCCGTGACCAGAGCCTCCGCATCCAATTTCTCCCCATCAAACCAGATCGCAACCTCGAATTCGGGCCCAATATTCCGCTGTGTCCGGAACGCCTCAATAAGCGCCTCCACATTCGTCTCCTCCCTCGCCGTAAGCTTAAGCGGCTCATGGTCCTTTGCTTTGAGCACAATCCGAATCCCTTTTTTCTTGGGCGGTGCCGTCTCCTCCCCTCCACTCTCCCCCGCCACACCCCCATCCACCCCGTCCTCCCCTGCATCCCCAAGCATCATTGCCCTCTCCTTGCCGCGATTCGCCAGATACTCGGCATACGCCTCCTCGGTCCACACCTCCAAGTGGATCCCGCCGCGCAAGTACCCCTCCCCACCCCTCAACCCGCCCTTCAGATTCCCTTGCGCGTCGACCGCCACACCCAGCGACGCGAGCGTGCTGTGCCCGTAGATCTTGTTGCCCTTCCACGTGAGGAACAGCCGCTCGGCCACGTCGTCAGGGATTGTGATGCCCGCGGCGCAGTTCTGTGCGATCCATACCCGCAGGAGCAGCTGGACCCCCTGGTTGAGGCGAAGCTTGGCCATCAGCGGCTTGTTGGCGCCGCCTGCCAGGGGGGAACTGATGATCACTTGGACGACGGCTTCTTGGCTTTGGGCGGCTTGGATGGCGCGGGCTTTGGCGACCCATTCGCTGAACTCGTCGTCGTCGTTTTGGGTTGGGGTTGGGGTGGTTGTGGCGGTGGTGGGTTTGGAGGGAGATAAGGAGGGGTTGGTTGGGAGGATCTCAATGGGCGAGGAGGAGCCGCTTTGGGGGAGTGTTGCAGGCTTGGTTGTCTTCTTTGTTTGGAAAGGGGATGCGACAGCGAGAGGGCTGGAATCGTCGTCGGAGTCGGAGTCGATTATTGCGACGGGATGTTCTGGCGAACCGACTGGGTTTCGTGAAGCGGCTCGCTGAGAAGCTGGGGTTATGGGAGTTGGCCCTGGGGTCCTGGGTCCAGCTGCAGCAGGCTTCACTGGCGTGAATGGTCTCCTGGCTGGGATTACCTCCTTGCCTTTTCCCTTAACGTCCATTATTAGGTCATCGTCGGAACCGTCCAGTACTATTGATTGCTTGCGTGAGGAATGGGTTCCGTGTGAAGGGCTTGCTGAGGTCCTCCTGCGCTTTCGGTCGTGCTGTTGCTCCTCCTCTGCCTCCTGGACTTCCCGGAGAATCTCGGGAAACACTTCTTTGGAGTGACGGAAAAGGTCGAGGTCGTTGTCCTCCTCGTTATCTCTAGTATTGGTAACTGCCTGCTGCTTCCGTGCTACGGTCCGCTTGAAGGGCAGAGCCCTCCGCTTTGGCGCAGGGGCGGCTTGTTCGTCTTGCGCCATCGTCGCAGTTGCGTCTTGAGGTCAACTAATCAACTGCGCAAGTGGATTACAGCGGGTTCCTGTTGTTGCAATCGTTCCGTAATCTTCTCTTCGCTGCAAAACAAGAAAGGCGGTGGTGTTCCTGTTCGGACGGAGCTTGTGGCCTTCGGGAGTTGCAAGTACAGAGAAGGTTCGTGTTGATGGATCGCGAGAGTCAACGCCGCGTTGACCGCGTCGGTGGGGCACTGAGGAAACCAAGCTCAATTCTGAAGGTCAAGTTCTTGGACCTTCTTTTGGCGGCACGATTTGTTATGGACAAGATAAGATGCAAGCTTCAAGTACCTTCAAAGCACTTTAGATAGATAAGTCTTAACTATCCCAGAAATATCAGTTTCGAGCACAGAGACGGCTCTCACGGCTGTCTGAAGGAGATTTCGCCCAAGAAAAAGCGTTCCCGTTTGCTGGGACGGACATGTCGGTCCCCCTGTGGAATGTTCCGCACGTCGCTCTGCCGGGACCCACAGCACATTGGGTGTCGGCAGAGTGGGTCCAGCCGAGGTAACCCCAAGAATGGCATGTTTGATCCGTCCTTCGCGCGCCGGGGAAGAGCACTAGTTAACAGTAGACGAGGTCACGAGAGAACAAACAAGACCGCCTTTCTTCGCTGATGCTCAGCCGCAACTTTTGGGAGTTGAAAGTGGTTGTTTAAGCTGTCGCTGTGAGCAGGTTGTCGTGCACCATCAACAATTACTTTTCATTTACTTCCTTGCCGCACTCTTGCAGCCTACCTACTCGCTTACACTTCTCTTCTGGGCCGGCTACATTGACAGAGCGGAACAATGTCCGTTCCAAGATCGGAATATCTCAGCAACGTCTGGGCCAACGACATCTTCGGTAAGCAAGCGAATACCCTCGGAGCTGGTCCGTCCAATCTCACTCACTGATCATAACCTGCCGTTACAGCCAACCGCGTGTTGTTCATCACAGGCGGCGCCGGCACCATTGGCAGCGCCCAGACGAGGGCGCTGGTGCACCTCGGCGCCGATGCCTGCATCATCGGGCGCAGCGTCGAGAAGACCGAGGCCGCGGCCAAAGAGATCGCAAAGGTCCGCGATGGCGCGAGGGTGCTCGGCATCGGCGGGGTTGACGTCCGGAATGTAAGTTGACGTCGGACTCACTTGACAGCTCCGCTTATACTGACCACGTATCAAGTTTGACACCCTCAAAGCGGCTACAGATCGCTGCGTAAACGAGCTGGGAGCCATCGACTATGTCATGTAAGTTTCAACCCCTTTCTCCTCATCCCACACCACATGACCAAACCTCCCTTCCAGCGCCGGCGCAGCAGGCAACTTTGTCGCCCCCATCTCCGGCCTGAGCCCCAACGCCTTCAAGACCGTCCTTGACATCGACACAGTCGGCACCTTCAACACCATAAAAGCCACCATCCCCCACCTCATCGCCTCCGCCGCCCGCAACCCCAACCCCAACCCCAACCACTCCCACCAAACCGGCGGCCGCTTCCTCGCCGTGTCGGCAACCTTCCACTACACGGGCATGCCCCTGCAGTCGCACGTCTCGGCTGCCAAGTCGGCCATCGAGTCCTTGACGGCCTCGCTAGCGCTCGAGTACGGGCCCCTGGGCGTGACGGCCAACTGCGTCTCGCCGGGCGCCATCGAGGGCACCGAGGGCATGGAGCGGCTGGCGAGCAGCCTCGTTGGTCGCCGGGAACGGAGCAAGGCGGTCCCCAGCGGGCGGTGGGGCACGGTGCGCGACATTGCCGACGCGACCGTCTTTTTGTTGAGCGACGCGGGGAACTACGTCAACGGGACGACGCTGGTTGTCGACGGGGCCGGGTGGAGGAGGCAGGGGGCTGTTTCGGTCGGTTTGGATCCGGGGATGGTGTATCCGGATTTCCTGGTCAAGGGGGAGGTGAGCAGAAACTTGAAAGATGGGAGGAAGAAGGCGAAGTTGTGAGCCAGGGGGTTGCCGTGAGAATCAGGGGGTTGTTCGAGCTGATGTTTAATTGGGAACATGCGGAAGGGGGTCAACTAGCATTTAGGTGTATAGTGGAGGGCGTTGTATACCAAGCAGGCATGTATCGCATCACCCATTGTATCAAGCATTGTTTTTCACACACAAACCTCCGCCTCCTCCCCCCCGGCTCCTCCCCCGCCCCTTTTCTCCTTTCGGGCTGACACGATAGGAGTAAAACAGATGTACATGGGTCGTATGCCAACGTCTAATTAACTCATCCCAGAAGTCATTACCGCCCCGGTTTATCCGCCATGACTGGGCGCCATTAGATATATATGTGCAAGCTAAGCAAAAATCAGGATCAATGCAATGTAACTGCCCTTTCCAACTCCAAACAAGCGATGGTAGCCTCAAAGTGAACATGATGCAGGCGATGGCGTGTCTCAACAATACGTTTACCGGACCTTAAAGATCTCGAGCAAATCATGGCGGTGGAAGAAGCTGCGAACCCGCTTGCCAAAAATATCTGTTGCAATCGTGTCAGAATGCTTCATCAGAGTCTTCGTCCTTCACAGAGACAAACTTACACATGGGAATGCTAAGCACGCAGACGCCCACCTGGATTGAGGCGACGGTGTTGAACAGAGGAGTAGCCTTGGTCCCTTGCGTGATAAGCCAGTCAAAGGCCTTCAGAGTCAGAGCAAAGCTGAAGATGTTCTTAAAAATGATCATGCATGTGAAGCCCTCGATGGTCAAGTCGCCTGTTTCGCGTTAGCATCCGTCTAATGCAGCTTCAAGATGGCCCGCTACGACTTACGGTAAGCATCCACAATATACAAGGAGCTCGCCACAGCGCCGATGACCATGCCGGCCACTTCCAGGGCGAAAAAGGTCAGCGGAACGGCGTAATGGTACTTGCTGTACAACAGCCCGTCGACCGTAATGCCCCAGCCATACAAGCCGGCGCAGCCCAGGATCATTTGCGGAATGACGAGCACGATGCGGAACTCGGGTTCGTAGACGCCTCCGTTCCACTTGGTCATCTTCTTAGCGCTCCAGTCGGACAGCAGGCCGGCGACGACGAAGCCGAGGATGGCGCCGATAAATGCCGACGTGTAGGCGTAGCCCGTCTTGACCTCGCCCCACCACAGTGGCGTCGAGAGGAAGAACTGGGCCAGGATGACGCCGATGAAGACGGTCCAGCCGATCATGAGACCCTGGATGAGGCACGCCCAGGCAAAGGCAGGCTGCAGGAAAAGGGGCAGGGGCCGCAGGAGCAGCTTCCAGAAGCTCTCGTCGGTCTTCCGACCGTTGAAGAGCGCCAGCGACTGGACAAATGTCGCTTTCGGTGGTATCTTGCTCTTCTCAGCGGCCATTGCCGGGGCGTGAGTGGCTCGGTGCGCTCCTGACGGGCTGCTGCCTTCTCCGTTTAGGCCGGTCCTAGACGTCTCACCATTGCCGCTGTGACCCGACTTTTCCACGTCCTCAGCCGCGAGCTCGGGGCGCGCTGAGCCGTTGGCCTGCAATTCATGAAGGACTGGGTTTTCGGTGTCCAGCAGGTCAAGATTCAGGCCTGTCTCTCGCCGATATGCCGTCTCAGGGCAGAAGAAAAAGACAAGCGGCAGACAGACGCCGCAGAAGATGGCGACAAAGTAGAAGGTCCACCACCAGCCGAGCGTATTGGTGATTTTTCCGACGAGGATAGGAGTGAAAAATGCGCCGCCGAACGTGGCCAGGTTGGTGAAAGCCATGCGGATACCGCGTTGCTGTTCCCTTGTCAGCCGTTTCCCACTTGACTCGACCACTTACCGAGCACCGCCATCAACTTACATGGACGCAATACAAATCTCCCACAGCCGCATTGACGAGCGACTCAAATGGAGCCGTAGCGATGCCCTGGAAGACCCTTGAGACCACCATGCTCCTGTAGTTTTTGCGCGACGCCCCGCTCCACGCTGCAGTCACAACGAGCACTGCGGTTCCGGCAACGAATAGGTGGCGCTTGCCCCAGATACGGCCTGAAGGGACAAAGATGAAAGCCCCAAGGCCCACACCCAAGAGATACCATCCAGTCAGCTCCGCAATCATGGTGAAACTAGCCACGAAGTCGATGGACAGTGTCAGCGTGTTGGCGGCGAGGATCGGACCAAGACATGTCGCGAGGATGGCGACCAGGGAGAGGATAAAGGTGATGAGATCGCGCTTCCATAACGGCCAGTTCAGGGGGTCGTTGGGGTCGTCGGACGGCTGCGGGACCAGAATGATGGGCACAGGCCCGCTGGTGTCGCACTTGAGGCCTTCGACGCCGTCGACTGCATACTGTGGTCTCTCTGGGTCATCGAAGTATCGGGTCGTTCCTGCGATGCATGCTGTCAGCGGAGGCTCCGGAACGGCAGGTGATCGCAGTCGTCGTACCCGGGACATGGGCCAGGACCCTGTCCTCGAGGATGCCCAAGCCCATCTTGACGGGATGCCGGGTTGGTGCGTATGCTCTGCAGGCAAGAAGAAAATCGCTGGGTCAAGAAAAGGACATGGCATTTGTCCGTTCGTTGTCTCGATTTCAAAGTATCGGAATCCTGGTTTGCTGTTTCTCGGAGAGCAAAAGACTCAAAATCAAGGGACTGACCCTTGCAAACTTTGGGTGGACTCCCGCGCTTTCTGCAGTCACGCAGCGAAAGAGGGATGAGAGCTTGGGCGGTCAGAACCAGCCAGGCCGAGCCCCCAATCTTAAATCGTCAGCTGCTGCCGCCCAATCCAGGACGCAAGAAGGTGGGTAACGGGGGATCGCAATGACAAGCCCTCCGACGATCCGAGACGAATCACCATCTGAATTCAGCCCTGGGCCTTCCGTGTGGTGTCTCGGATTGTTCCTTTTGATTAATGTTTTTCATGGCGGCGACATCTTCATACCAGATTAGACCTGAGCTCACTGAGCTTCCACCCATGGGCATCACACCGCTTTGCCCATTCAAGGCTAGGTAGGCCAGTGTGACCGCTAGCCAAACTCTACACAGTAATGTTAATGTTGACTAACGGCATTGTTTGTGGGGCGCATACGGAGCTCTTGGGCGACCCCACTCCCGACGGACTGTGACGCACTCTGACCAGAGGCCTAAGACGAGGGAGATCCGTTTCAGCTCACTGATGGCTCTAATACGATGCCGGAAGGGTCGCTGGAAACAGTGGACTTGCCGGCCAAGACTCAACCCTATAAGACGTATACAGGCATCCGTGAGACTTCTCTTTGGTGTGACGCTCAGCTCGCGTGGTATCGGCCTGGAGAAACAGTCCTGTCTCGGCATACATTAGGACTGTACAGATACATTCCACTGGATTCCAACCATCCTTCTCTGTGTCTCAGATTGGATGGACGGATGGCTCGGATGGATGGGTTGGACCAGGTCCGTCACACATAGCAAAATCAAAGCATAACAATATATACATCCGTACCTTAGGTACTTACGCATTTCGCGCCGTAGTACTTGCCAGGAGAGTGACCTAAAGTCTTCCATCCACACCTGGCCGAACGCCGTCAGCTTTGAACGCGATATGCAGACCGTCATCATCGCCCTTTTCGGCGGAACTGCGGCAGGCACGGCTTGCGGCCGCGATGGCGGTCTTCCGTTTGCAGGCTGAATGGGGGTGGGGCATCATCCAATGGTTTGCCAGTGGCGCTGATCCTGGCCAGCATGGCCAGGGGCTGATGTCGGTGAGTTTCTGGGGTGATGTTTGGGGTCGCTGCACGGTTATTTAACAAAGCCTGGTTCCCCATATTGGCAGCTCCCGCTCCCGCTCCTTCCTTGCCTGGTCCCCAGCGATTTCGAGATTCACCCACAGCTCCAGAGACAAATCAATTGCCCTTCGACATCTACACGGTCGCCACTATGAAGGTCCCTGCTGCTCTCCTGTCGCTCGCCCTGGCCTCTGCGGTCGTTGCCCAGGGTAGCCCCGAGCTCCCCGAGTGCGCTGTGCGTCCCCTCTGTTTGAACACGATTATCGCCAACAGTACTCCCGGCAGCATGCGCTAACCCGTTGTCCCGCAACTGCAGAAATCATGCGCGGATAACTTTCTGACGGGCGGCATCGGCGGCTGCACAAACGCCGACGTCGCGTGCATCTGCTCCAACAAGGACTTCCTCAACAGCATCGCCTGCTGCCTGACAAACGTGTGCGACCAGGCCGCGCAGGAGCAGGCTGTCCAGTTCGCTTTGGGGGTGAGTTTCTCTCTCGCAGCTTGCGCCCACCCACAGCCCCACACCCCCTACGGTGGGGTGATTTATTGATCCAGACGAAAAGCTCACCATTTCAAAAATTAGATCTGCAAGGGCGCTGGAGTGAACGACCTGCCCACCGCCGTCGTCTGCCAGTCCGCTGCCGTATCCAGCACCGGCAGCGCCGCCAGCACTGAGTTGACCGCGGCCGCGACCTCGACCTCGGCCTCGGGCTCCGAGACCACCGCCGCCCCGACGAGCACCGGCAGCGCCGCGAGCCAGGCTTCCGCTGCCAGCAGCACCAGCCGCGCGGCTGGCCCCCGGCCCACCGCTGCGGCTGGTCTGGGCGCCATTGGCGGCATTGTGGCCGCTGTCGCGCTCCTCTGAGTTCCGCCAACGCAATACGCGGTTTTCCCCTCGTGGTCTGTCAATGGGTTGTCTCGGTTGACGATTTGGCGCTGGATATCGGGCGTCGAGGAGGGGTGGTATTTGACGATGGTTATGGACCCTAATGTACATGACGTATAATTCCGTGCGCACTGGGACGAGAGCTGCTGCTGGTTATCAGTGCATGTCTCTGCAGCACATGATCTACTGTACTGTCGGCGTGACGTTATACATGACGCTGTTTACGGACCAGCAGTATTAATTCAACTAATCCTTCCTTGACATCTTCACCGACGTAAATGCAAGGTGTTGCTTGGTATGCGTGCTTAACCCAAAATCAACCACCGCATTTGAAGACGGTAGGCTTGCTAGCAGTTCTCAAACCTAGAATGCTTGGGGGACTTCTTCAGCAGATATTCGAACCCAAGAGCATCGATCCATAGCCGCCTCCGGCCGTAACGTTCATCCTCGTAGCCGAAATATATCCTTGAATCCCAGGGTATCACTACTCCATACCGTGTATCCCGAAACGCCGCCCCTTCCCGCACACAAGCAAGATGAACTCACTTGCCCTGTTCCTGGCCCTTCCCCTGCCCATGCCCAGGAGGCTTACCGAACCTTCCTAATCACCACCTTCCCCCCGGCCTCCTCCAGCTCCCACCCGACCCCGAACCTCCCCTTCAGCTCCGCCCACCCACAACCCGTCTGCTCCTCGAGCACGCCGACCGGAACAGACAGGTACGCCCGTCCAAACGCTCGGAGGGTGTGCTCCCGCACCTGATGCTCGGCAAACTCCATCAGCTTGACCCGGTACAGGTCGACTTGTTTCTTAAGTCGGCGCCAGGCTACCCAGTTGTCGCTTGTCAGCGCGTCGAGGATCGACTTTAGCTTCAATGTGTCGGAGGAAGGGGAGGAGCAAGTGGAGGAGGAGGCTATCGTGGTTGAGTGGTGGTGGAGGCGGCGGCGGTGGTGGTGCTGTTGGTTGTATAGGGAATAGGCCTCGGCTAGGTCGCCTCTTCGGCAGGCTGTGTCGAGGATGTGGTAGGTTGTTATTTCGGTCAGTTCGACGCTCGTCAGGCTGCTGCTGCTGTTGGTGTTCTTGTCAGTGGGTAAGGGTGCCGGGTTGGTGGTGGTAGTGCCGGTTGGGTGGTCACGTTGTTGGTGGTGTCGGCGGAGGAGGTGTAGCAGGGACGGGTAGTAGGTCTCGTACGAGGATGCGAGTATGCCCAGACGAATCGAGAAAAGGTAGGCTTGGGTTGCGAAGTGGTCGTGCCGGTGGGAAGCAACGAGGGCCTCGCGGAGCTTGCGGAGGGCGGAGAGGACTTGGGACAGCTTCTCGGTTGATGGAAGGGTCGCGATTGATTGGGATAGGGAAGCGGATGACGTATGTGGAGGGAGAGAGACTGATGTTGTGGTCGTGGTCGTGGTCGCGGTCAAGGCCAGCCGGGCGAATTGCTTTTGCAGGCTGTCGCTGTCGCCGGCTTCGGTGCAAAAGGCGAGGTAGCGCTCGACGATCCTGGCGTAGTATGCTTCCTGGACTTTAGGGGAGAGAAGTCTTGAGTGATTGGGCTTTGGTTAGCCCCTGAATCAACGCCAAGAATGCATGAGCAATACCTTTTCTCCCCTTTCGAGGGTAGCCCGTACTCGCCGAGCGGGTCCTGTTCTATTGGCCTGAGCCGTGATAGCGGCCCTGACGGCGCTCTTCCGCCTTTCCTCTGCATCGTGACGGCGCGACTGGTAGGTGTGCTGAGCGAGATTTAGAGAGGGTTGTCTTGCCCCGCCGAAGATGGTGCTGTGTGTGATGGGTTGCGTGCCCTTGGTTGTATTGTACACACTGTACTAAACTGCACGTAAATTACGGTCCCGTTGCCTTGTCAACTCGCAATTACCCCTGATATTCAGCAAGCTACAAGTTTGGAGAATGCAATGGCGTCAGGTACGCTTTGGAAAAAAAAAGAGGTTTTTGCGTCCTATTGTAATTCGTTATGAAGGGCAATGTTTCAGGGCTTTATTGACCGGCGTGTCAATTTAAAGTGTTGTTTTCCTACTATTTAGCTCCCCGATCATATCGATTTCCGCACTCCGTGGAGGGCCATGATGAGCACAACGGCGTTCTCGAGTTTGAATCCGGATAAAGATGCGCAAGGTCCATAGCTATACACTGATTTAGGAACGACCTGAGCCAAGGAACGACCTGAACCAATACTGACAAAACCCATGTCCTTCATTGCTCCTCTAGCTGGTCTGCATAATTTCGCAGATCCGGGATGCAACTCTCAAAGTAACCATGAACAAGTCGACGGGCTTCGGGTTTGTCTGCGTTTACGGACTCTTGTTTCCGGATATGGGCCAGGTATCCTTCGTCTTCCGCGAGGGGCTTGGCGTAAAGCGTGTAGAACCTCTCGCTCCGTTCCAGAGGATCGCAGGTGGGATACTCAAAGGCAGCAGCCCTGACGGACCGTGGGTTAGCATCGTCACTCCTCACTGCTGGTTGATTGACAATGGAAAAGTCCCAAGTGAAGGGTTGCGGAGTGGTTAGGAAGTACATTCTTACCGGACAAGAAAATCATGGCGGAACAGATCTCCTACCCTGGGGTAGGTCAGATCCGCCAGCCACTGGGTATCATGATGGTAGATGGTTGCTGTAGCTGTCCAACCCCGGCCGTATCCGGCTGGTGGAGTGTAGGCAAGGCAGATCCTGCGGGAATACAGCAGCTCCTTTTTGTTGTCGAGGGGATTTGCCCTGATGCTAATGTTGTCGGACCAGCATAGTTCAAGCTTGTTGAGCCAGGGCACGGCCTTCAGGAACGACTCGCTCAAGTCGTCGCAACGGAGGTGCCACTGGGCCACCCAGGGCGCCGCGTCGACATCCGCCTCACCCAAGCGCTGAATAGGGCAATAGTGGCTGGCAATGAGATATTTGGAGCGCCAAAACCGCGGAGCGATGCCCTTCTGGACGGTCTTTTCGGGCCGTTTCCACCAGCCCACTTGTTTCTGTTCTCCCTTGGACGCGGCAGATGGCCTCAGTGCCGGGAGTACCTGTGGCCTGGTGGCTCGCAGGCGCTGCAGGGGGGGTTGGAAGCACGAGAGGCGGCGCAAGACTCTCAGACAGAGACCGCGGCGGGGTTTGCCAGTTGAGGCTTGAATGGCAGCGTCTTGCGAGTCCACAAGAGCTGACTTCTCCGACTTGAAATCACCTGTTGGTGGGCTGGGCTGTCGGCCGACAACTGCGTGGTACGGAGGAGGCAAGACCTCGAGACCGCCTTGCTTGGGATCCGTGTTGTCAGTTGTCATGATGAAGGATTATCTGCGAGAAAGGTTGTGGCAGGAGACAAAAAAAGGAGAGGGGGTGAGCTGGAGGACAGTATGAATGCTTGCCTTATGGGAAAGACACGGCACTTCTTGTGAACGGTCCCAGAAGCACATCACGCGCGCGAGGACCATACTTGTGATGTGGTTATGACGTTTCCACGGACAAAATCGCCGTGCCGAGCAACGGGTCTCGAAAACATAGAGTACAGCACTGACAGCTACGGATGCTGGCAGCTGAGACAGCCGATTCCCTCATCGTATCTCTGAGAATGAGAACTGACGGGCCGTTAAGGTTGTGGTGGTTTCTAATACGGCTATCTCGGAGGTTTGAAGCCCTTTAATGCTGGATGGTCTCTTTCAAGCCGTCATGATGCTGGGTCCGACAGGGGTGGTCCGTCCGGAGCTCGTGCCCATCTTGATCGTCCGTTGTCTGGGTCCGCGCTATGCATGGTAGGTTATTGCGATGGTCAAGAGGGAATCTAAAATACGTGTCTCGCAATGCTCTCCTCAGCTAAACTCAACATATCGTAGCGCAGGCTAACATAGAGCCTGTAATTTTAGGTCTCCAGCAGATTTCGGGTTCTTTAGGGTTTCAAGGCCATAACAGTGCAAGCGAAAGAACCAGCTATAACAGCAAGTACACCGGTTGAGACTAGCAAAAATAGAGGTCGGAGGGATCGCAGGAGCGTCGTGAACTTGTGCAGGTGACACATGATACTTCCACCGGGAGTTTCGAGCTTCTGGGTCTGATGGTGCGTCTTTAAAAGACAGAGGAAGGGCCCCACCCAACATTGGGCAATGTGGGGCTTCACTTGAATACTGTACGGATCCGTACCTTAAACCATACCCTTCTCAAACCCCGTCTGAGTCTTTCAATTCAAGTACCATGTAGTACTCCGTGCCAGTCCTCGCATATTGGACCCGACTGGCCCGCAGGACGGGGCAGACTGTCCAGTATCAGCAGAATCAAGAATACGGGTTGGAATGGCTAAGAGAAGATAGAACCTACAGTACAAAGCGGACTCGGTTCCAGGGCGGGGTCCCAACTGCCACGGGTGCTAGGTATCCGAGGTTGCCTCGGCATTGCCATCTCGGTATCACCATCAAGCTGAGGCTTGAATAAGCTGAATGAGATCCTTCTTCCTCACTTTCTTGAACAACCGTGAACTTGAACCGTCAACACTCGCTCTCCCGCCAGGCAATATGTTAGAACGAATCCAGCAGCTTGCCCGCCAACTAAACTACCCCAAGGGCCTCTTGGACTGCCAGGTGGTCATCATCACGGGTTCCGGCCAGGGCATCGGGGCCGAGTGTGCGCGCTTATTCGCCAATGAGGGCGCCAAGGTAGTCGTATCGGACATAGACGCCGCCAAAGCCGAGGACGTAGCAGCCAAGATCAGAGCCAACGGAGGCGAGGCGCTTGCTGTCGCAGGAGACCTGCTCAGGGACGAGTGCATCAAGGAGCTGGTGAAGAAGGCAGCCGAGTTTGGCAACGGCAAGATCCACATCATCGTCAACAATGCCGGCTTCACATGGGATGGCGTCATCCACAAGGTATGATGCCCCGCCTCACTCTGTTCCTTGAGCAATGGCGCATCCCAGGCTGACACGCCAATAGATGACGGACAAACAATGGGACACGATGCTCGCCATGCACGGCACGGTGCCCTTCAAGCTCGTCCGCGAGGCAGCCCCTTACTTCCGCGTCAAGGACGGCGAGCCGCGCAACATTGTCAACATCTCGTCCACCTCGGGCCTGCACGGCAACGCGGGCCAGTTGAACTACGCCATGGCCAAGGCGGGCGTCGTCGGCCTAACCAAGACGATAGCAAAGGAATGGGGCCCCGCGTTCGGTGTCAGGGCCAACACGGTCGCCTTTGGCCACATCGAGACGCGACTGACTGCGAACAAGGAAGCCGGCGCGTTCGTTGAGGTTGACGGACACAAGGTACCACTGGGGATCCCAGAGAAGCAGAAGAAGGCCGCTGCTGCTAGCGGTGCCGTCCCGTACGCCGACATCCCGCTCAGGAGGCCTGGGACGGCGACCGAGGCCGCGAGTGCCGTGTTGGCGGTTGCGTCGCCGCTGAGTTCGTATATCAGCGGGCAAACCATCAGCGTGACAGGCGGCAGGAATATGTAGCTGTCTGCCTGCATCAGTCTCTTCGAGCAACGCTCCGGGACGATGGATGAGTGTGATAACACAATATGATTGCAAGAAAGTAACCATGCAAACGCCATATCCCCGCCCTACTCCTACAACGGCAGGCGCCATTCCCGCCATTGGTATCTCTGAATATTACCATTTATCGACCGCCCAACCGGCAGTCACATCCGCTCACGTCGACCACCAAAGCTGCAACACCCCCTTGGCATACTCAACAATTTCCTCCCCGCCCAGCTTACTGTCCCCATACACCCGATCCACAAACGAGATGGGCACTTCCCCAATGCTGTAGCCCTTGGCCTTGGCCGTGACCGCCAGCGCCATCTGCATGGTGAACCCGCGCGCATCGGTGCTCTCAAACAGCTTCTCCAGCACCACCCGCTTGTACAGCCGAAAGCTGCCGGTCAGGTCGCTCACCCCGGGCCTCAGCACCGTGTCGGCAAAGATGTTGGCGCCTTTACTCGTCAGCTTGCGCTTTAGGTCCCAACCGTAGACGCCGCCGTCGCCGGCGTAGCGCGTGCCCGTGACGATGTCGTAGTTGTGGCGCTTTTGCAGCGCGATCATCCGCGGGATGAACTTGGGGTGGTGGCTGAAGTCGGCGTCCATGATGATGATGTGGTTGCCCCGGGCGAACTGCAGACCGTGTACGTAAGCCGTGCCCAGCCCCAGCTTGCCGGTGCGCGTCTGGAGTTGCACGTGCGGCGCGTAGGCCTTGACGAGCTGCTTGGCCACTTCTTGGGTGCCGTCGGGCGAGCCGTCGTCGACGATGACTAGTTCCCAGTCGAGGTTGCTGAAGGGAACGGGGAAGAGAGGTCAGTTCAGTTGGCTTTTGGCTGGTTGGGTTGATTAGGAGGTATGGGAAACGGAGAACGTACTGCTCGGTAAAGGTGCGGTTGAGCAGCCAGGTGATGATGGGCAGGTTCTGGCGCTCGTTGAAGGTGGGCAGGATCACCGAGTAGGTGTCCTTCCCAGATGACGCTTTCGCAGGGGCCATTTGTGTCTCTTGCGAGCGGGCAATGGCGAGAGCCGAGGGTTGAGGTGATGCGATGAAGTACTTACGCTCGAGATGCTGGCAGGTGGCCAATCTGGCCCGACGCGACTCGAGCTACGCTATTGGCACGAGTCCCCTTTTGAGGTTTCGCTAGCGCTTTGGTTGCCTGCCGGGAGAATCGCTTGGCAGCTAACCCCTGCCAAGACTTTTCCAACTTTAGCTAGCTTGCTCACAATCGTTCTTACCCACACACACACTCCTCACATTTCTTTTTTGGCTGTGTAGAAGGACATTGATTCTCGAATAATCCCTTCAAAGGTTGTTTCTTTACATACGAGTTACTAACTTCTTATTTCCACGCCATTGTCTTCGTCTACCTGAAATAACGTAACGTGATCAACCCGTCGACCCTCCGTTTCCCCTCGTCTTGGTCTTCAGTGCCTCTAAGACTGCTTCTAGTCCTCGTCATCTGTCACCTCAAGATAGACACGTTCACAGCTCATTACAGAATAATTCCACCGACCATCACACCGGTGGCAGCGAATTCGTTCTCTGTTGCGTTGTGGCCGCCGACAACTCCCCGGCCGAATGCGCCTTGGACCTGGACTCGGTCCGACTGACGCTCAACGTCCTTCCAGCACTCAGCCAGCTCCTGACGTGCCCGAGCCCCATGCTCTTGTAAAACTTCCTGGCGCCCTCCTCGCCCTGCGACCAGGTCCCCTGCACCACCTTGTGGTCGTCTAGGATGTTCAACCTGCGCTTGACATACTTCCACGCCTCGATACCAACGACATAGATGATGGTCATGCCGATCACGACGCCCCACTCCCAACTGATGGCCGTGTGCTTGAACACATCTCGGTTCAGGTAGGGGATGTACACGGTCGGGAACACGCTGACCAGCCCGATGGCGACGGCCCAGAAGAGGAAACGGTTTTCGTACAGGTCCTTGAAGAGCGGGAACCGTGAAGTGTCGTCCGGATTGAGGCGAAAGAGGGACCGCCGGATGTCCTTGAACTCCCACGCGCTGAGCAGGATGAGCCAGGTAAGCTCGGCGAAGACAGCGGCCCGGGCACGGAACACGGCTGTGCACGACTCGGAGTACATGCGGTTGCAGTCGTGGCCGAGCTGCCCACCGTACATGCCGTAGACGACAATGACGAACGTCATGAGCGTGCAGGTGCCCATCAGCAGCCCGTATACCATCATGTCGGCGAGGATCTGGTTGGTGAAGACACCCCTCCTCTTGTCATGCGGCGGCTTTCTCATGACGCCTGCGTTCGCCTTCTCCCTGCCCAGGCCAAACGCCGGGAACGACGAGGTCACCATGTTGATCCATAAAATCTCGAGCGGTGAGATAGGAAACACCGAGAAGCCCGTCTCGTCTTGGAATCCCAAGCCCGCAATCAGCAAAATCACCTCGCCGACGTTGCTGCTCAGCAGATGCAACACGAACTTCTGGATGTTCTCAAACATCCTCCTCCCCTCCTTGATAGCCGCAACGATACTGTTGAACTTGTCATCCGTCAGCACAATCTTGGCCGCCGACTTGGCCACGTCGCTGCCCGAGCCCATGGCAATGCCCACGTCGGCCCGGCTCAGAGAGGGGGCGTCGTTTACTCCGTCGCCCGTCATGGCCATGAACGCGTGCCGCCTCCTCAGCGCCTCGACCATGCGCGACTTTGTCTCGGGCGCGCACCGCGCGATCACCAGCGGCAGCTCCTCCAACGCGTCGATCTCGTCTTCGGTCATGCGGTCAAAGTCGGTCGCCTTCATCACCACCGTGCCGGCCACGCCCGAGGGGAGCACGCCCATGTTGCTCGGGATGATGCCGACCTCCTTGGCGATGGCTTTCGCCGTTTCCGGGTGGTCGCCCGTCAGCATGTGCACCTTGATGCCCGCCCGGGAGCACTCAAAGATGGAAGGGGACGTCTCGCGCCGCGGTGGGTCGTAGATGCCCGCCAGCCCGAGCAGCACCAGGTCCTGTTCGACCGCCGCGCGGTTTGCGTCTTCCTCGGTGGGGAAGTCTCCATTCGAGGCGATGACCTTCTTCTCGCTGCCCGGGACGTACCGCCCTTGCCACGGCCGGTACGCCACGGCCAGCACTCGCTGTCCGAGCGACGCGAATTTTGTCATTTGTTCGAGGATCTGCTCCTTCATCTCGGCCGTCATGGGCTGCTGCGCTTCGCCCGTGCCGACGTACGCGCACAGGTCCAGGATGCGCTCCACAGCGCCTTTTGTGAAGACGACGCTGCTGCCCGGGTCAACGAGCCCAGCCTCGTCGTTGTCGGACTCCAGCGGCGGGTTGTACACGACCGACATGCGCTTGATGGTGCTGTCGAAAGGGAACTCGGCGATCTGCGTCCAGCCCTGGGCTTCCATGGCCTTCTTATTGCGGTCGTAGCGGTGGGCAAAGACTTGCAGGGCGATCTCGGTTGGCTCGCCCGTTGTCTTCCACGCGGTCTCGGTCTCGTCGTAGCGGACCGTCGCCAGGTTGCAAAGCGCCGCCGAGAGCAGGAACAAGCGGAGCTCTGGTGTCAGGGACGCCATCTTGGACTCGGTCGGCTTGGGTGGGTTGAGCTTCTCGTCCGGCACGCCGTCGAACTTGACGGCTTGCGTCGTGCGCTCCTCGTCAAAGTCGCGCTTCTTGTTGTGGTCCTCCGCCTGCGGCTGGTCGCTGACGGTGCCTTTGTACGGGTCGTTGGGATCCGTCGAGCCGGTAACGGTGTAGATGGCCGACGGCGGAAGCCAAACCTTCTTGACGATCATGGCGCCTTGGGTCAGAGTGCCTGTCTTGTCCGAGCAGATGTTGGTGACCCCTCCCAAGGCTTCGAGGGCAGAAAGGTCACTGTTGGCAGAGTTAGCGTGTGAAGTCTAAGAATAGATAGCAGGGGTTACGTACCGAACGACAACATTCGCCTTCCGCATGACCGTCGTCGCCACGACCATCGAAATGGTCAACACGGCGACCAGCGATTCCGGGATGATTGCGATGCCCGTCGAGATGGCATAAATAACGACCTCCTTCGGCAGCGGACTCACGAACTTGTTCACGCCGAACACGATGACGGCCAGCAGCAAGGCGCAAAAGAACAGCAAGTAAGCCAGCTTGGCCAGCTTGATCTGCAGCGGCGTGCCCTCGGTCAGGCCGAGGAACTTGCCGAAGAAGTCGTACGTCCGGCGCGCGGCGCCCTTGATGGGCTGGGCCTTGCCGTACTTCTTCCAGTTCATTGACCGCCCGGCCTTGCGGCGCTTCTTGTTGGTCGACGCCGCGATCTTGCCCACCTCGGTCTGCATGCCCGTCGCCACGACGATGCCGCGGCCGCGGCCCTTTTGCACGATGGTCGTCGCGTACGCCATGTTGACGCGGTCTGCGATGCCGACGTCGTCCTCGCACGTGGCGGGCTGCGAATCGGTGCCCGGGATCGTGATGTCGTTGCCCGTCTGCTTCTCCACGGGGATTGCCTCGCCTGTGAGCGATGACTCGTCGCAGGTCAGGTTCATGGCCTCGAAGAGTCGCACGTCGGCAGGGACAGTGTCGCCCATTTTCAGGTTGACGATGTCGCCGGGAACAACTTCGGCGCTGGGGGAAGGGGGGGGCGGTGTTAGATCTGTTGGGCGTGGTATAAAGGCATGAACGGAGTGAGGGGAAAGGGTGGCGACTCACTTTGGCACGACAATACTTTTGCCGTCTCGAAGGACGCTGGCACTGGGTGACGAGAGGGCACGTAGAGCATCCATCTTCTTCTCAGCGCCGTATTCTTGGTAGAAGCCAATGGAGACGTTGAGCACGATGACGGCCGCCAGGACGCCGCCTTCGATATAGTCAGCAACACCAAAGCTCAGGGCCATGGCGAAGAAAAGGACCTACTCATGTATGAGCATGGGTCAGGGTGAGGTGGACGGGGTTGTACAAGGCAGCGGCACGCACCAAGATCATGGCATTGCAGAGCTGGCGGATGAAGATGGTGTACCAGGCAATACCACCGCCGACATCTAGCTCATTGGGACCATACTTTTGCTGCAGCTCGGCAGCCCGGGAGGCGGTCAGGCCCTTGTCGACATCGGTGCCGACGGCCTGCTCAACCTCCCGGACCGAGAGGAGAAAGGGATGCTTGGGGAACTCGGCAGCCATCGGACGAGGACAAGTTCACTGCGAGCAGTACACGTGATGAACAGGGCCTCGAGCGATGGAGACTTTGCTTCATTGGCGTATAGGCTGAGAAAAGGGTAAGGGACTCCGTGTCGTAGAGTTTCCGATGCGGATCCTACGATATCGGCAATCTAAGTTCTTGAGAATCGGCTGAAAAGCTACTATGACGACAGTCACCGGGAACGGGGGGTGTTGCTTTGTTTATATACCCCAGACCAGAATCTGGGGAAGCCCGCTGCAAACAGCCAGATATGAAGAGCCGCCTCCTTCCTCTCACCGATAACCCGACAGAAACGGGCGAAAGCATGGTTGGCGTGGTAGGCCAAGGAAGACCAAGAACACTATCCTAGCCATCGTCCGGTGTTGAGAAGCAGTCCAGCGTGGCAGAAGTCGTCGATGCCCCACTGCTTCGAAGGGTTGAGCCTCTGAGATGATGTGATATCGTGATATGGCACTGATAAGATGCGACCGGGTGGCGATGGGGCTCGGTATGGGCGTCATCCTCAGAGTCTTGGGAAGGCTTGGAGATGGTTGGTCATTGTCAAGATGCTGCGCGGGGCCCTCTGATAGGGCGAGTCTGGCCTTCAGGAATGTGCCGCGAGGTCATGATGCTTGGCGCCGAGCCTCGGCACGCCTAGCCTTCCTTGGAGTCGATGCTTGGCGCCGCCGGTTCTTGTCTGCGGGAGGCGGGACTCGGTCGGCGGGCCCACGCCGTCGGTCTCGGCTTTCCCTCGTTCCTCGGGGGTTCGTGCCGCTATACCCGGGGCTACGGCCTTCCTGAAGCACGTGAACAGACTGCGTATGGAAGGCCGCCTTGGCTGCAGGCTCGGCGGCCGTGGTGTGCGGATGGTGGGATTCGAATGGTTTCTATCAGTATCGCCCAGGCTTTTGTGTCGAGTTCGTTGATGACACATCTACCTTAACCCGACTCCAGTACATTGTGCTCGAGCGCCCTTGGTGGCTGATCGGATCGGCGATTTCGAAGTCCCGACGAATACCCTGGCGTCAGGCACGCAACAGCGGAGCTTTCAATCGGTTCAACCTATTGTCGCCGATCAGTTGTCCGCATCCGAATTTTTGACTTGCAGATACCCTGAGACCAAGGTGCCCAATCGCTTGTTGGGGGCAGGCACATTAGTAACAAACGCGGTTCATATAAATCGCGCCATCCGTCAGGTGCTCTAGGTGATGGTTCGAGCCAGAAGCTCGCTCTCTCAACAATGTATCGAAGGTCCGTGGCGTAGCGCCTTCCTGAGCGCGGAAAGCTGGGTAAATCGGCGGGGTAGCGGGGCCGGGTACGGTACTCCGGGCAGTTGACGAACCGGATCTCACCGGCACCTCGACCCTGTTGACGATGCAGGACAGGTTCACACGCAGAGCATTTGGCAATTGAGCGACAAGAATGAAGCGGAATCGCTTATCTGGCTGGCTCCAGAATGGAAACGTACCTATTGGTCGGAAAGATCATCCCAGCGATGATTTAAAGTCGATTTGGGGCTTGGAGAGCCACGACTAAAAAAAAAGTGTCACCAGTGCGTGCTGAAGAGATGGAAGAGAGATGGCGCTGCTACCGTCGCCAAGTTTCGCATCACATTCACGCCGCGTAGAACGGCGAGAACACACAAGCTGTGTTCGGGGATGGTGTATGCCGTGCCCGGCTAAGGTCTGCAGCCCAAACCCTCACTTCGGGGTACAATACCTATCTTACGACGCTCCATGATGGACCCTAGAAAATAGAAGATTCCATACCGGTAAGTTCTCAGGTTCCGGCGGGGTCGTGATTTGTCAATGGGACTGCTGAGGTCCGAGTCTGCTCTGAGCGTACCGTGTGTGATGTGCCGCTGCTACTGTTTAGGGGCTTCCTGTGCTTCGCACCACCCCCTCTGCGATTTCTCCCGCTTTCTGTTTCCTTCAGTTGCATCCCTCCATCTAGCTACTATCAATTCGCCAGCCGCAGACCGTCGACTTTCCCTTCATTGACCTCCGCTGATCGCGCCATCACAGTTCCAACGCTCAACCCAGAGCTACGGTATCTTACGCTTCTGCCCCGCTTAGCCAAGCGCGCAACTAGCCCCTACGTCATAACCGTGTTCGCCATGTCGACCGACTTAGAAAAAGGTAGGATACCATTTCGGCGACAAGAGAAAGCAGCAACGCCTTTTCCCCTTGGCTTCAATTCGCGCAGTATCAACCCGCGGAATCGCGCTTCTACAGAGTACTTTGTATTACCGATTTGCACTTCACATTCAATGCTGACCTCAGGTTGTTGCGCAATGGACAGTTCCCCAGCAGGAGCCCGCTAGCGCGCCCGTCGCCGCGGCTACCAGCGTCGCCGAAATTCCGGCGCCCGATCGCCCTCAGAAGACGGAGGACAGTGCGGCAGGGGTCGCGGCCGAATCCGGCCCGGCTCCCACAGCGAACGACGGTGCTGAAGGAGGAGCGCAGGAAGAGCCCAAGCCGGCGTCCGTGGAAGCCGCCGAGCCAGCAACGGTGGCCACTGCGCCTCAAGCATCCGAGCCCAAGGAGACGAACGGCGCCGCCAAAGAACCCGTTACCGAGAAACCGGCGGAGATCGAACCCGAGGCCTCAAAGCCGGCAGAAATCGCGACTGCAACCGGCGCCAATGGCGAGTCCAAATCCTCCGCCGCAGAGGACAAGGACACCGAGATGAAGGAGCTCCCCGCCCCGTCATCCGCGGAGGAAACGACCAACGATAACAACAAGCGCAAGGCCGAAGAGGTTCTCGAATCCGACGCCAATGCCGCGGCTGACGACGTCGCTGGGGCTAAGAAGGCCAGGACAGTTGCCGTTTCGGACGAGACCACTGAGACCGAGGTCGCCGGAACCCCGGCAGCGGAGACGAATGGGGGCGAGACAGAGAAAGCCCCACCCACACACGCCAAGAAGGATGGCCGGCCGAGGAAGCAGTCCGGCAGGGCGGCTGCTGCGGCCGCGGCTGGTGCGCCGGTCGGGAGGACCCTGCGGAAGACTCGGAGTCAAGGGCCTCCGGAGGTTTAATGGTAAGGATGCGAACGATACAGTGAATGGTGAAGTTTGTGTGTCGATTTTTTTTTCCTTTCCGGCTCTGGGATGAGGGATGGTTGGTTGGCTTAGAATCGGCGGGATAGTGATGCTTTCTGTGTTTTCGCCTTGTTCCTGTCTGCGCTGCTGATTCGTCGTTGTTACTGTCAGATTCTGGATTGATCCAAATGAGACTTTGTATACTGGCTTTACGAGAAAAGCCGTTTATGTTAGTTGACATGGCGTTCAAGATCAAGTCTTCAAACTAAGGTACTGCTTGTGAAACTTCCTGCCGCATGTCACTTGTTTCTTGAGTCTTGGACCAGGGTTGAGAATCACCTGCTCCTCAGTTCCAAGCAATGTATTGGTGGCCTGCATGAGCCACCAGGGTTCAACTGCATCACGGCGACACGGATGGGCGAACTACTTTTCTGCATCACGGCGACACGGATGGGCGAACTACTTTTCAGCAAACCGTCAAGTCAAAGGTTAACGATGGGGACTTTCCCCTGCGGAGGTGTTGAGCCTTTCGTCGGTCTTGGTCTCATGCACTACAGATGGTCTGTGGAGGAATCGGCACGAGAATATGGTCCCAGATCAAACGCCCGATGTGGCAAAGTTCCAGATCCGAAGCTGCGGGCCGGGTGCGTCAGCCACGGGCAGAATGTCCAATCCTAGCAAAGAAGAAACTTTATGCGTCGAAATTCGCGAGTAGAGAATACCTGTAGGTAAGGAACTCGAGATACCTTGGGTTCGATACAGATTCATAGATACAGAACGACATATAATTGGTATAAAAACATGACTACAGGCAGTGTTTGGTGTCCAAAGCACTGGACAGGCCAACTCCGCTGCCTCGTGGCACCTGCCTTCTCCCCTGATCTTTTTGGTAGGCCTCCGGTCTCTCGTATTAAAGTCGGCTGCCCCACAACTCCGGCCGAGAAGGGTCGTGTGCATCATCGAACCGGGGACTCGGGTTCGCCGGTGCCAAGTGGCAGTGCTAAGATAGAACCCTGGAATCATTGGATGGCTTTTATCATCTGATGATATCAGTATCTGTATTCAGGGGAAGATGCTCCAAATGCAATGTCAAAGTCGTCAATAAGTGATTTATTTTCATGCTAAGGTACTGGCGTCTCTATGCGCGGCTGGAAAAGCCAACGAGCAAGAAAAGCATCTGAAAATCTGGGAGAAGACAAATTTCCATTTGAGGCTCGCTTGAGTCGACCGTTTTCTTGGCACCAGCTTGCAGGACAGCGGGACCCTGCACCCTTCCAGAACTCGTGGCCTGGCATCACCCTAGGACTTCCAGGCTTTTTTACCAAAGACAACATTTCACCCGAACCTACAACGGCCTAGTCAGGGCCTGGCGTACGAGACTTCGACCACCGCTCGTTACCCGTCGATTTCTCCCAACACTCGTTCTCGACAACTGACTCTCGCTTCTCGCCCGCTCTGCGACAACCCTGCCCGCCCATTGTCGATCTCGAAACAGCACCGGATTCCCGAGTAGAACACCATCTGCGGCCTTGGCGCTGATCTTCTGCCCGTACATACAATACGTCACTGTTTCCCATTTTCGAGCATCACGTCGACACGGACTGACGATACCGATCCACAAGCCCTCCATCGTGTCTTGTGCTGAAGGAAGAGGAAGGCCCTCGATCGTACCAAAGACAGTACCGTGGCTTTGACACTCGTCGCCTTAAGAGAGGTGCGAGCCTCACCACTACTATCTTATCGTACGAACACCGCGCCAGTTGCAACTACGACCACGGAGAACACGATTTAGCTTGGTCGATACGATCCTCTGGTTGTACGTGGGCCAGCTTCGAGCCTTTGGTCAGCATCTAGCTTTAATGCCCTCTGTAAACATCGGATTTTGAACTCGGAGACAGCATGGACGCACCATGGCACCTCCTCCCCAGGGGGGAGAAAGACCCTGGCAAAGCCTTGTTGGAGCTCTTGGCAAACCCCTTCGCCTCTCAGGTAAGCCAGTCCCTTGTCTGCTTGGTGGCCGCTACCGTCTCTTCTAACCGGCCGGCCGCCTTAGTTACAACAAAACTCCATTTGGGCCGCGTTGGCCTCCTCCCTAGGTATCACAGCCGCCATTGCCGTCTGCTTCTCTTTCCTTCGCCCATACAATAGCGTTGTATATGCGCCGAAGCTCAAGCATGCCGACGAGAAACATGCCCCCCCGCCCCTGGGGAAGGGAATCTTCGCCTGGATCTTCCCGCTGTGGTCGACTTCGGAGCAGGATCTGGTCAACTTGGTGGGCTTGGACGCTGCCCTGTTCATGCGCTTCACCAGGATGTGCCGCAACATCTTTCTCGTTCTCGCCGTGCTCGGTTGCGCCATCATAATACCCATCAACTACACCAACTATGTCACTATTGGGGATGGCGACCAATGGGTGCTGATGGTCACGCCAAAGAATGTCTGGGGTTCTCCGCAATGGGCTACCGTGGTGTTCGCTTGGCTGTTGGCCATTGTCGTGTGCGGCTTTCTATGGTGGAACTATAGGAAAGTTCTGCAGTTGAGACGCCAGTACATGAAGAGCGAGGAGTACCAACAAAGTCTCCACGCCCGCACCTTGATGGTACACCTTCGCCGCTTCCTCACAATTCCGCAAAATTGAGCTAACCCGATACTACTAGCTGTATGATATTCCCAAGAACCTTCGCTCCGACGAGGGCATTGCCCGGATCGTGGATACCGTCGCCCCAAACTCGTCCTTCTCCAGAACCGCCGTTGCCCGCGACGTCAAGGTGCTTCCCGACTTCATCCAGCAGCATGAGAAGGCGGTCCGAAAATTGGAAAAGGTACTGGCCATCTATCTGAAGGATCCGAATAATCTCCCGGCCGAAAGGCCCAAGTGCTCTCCATCCAAGAAAGACCCTTCGTACGGGACCTACCCGAAAGGCCACAAAGTGGATGCCATCGAGTACCTCACGCAGCGCATCAAGCTGCTGGAGTTGGAAATCAAAGAGGTCCGCCAACGTATCGATAAGAGGGGTTCTATGCCCTACGGATTCTCGTCTTACGCAGACATCGCTGAGGCGCATGCCATCGCCTTCGCCTGCCGCAAGAAGAAGCCGCACGGGGCGACCATCAAGCTCGCCCCCAGGCCAAATGATATCATCTGGGACAACATGCCGCTCAGTCCATCAACCCGGAAGACGAGGAGGCTGTGGATCAACTTCTGGATCACGGTTCTCACTCTCCTGTGGATCGCACCCAACGCCATGATTGCCATCTTTCTGGTCAACTTGGGCAACCTGGGCAATGTGTGGCCCGCCTTCCAGCAATCGCTCATAGCGAACGCGGGGATATGGTCCGTCGTCCAGGGTATTGCTTCCCCGGCGCTCATGTCGCTTGTCTATCTCGTCCTTCCCATCATTTTCCGGCGCTTGTCCATCAGGGCAGGCGACCAGACAAAAACAGGGCGCGAGCGTCACGTCGTGGCAAAGCTCTATGCCTTCTTCGTCTTCAACAACCTCGTCGTCTTCTCCATATTTAGTGCCTTGTGGAGTTTTACATCGAATGTTATCCAGCAGACGAGCATGGGCGTGGATGCTTGGACCGCTATTTTGAAGGAGAATATTGGCGAGACCCTGTTCCAGGCTCTTTGCGGACTGTCCCCGTTCTGGGTCACTTGGCTCCTCCAAAGACAACTGGGCGCGGCCGTCGACCTGGCTCAGCTCTGGACGCTCCTCAGCAGCTTCATCATGCGCAAGTTCTCGAGCCCGACACCACGGGAGCTGATTGAGCTCACTGCGCCGCCACCTTTCGACTATGCGAGCTACTACAACTATTTCCTGTACTATTCAACGGTCGCTCTTTGTTTCGGCGCTCTGCAGCCGCTTGTCCTGCCGGCCGCGGCTCTGTACTTTTGCATCGACGTTGGGCTGAAGAAGTACCTGCTGCTCTACGTCTTTGTCACCAAGACAGAGAGTGGCGGCATGTTCTGGCGCGTCTTGTTTAACCGCTTCCTTTTTGGCACTATCCTCTCTCAGCTCGCCGTCTTTATGATCGTCTGGGTACGGGGCGACGGCACTCATATTCATGCCTACGCCGTCGCGCCTCTCCCGTTCCTGATGATCGGCTTTAAGATCTTCTGCGCGCGCTCCTTTGACTACAAGATTCATTACTACACCACGAGGTATTCGGCGCAGCAGCAAGCCGAGTCAGGCATGGACGTGAAGGAGCAGAGTCTGCGCAATGACCGGCTCGCCGCTCGTTTTGGCCACCCTGCTCTTTACAAGCCCCTCATCACGCCCATGGTGCATGCCAAGGCGCAGAACTTGCTCGCTAGCGTGTATAGCGGGCGGTTAAGTGACGGTCGGGATGCCGGCTTCGACGATTCCCAGACCGTCAGCGGATACAGCGATACCTACGCCCTCGACAACATGGCGGCCGGCAAGGCTGGCAAAACCTCGCCTGCAATGCCCGGGTTTGAAGTCGTGCCCGAGTCCCGCCTCGATTTCGAATTCTACAAGAACCGCGACGAATTTGCCGCGGACCACGGCGGCGGCGAGCTATTTGGGCGGCCCTCGGATATGATTCGGCCCGGCACGCCAGGCACGATTGGCAGCTCCGAGGCTACCTCCCGACCGGGTACGCCCGTGGGTGGGATGGGTTTCGGTGGCCGAGGCGGAAACCTGCGTACATACACGGACTCTAGCGTCTTCTCGGCTTACCCTTCACAGCCCCAGCCATATCCAGGCCAGGTGGCCCTATCCGAACTCGCCGCTCGCACCCGAAGCCCAATGCCCCTGTACACCCACGGCAACGACAGCGGCGCAAACCTCGTCGCGAGCGCGGCTCCCATGCCGGTTGCCACCCCGGCGTACCCGCCGACGCTTAGCACGTACGGAGCCAGAGACAGAGACCCCAGGTTCGAGCCGAGCGCGACCATGGGCGGCAGCGCCTCCTCCCGGCACCACGCCGCGACTTCCGCGCTGCCGGGGAGCAGCCGCGCCCCGGGAATGCTGGGCGGTGGGCCGTATGGTTATGGTGGGCTGCCGCAGACGGATGATCTGGACCTCGTGCAGTCGCCTCCGTTGGGGACGGTGCAGGATCCAGCGCAGTATGATTACTTTAGGGGAGGCAGTGGGAGTAGAGGGGCCGGTGCTGGGACGCCAGGGGCGGCGACAAGGGGTGCTGGTGGGGGAAGCCGTATTTGGGATGGGAATTAGATGCTGTCCGGGTTGATGGGCCATGAAGGTCAGGACAGGGGCGAGCTGGAGAGGAGGATTTGTACATACGATGAGGATGAGGCGACGGGGACAAAGTGGCGGAGGCCTTGTTCGGTGAGAGGAAGCGCAGCGAAGCGAAGCAGTCTGAGGTGTATTTGATCTTACACACTTCTACATGGAGGGATGGCATTGTTTCGGCGTTGGTGGCGGGCTGGTTGGGTAGGTTGTTTGTTTGCATACGCCGCATCGTTGTTCGACATTATGGGACTGGCTGGCTCATGAGCATTTCTGATAGAAAACATTTGTAGAGGGTATATGGTGGTAATATGCTTGTGGATGGGCTTTTAGCTCGCCATGGTGCCCAACACATATACAATTTGTTTATGTTCCATATCATTTCTTGGGAACAAAAACCTTCCACGTTGTATTGCCATCCTGGAGGCTTCTGCTCCAGACGAGGCGTTGTGGTCCGGTTGACCATGGTGGCTACTGCCCCTGGATCTGTAAGGTCTGGGCCAGCACTCGACCCTGCCATAAAAACCGGTCCATCCCAACTCCTGCCCACAAACACTGACGCACCTTTCCAGGACATCGCCCGTTCCCCTTCTTTTTCCCTTCCACCCCCCTTCCCCATCCCGTTTTCCCTCTTTCACCCCGCCCCTCTTTCCTTTCTCTCTTTTCGTCCCCTTATTCCCCTGCTCTAGCTTCCATTTTCCCTTTTTCTGTCCCCGTCCGTAGAAGCAAATCCAATATTATGGACCCAGGTCTTTTTCGAGCCTCGATCCGAAGCATGTCCAATCTTCTGCGCTCACGAGAAGTGTAAGTAAGGAAAATGGTTGTGAAGAACGTGGCTCATATTCTCGTCAGAGACCGTGCCTGAGGAGTTATGCCATTCCTGAGCCCAGGTTGCCGCTCTGGCGCCGTTTTGCGCCCCAAAGTACACAAAAACCGCGATGTTCCTCCCCCCAGCCAAGAAAACCCGCAACGCAATGCAACGCCCGTCCTCGGTCTTGAAGTTTATTTCTTGCCCGACTTCTTGATGCCCTTCGCCCTTGTGTTAGCGCGTCCCTGTATGTCGTAAAGACTGGACCAGTTTGCCGTACCTGGGTACCGGTATTCTGGACGCAAGAGAGTCGGTCAGCGTCACGTCATGGTTCGGTATTGATTTTTTCGAACCAAGGACATGGACTCACCAGAGGGCCCTTGCCGGCGGCCTTCGCCGCGAGATCCTTCCTCGCCTTTTCTTCTGTATACGTAATGGAAGACTACTGTCAGTTGCCCGTGTCGGGGTAGCAAAGAGGAGGGGTTATGGGTATTCGGCCGGGGTTCCGTACCGGCGCGCTTCTTCTCGAGGAAGGCCTTGTCGTCGTCGTCGAGCTCCTTGGGACCCTTCTTTGGTGCCTGTGATGTGGTGTTGGTCCATGGTTCAGATATGGCCCTACCGGCCCGGTTCCGGGGAAGCCGTTGACGTTGTGCGCACCTTGAGGGGCTTGGCCTTACCGCCTGTTTGCCGGTGATGTTAGTGAGGGGTACAATACAACAGCAGGGTATGCGATGAAGAGTGAACTTGCCGTCTCTGCTTTGACCACCCATTGTGCTCTGAGCTTGGAAAAAGATAGTGGGGACAGGTTTTTCAAGAAGTGTTCCTCTCACAAGCGACGCACCTTTGTGAAAAGTATGGCAGCGAAGATGGGCGCTTGTCACAGATTCCTCGAGGAAGGAACTTGAAGGGCTTCCGAGGTCCAGGGTCCAGAACAGATTTGGGCGGTGGACCGGATAAATGCCGGGTCGCGCGCCAGCGACTGCCGAACATCAGAGAATCACTTGGCGCGTCAGGCACTCACGCCCAAGGCATTCCGGAATATTACCTTCCCTTATCGACACATCGCACCAGAACTATTTATCACCAGGTTATCAGCATCCAATACGGTCCAAGCTGATTTGGGCTGTCTCATCGGCTCAACGGCTTTGAGATCGGGATTCGACCGGTCGGGTTCAACTCTCGCATCTTATTCTGCAGCAGAATTCCTGCTGACACCGCTGGCGCCATCCAAAACAGGGAGCGCGCATTGACCGCAACGCATATCTGGGGTTCCTGGCAAGGGGGAGCATTCCAGCAAACTGACGAGTACATTCGGCGGTCGGTACAATGGCGTCTGCAGCGCTCAGCTCGGATGAAGGGGAAATCGTAGAGGCAACTCCCCTGCCTCGCTCTGAACAAAACGGTGATGTTGACCGGGCCGGCAGACATCGAGGCAGATTCCCATCGCGGACTCCTGACACCGACTTGCCATCGAGGGACTCAGTCGACGGGCCTCGCCGACGCAGCCGCTCGCCCCGCGGGTGGAAGAGGCCCCGTGACGACCCCCGCGACCGACGGGACACGCGCCAGTTCCGTGTCCACTACGAGAGCACCCCTCGAGATGATCGCCGCCACTACCGCGATCTAGACCGCCCTTCCTCGCGCGGTTCGGACCGCTACGACGACCGTTCGAATGGCCACTACGGCAGCCGAGACTCAGCCGCCGCGCGGCCCAGGAATTACCGTGCTGACGGCGGCTATGACCGCAGCTACGACCGTGACCGCAGAAACGATGGCTACCCCGACAAGCGGGCTCGGACCCATAGCCGGTCGCCCCGGGGCAGAGGCGACAGAGGAAGGCGAGACGGCGGTCGCTACGGGGCAGACTTGAGACCCGGCGAAGACATGTATAGTGCCCAAGCTGAGAGACGCCCACAGGATGGCTCCATATCCAAGCGGGCTACTCCGGTGGAGACGCATGGTACTTCTGAGCGAGATGCTGAAACTAATAAAGGTGCAACGGTGGACCGAGGGCTCAGGAATCTTAGCATTTCGCAGACCAGGTAATGCGCCGTAACGACCGGTTGTCGTCGCATGCTAATGATAATTTCGCAGAGCACCTGCCCAGGATCCCGAGCCTGACATGGACTGGGATCCAGATACGGCCATGGACGAAGAGGTTGCTGTTCAAGCCGAGATTGAGCGTCGTCGGCGTGCAAGAGAAGCAGCTCTCATTCGAAGCATTGGCGCAGCAAACCCCGCGGTTCAAGCCGCCCAGGCTGGCGATAGGCCCGCATCCACGCCGGCTTCTACTCGTCCCAGCACGCCGGGAACCCAGAGAGTAGAGGGTGCGACTCCATTGTCCAGTAAGAAGTCCCCTTCATCCCTTCCCGTACAAACTCACCGCTAACCATGGCAGATGGCCCTTCGTCCCCTGGCTTGTCGCCTGGCAGAGTCCAAGAAGCCCTCTCTCCTGGAGTGTTCAATTTTTCTGATGACCAGGCACTTATCAATGATCACCGCGAGACGAAAGCCCTTGACGAGGACGGGCCCTCCGCAGCTGACTATGACCCCATCGCCGACATGAAAGAAGATGAACGTCGCGATGAGATGCGTCACGGAAACGTAGGTCTGCATGGCGAGCCACGCCGCGCTTCCGTGGTCGAGCCGGTGGTGTCCACCGTCCCAGTGACGGAGTCCGAGGGTGCCAAGAAAGGCGAAGACGAAGACGGAGACGACTTCGACATGTTCGCCGAAGACTTCGCCGACAAGTTCGCCGGCCCTGCCATCAGCAAACCGGACGCCACCCAAGAAGCCCGGGCACCGCAGCCTGGCGGAGGCGGTGGCATCTTGGAGGGAGACGACAAGGAGGGTTACTACAAGATCAGGCCTGGAGAGTTGTTGGACGGACGCTACCAGGTCTCGACAACCTTGGGCCGCGGTATGTTCTCGGGTGTGGCCCGGGCCATTGACGTTGCAACCAAGAGACCTGTGGCCATCAAAATCATGCGTAACAACGACGCGCTGCGCAAAGGAGGCTTCACCGAGATTGCCATTTTGGAAAAGCTCAATGCAGCTGACCCCGACGACAAGAAACACATTGTCAGGTTCGAGCGGTCATTCGAGTATAAGGGGCATCTTTGCATGGCCTTTGAGAACCTCAGCATGAACCTCCGCGAGGTCCTCAAGAAGTTCGGCAACAATGTGGGCATCAACCTGAATGCGACTCGAGCGTATGCATACCAGATTTTCCTGGCGTTGGGCCACATGCGCAAGTGCAGCATCATACACGCGGATTTGAAGCCCGACAATATCCTGGTAGGCCGAGGCCCTTCTTCCTCAGGGCAAACGAACGGGGCCTAACAGTTCGCAGGTGAATGAAGCCCGAAACCTGCTCAAGATCTGTGATCTGGGCACGGCAATCGATCGGTCTGATGCCGCCACGGCTGCGACTGAGCCCATGCCGTACCTCGTCAGCAGATTCTACCGCGCGCCGGAGATTATCCTGGGCGTCCCGTTCGACTATGCCGTCGACATGTGGTCGATCGGCTGCACGCTGTACGAGCTGTACACCGGCAAGATTCTGTTCACGGGCGAGAACAACAACCAGATGCTGAAAAACATCATGGAGATTCGGGGCAAATTGAGCGCCAAGCTGTACCGGCGCGGCGAGCTTGCCCACAACCATTTCGACGAGCTAGGCAACTTCATCAGCGTGGAGAGAGACAAAGTTACTGGCAAGGTGAGTTTAAGCTTCCTCGTTAATTCATTCGTGTTTTGCGTTGGCAGTTACGAACCTCTCAACGTCACCCCTTGAATCACCTCTGTTTCTATTATTTTGCCGGACGTTTGGATTCCCGCCTATTTTCAAGCCGGACGGCTGGCAGGGTGTGATTCCGGTGCCGTAGCCGCCCGGGATCAACATGGAATCCCACCCCTCTTCCCGCGGTTGGCGGTCATCAATCTGCCGCCTTCCAATGCATCCGCCACCTCTAGCTCTGCGACTTGGTCTCCAACATGCGCCGGAAAGAGACTCGATATGCACGCAACGCTGCAACGGCCGTACGCCGGTTGCCAGAACATTCCGCTCCTATTCCTGTTCTGCCAGTGGCGCGCCATTGAACACCTTTTCTGCGCATACCAACATTGACGGACCAAACGGCTAACCTGTTACCTTCTTTGACTCATAGACAACCGTCCGGACGCTGGCCACAGTCAAGCCGACGCGAGATTTGCGGACCCGTCTTCTCGCCGCGTCGGCCGGCATGAGCGATGCTGAGAGCAGAGAGCTCAACCACTTTGTTGACTTGCTCGAGCGGTGCCTGATGCTTAACCCGGATAAACGGCTCACGCCTGCCGAGGCGCTGCGGCATCCCTTTTTTACTCATCGGGTGAATTTTGGGCATGGGCATGGACATGGGCGATAGTTCGGGGGGGACTTGTTGCGGTTCTGAGTCCACTATCCGTACGGAATACTATTTGGTAGAAGCAAAGTTGTCTTGAGGCGGGCAATAAGTGATGTGGGTTTTGCCTCGGTAGATGTGGTTTGCGGTAGTGCGGGCTGCGAGGCGCATGAGGATTACTTGGGGCATGACGGATTTGGGTTTTCGCGTGTTGCCCGGCCCGCTTTTGGGATGGATAATACAGAGAGAGAGGTTCTGGCTATTGCCTTGCGGGCATGCAAAGGGTCAGCTGAAGAGGAGGGTGTTGGTGTTTACCTGTGCCTGAGTCTGATGGGAGGCAAGGCGGACTGCGCTACAGTGATGCTTACCTAGTAGCATTATCGCCTTCCTTTGTGCCCCTGAAGCTGTTGTAAAGGGCATACTCATCAACCACCTAGGCTTTGCAACATGTGGATTGCGATTGCGAGTGCTACCGCTCGGATATTCTATGATTGTTTAGGGCTCGTCCCCATCAACCGGCGTCCGGCTACTCTGATGTCGAAAATTTTTCCAAATCATTGGTGGTCTCCCCTGGAGCTGAGAGTGCTTAGTGATGTGTCTTTTCTATTCATCATAGGAAACCGTCGGTTCATGAAGGATGATAGTCCTCGCATCTCTCTCTCGAAAGTGACAAATGCCGAAACCCAGAGGGCCGACACGTACAGATAAGGTAACTCACTGTCGCACTATAGCAGCTGCGGGCAGAAGGCAAGGAGTGTTTCATGCATCTTGGTTGTTCAACTTCGACATACCGGTTGGTTGACCAAAGGGAGGTTGGTAAGAGTAGCCGCTTGAAGGCAGACAGCTGGTTCCGCGCCGCCCCTGCGCCGCCTCCCGCATGGCTCTTCCTCTCATCCGTCAATATCATGCCCGAACATTCCCCTGCTCGGCCTGGGAAAGCGGCCGATGGTTCAGTCAGACCAGACGGTGGGTTTGGAATTCCGGCGCTTAACTAACTACATGGGCGGGTGTTCAGTTTGTAGTGTAATTAGGACAATACGACACAACCACACGCCGAGCGCCACAACTAACTTGGACATGCATATATGTACATGGAACTTGACCGGCCGGCGATCTCACCTTGACTTCCGAAGATGGGGCCACCGAGGCAAAGCGAGAGAAAGGGATAGCTAGATAGTTGTTTTACCGTACTTTCAGGCTTGGTGACACAATCTTTTCGTATACCCCGAGGGACTGGAAGGATTGGATGACATTGGGATAGATACCTTTATCACGACAGAGGGGCCCAGCACTGCCCAGACAACCCGCCCCGAGCCCGGCAGGCTTACGGTAAAGAATGCACCTACCCGCCAGGTTCTGCATTGTCGAATCACTGTGAGGTCGGCAGTCCAGCCCCGCTGCTTGACTGACTGACTGAGTCACGAACAATGTTCCCCCCTCACTAAGCTTGTTGATGTACGTGGAAGGGCTGGCTGTGTTTTCTGTAGGCATACAAACCATTATGTGTGACTTACGATTCTCGACACACATCTCATGTATTGGAGCTTTATTCCTTTGCAGCTTGCGGCCGCCGAGCCGATCGAGGCTCGACCTGGCATCGACGACCAACTCAGCGCTGATAATCTGATCAAGGCCGGGATTCACATCGTAATAAATGCCAGCGCAAACCATTGTGACGACCATGGGCGAATCGCAGCAGCGTCGATCTTGAACCATGATGCCGATCAGCCCGGCCGGGCTTTCCGGGGGGTTGGTCCACACTCGCCGAGGGCTCGCCTCTCTCCGTCTCATGTCCGGTTCTTGGCTCCATGCCGCCGGACCGGCCAGGAACCTGAACGGCTGTTGGACACTGTCCGGAGCTAACACTCCCTACTGTGTAACACAGGAGGCTGCTGCAACAGTCTATCGTCCATGTTCGTCTCTGGTTCTAAGCAGCCGAGCATGGGCCTTTCTTACTCCGTACCCAATAACGTATTCCAGAGATCGCATAGAGAACCGGACTCGGCACAGTGCATGATTCAACTCGACAAGCATCGCGTCTCTCAATGAACACACACCATCCCCACCCCAGGTCCTCCCGCCGCTCTCGAGCGTTTGAGAAGCGTCTGCGGGAAGTGGGCCGATCAGCGGCTGGACTTGTAACTGTCGGATTCCCGCATGAATGTTTGGGTGCCTCCAAGCATCAACTGGCGGCGATCATTGGAAGCTCGGTTCGGCAGATGGCCATCAGAAACAACTTGACTGCAGGAATCCCAGCGGGCGGCAAAAGGTTGTGGGCTTTGGAAGATGTGATCCGCACATGTTCAAGGCAAGAATAGCCACGTCTTTTGCTGATCCTGCTCGCCATGTGCGTAATCGACTCGATGCGATCGGCAGCGTGCATCACACATGACCCGACAATCAGTCTTCTCGAAGCTGGCGTCTCTTGATTTCCTGAATACCTACAGTACTATAGTTAGTAGGGAATGCATCCAAGAGCCATTTAACATCAAGAAGTAGATCTCGATCTGGTTCAGTGTTGCTCGCAACGTGGATGCTCGCCAGTAGCCGCTGATGATGCAGAGGCCCGATGTTTCGACCTCCCAATCCACCGGGTCCGAGATCCCTGGACCGTCAACCTTGAAGGATGCAAGTCATAACGTTAAGCGCGCGGTCGGTTTAACCGGCCACTTTAAGGTAGGACTGAACATGCGGACGCTTTGGCAAAATTGCCGTTGCAGCAAGGTAAGGCGCGAAAATTCCCCAAGGCATCTGCAGGTGGACTCAATTTGACGGGTTGATGTTGTGAAAGATGGGTGTTGTGTTGAACAGTATCAAACTGGAACCTGCTCAACTGCGGTTAACTGCATTTGCTTCGGCCAGAGACGGGCCAATTTTGAATCTGATACCTAACACCTAATGTGACAACCCTGCCGTTAACGACTCAAAGGTTCAAAAATATCGGGGCTTCAAGACAAGAACAGTAACAACATATGAGCCAGAGCTCTCGATACCTCCGTTGTACTCTGCCTTTGGAAGTGCAGCCTGAAACTTGCATTGTCTGTACTCCATACGGAGTCAGGTATCTGATCTGACTCTCTTTCCTCATGCAACCTGCACTGGGCGTTCCTTTATTTGATCCTGGCGCTAGATCCAATCATTTGAGGCAGGCTCGACAACCCGCCCATTGGATATCGACTGTTGGAAGGAATCCAGATGTTTTGTCGACTGCCAATCTCCCAATGCGTTCCAGCACATGGTTTGGCAATGATAATCAAACCAACCCGACCCTGGCACATTACATAACCGGCGCCGTTGGAGCAACGCTCGCTTTGACTCCTTTCCTGGCCCCGGCAGAGTCAGGCCCAAGGGACCCCACGAGGAGCTCCCTTCTTGGCCTTGATGAGCTTGCTAGTGGTCCCACTGTCATCGTAATCAAACCTCCACACAGAGACTATTGACGATCTCTCGTCACGATTCACTGCCGAGCAGGGCTCCAGGGAAGGCGTGGACTTGTGGCTTGGCTCTGATGATCAGTGCCCAGCAACGTCAACAGGTCGTCAATAAGCAGCAACAATAGGAGGACACAGCAGTTGCCGACGGCCTCGCATTGTGGCAGGACTGTATGCATCCTGCCACGACACGGCATAACAACTCAGCTGGGGACTTGATGTCGCCTTTCAAAAACCCGTACTCACAAATCTGCAGCATGTACGGAGCTACTGTAGTACGGAGAGGTAACAGACAGCCTGCATTACCCGATCTGCAGAAACAAACTGTGCACGGAGCAGTTTGGAATCCCCATCCAAAACCCGAGATGTTGCAGCCAATCAATGCATTCTGTGATCAGCCGGGCTCGAACAGCGCCCGCTCTCAGCAGGGGAGACAATCTCGGCACTCACCGGATCCAGCGGCTGAGAAGGACACCCGCCCCCGCCGCCACAGCAGAGAGTGGGCCATCTTCTGTGGTGGGCAACAAAAGAATGCAAGGGAAGCTGACTTGTATTGTAAGCCACGTACACGCTTAAATTCAACCTTCGCCTTATTCGTCATCAGTCATCATTCCTAGTAGACAGCTCACTGCTCTTTTCAATCTAGGTACCAGGCCTGGGTCCTGCTGCTCACAAGAGGACGATGTGTTTTCGCCGGCTCCAGCCGCTGTCACATCCAGCGTTCGCGGTCAAACAAAGAAGGCAAACGGATGGCTTGTCACGGGGCCTCGCTTGACTTGCAGCCCCGGGCATCGGCCGCCCACCGTTCGATCCTCTGCTTTGTTTTCCTGCTCTCACCCCACCTCATGAGACCGAACCGAAACTTGCGCACGCCCCACCTCCTCCCGGGTGTGGGCGTGCCCAGATGTCCAGAAGGCTGCAATGGATCGAAGGAATGTGGGGCAGAAGCTGTGTTTCTTGAATGAGCAATTGGTGTGGGCAGCCGAGGAGGCAGTGACACACCCTTGCCCACTCACAAAGCACTCTGTGTGTCAGCCCAGGCCTCTCCGCGTCATCACACATTGGCTCTGCTTTTTCGTTAGCGCGAAAGGCACCATGCCGAGCATGCCCACCTTTCTTGGCCAGAGCATCCAACATGCCTCCTCCGAGCTAGCGCCGCTGCACCCAAGATTATGAATAGGAATGGCGCATCGCATGGTGTGTTAGGCTTGCGACTCAGTCCTGAATACGTACACGTACACACACACAACCCTAGCGGACCCACCGGGGCGCCACTCTTGCCGTCTCTGGGCAATGAGGAGGGCACATTGAGGACCCAAATGGAGCCCGTCTGACAGGGACTTCTGGGCCAATCAAGCCACGGTAGCGGGCGAAACCACACATTCGAGGGCGGGCAAGGGCAAGGGGGCGACGGTGCGAAGCGGACTCGTGCTCGTTGAGACGGGGCGGCGGAGTCAGTCCAGCCAGCTCTGTCGAGGTCATATCAACAATCTTCCAACCCACCGCATCACCGATGCCTCACTCCCACGACCGACCGCCCCTTTCTCGACGCTCCTTAATACAGTCACCATTTACCCTCCTCTTACCTTCGTCGCCTCTGGTTCCTAATCGAACCAGTTGCCGTGGGAGCCGTTCCGTCAAAACTCGCCCCTTTCTTCGCCCCTCCTCTCACCGCCGCAACAGTTGACACCCAACGACCGCTGTCCCACCATACCTGGCTGACTCGTTCACTCGAGATCACCTTAGTTACGGTCCTGGACTTATCGGCCCTTCAGATCAACCCGACCCCAGAAGGTTCCGGAGCCAGCCCACAGGGACAAAGGAGTCTTCTGAGTTCGCCTCTTGAATTTTGGGGATAGGATATTGCCATATCCGCTGGGTCTTTCTGCCAAGGGATCCGTTTCCTATTCCATTTCAGTGTTATATTTCTTTTTCTTTCCCTCCGCCGTCCCGGGGTTCTGCATTCCAACTGGAGTTCGGAACCATCCGCCTCAGCCAAGTCCACCCGCTAGAAGACGAGCGTGTCAGGAACGAATTCCGTATCATGCAGCATGTTTCAATGTTTGGATACCCCACTCCACCAGCATCACCAGCTTTTGGCCAGCCTTGCGGGATCCCGAGCCAGCACATCACCGTCCAGCAGCCGTGCCTACCCCGGTTCGTTCCAATCGCCCCGGAGGAGAGGTTAGGAAGGTTTATCACGGACTCATTACAACTCACGGGCATCGTGGGCACCGGCGCCTATGGGGTTGTTTACTCGGCCGTCGACAAGAGGAGCAATGTCCAGTATGCCGTCAAGTGCCTCAGCAAGTTCAACCCTGACGGTACACCACTGGACCGCCGCCAAGTCGCCTTCCAAACCAGGGAGATCCGGCTGCATCACCTGGCTTCGAACCACCGCAACGTGGTTTCGATCCTGAAGATCATCGACTACCTGGATTGCATTTACGTTATTTTGGAGTATTGCCCCGAAGGCGACTTGTTCTACAACATCACCGAGCGCGGGCAGTATGTGGGTAAGGATGAGTTGGCCAAAAACGTCTTCCTCCAGATCCTGGATGCCGTGGGGCACTGTCACAGCCTGGGCATTTACCACCGGGACTTGAAACCCGAGAACATTCTCGTCTCAGACCAGGGAGGGACTGTCAAGCTGGCAGACTTTGGCCTTGCTACTTCCTCTGAGCGATCCGAAGACTACGGCTGCGGTTCGACGTTCTACATGTCTCCAGGTAGGTTTTCCACAGTACCCGCGTTTCCTCCCCCTTGTCTTACTTTCCGTCCGGCCTGCCTCTCAGGAGAACTGCCTCGGTTATCCCCGCGCCCCATCAACCCTCAACTTCCCACTGACTTTCTCTGTTTCTTCTGTTGTCTAGAATGCCTGGATCCCTCATCAAGGAGGCCGTTCTACTACTGCGCTCCAAACGATGTTTGGAGCCTGGGAGTCATCCTGGTGAATCTCACCTGTGGACGCAACCCATGGAAGCAGGCATCCTATGAGGACGCCACGTACCGGGCATACACCAAGAGCCAGGACTTTCTGAAGACCATCCTTCCCGTGACGGATGAGTTGAACGACATACTGGGGAGGATATTTGCTCGGAACCCGGACGAGAGGATCACGCTACCCGAGCTGCGTGCTCGGATTCTCGCCTGCTCCCGGTTTACCGAACCACAACAGACACCGCCTGCTTCGCCAGGACCCACGACTTACGTTTGCGAGGAGCTCATCATGGACGAGTACGACTACGATTACGAGGCATCACTCTCCCCTGCTTCCTCGGTTGGGGAATCGACGTGCTCGTCGGACGAAGGGTCTCTCGCCTCGACTGGTTCAAGCATTGAAGACTTGGAGGATGACGATTTCCTGGACGACATCCCCGAGGCCAAGACACCTCCCCCACAGGCGCAAGCGCCCATGGGAGAACCTGCGATTTACGAACCTGAAGAACCGAGGGTTATGCAATACCACCCGCCACAGGAGTATCTGCACCCCTTCCCCATGGCGGTTCCGGAGCCCGTTCAGGCGATGCCTGTACCTGTCCAGCCATGTGCGCCGCCGCCCAAGTTTCAGCTGCACCAATATGTCTGGGACATGTTGAGGTATGGGCACCCGACACCGCCGGTGCCCCAACTTCACCACCTTGTTCCGTTCCACCATCAGGTTCCTCTGTTTGCCCACATGCAGGGCTGCTACTAGCATTGCTCATTCTCACAACCCTGTATGGTGCGACCCGGCCACGGGCTGCTGTTACAGTTTTGTTTTGAGTTTTCTGCTCCTGAGCTGGATGGAAGCGCCCTCATCCGTCCGGGATGGAGTCATTTTCTCCGTCTCGCTGCTAGAACCGCCATTACCATTGCCTGTCGGCCGTGACGGATCGCATTCTCAACCACGCCCCTCACCCACCCGAGGCACGACAAACAAATAACGTTTATCACTCCCCGAGTTGGGAGTCATCAAAACAGAAATATGCGTCTTTAATGTACCCGGTTGTTATATTCTTGTTTTCGTCCACCAAGGACCGATCGCCCTGGAACGGACGACAATCCGATGACCTGATGGCGGTTTTCTCTACCATATCCTCGAACAACATTTCGTGTATCTGTTTTATTACGTTGATTTCTTTTGTTATTTGGATGGCGCTTGGATGGATGGACAAGGGCCGGTCTGGAGCATAACTCGGCGCAGGGGTAGGGTTTTGTCTAACAGAAGCTCGTCTCGGAAAGGATGGGAGGATTCTTGAGTTTGTGTCCTTGTTTGACAGCTCAACATCGTTCTAATACCCCAAGGTGTCTTGTTTGGGAGGCGGAAAACATGTGGCATGGGGGTTTGAGCCAGCTCCTACATTACTCTTAGACATTCCCATGGGTCAATAACCCGCATTACGTTTTTCTTTCCTCTGGACCCTGCTTGGGTTGTGTTGGGAGATACACAAGGCAGGTTGGGATGGGAAGGGAGCAAGCAAGCAAGCAACGGTGTTGATAGAGACAGATCTGCTTTGCGCAACGAATATGATGGTAAAGATGGGAAGACAAATCTACCTACTAGATGCCTCGGTGCTGTTGAGTTCGTGATGTTGTGCAGGTTGTCAACCAAACAATCACAAGGGCGCTTCCACAAGTAGATGGGTTCGCGATGCTGGAAGCACCAAGTTCCATCACCCAACCCAACCCATCGTATCGCCCAGGCTTCATATCAGCGTTGGTAACATTTCCGAAATTGACTTGCAGCAGCGTTCCAAGCCCTTGTGAGATGATGCATGCGCCTTATTCCGTAATGTGACACATACGCCCTGTCACCAACCGCCCATCGACTGCCTGTTTCTTCCAGACATTGACTGACGTCGGTTAATTTACGTAGTATGATAAGTACTGTGTAAAGGAGAGATGCAGAGTAGCATTGCATGGCCCCGCTACCCCCGATGCGGTGCAGGAAAGGATCCCGCTAACTAGCTGAGTGGCTGGTTGGTGGGATGAGGATCGGGGGGCTCGGGTGGTGATGATTGGCGTTTGGGGGACGGCGCCACGTCGCCCTACTTTTTGTGCTGTCGTGCATGTGTCCAGCACGGTGCATAAAGGTTTAGCCTGGAAATGAAGCAGCCTTGCTCTAGTGGTGTTACATGGTTGGTGTGTAGGGTATGTTTACTGGATGAGGAGGTTTCCAACAATGAAGTTCAATGTTCGTATCTGTACGTAACTGATCCCTTTTCTTATCTGTGTCAGGATAGTTCCTGTTTAGAGTACGGATTACACAGGACAGCTTCTTGTAGACTGCCAGCAGTATGAAATGGAGAGCCTTTCAAGCTTTGGCAACCTTTTTCCGGAACGGGCAGGTGTTGCAGCTGCAGCAATGGCAGGACCTGCAGCCGTGGGTGGTGATTGGCTGAGACAAAATGCGAGGCTTCCTTCTTGCATGCTCGGTCCATGCGCTATCCTTGCTTGGCATGCACTGACATTGCCCTGACCGGATCATTAAGACGGCCCAGCCCTCTTATTAAAAAAAAAGGAATAAAAAGAAAAAAGAACTATACTAAGCCTATTGTAGTCGAGGGTATACTTCACCCCAGCTCACTCCTTGTGATGTGGGGCCGATCTTGCAGGCCTACTATCCGGGCTTAGCGCCCTAGGTTCTCGAAAGCTGTCGCCTAGCTCAGCTTAGCTAGATAGCGAAGCACTTAGGCCTAGAAGAAGATATAGTTAGCGATATGTCGCAAAGGGAGTTATTTGCTTCAGGTATAACGTTATATAAATAAGAAATATAGGGGTATTAATAAAGTTGGCGATATTTGGTGCAAAAGTCTAGTATTATAGATAGTTTACGCCTTTCAGGTAAAAGAGGCTTAGTATTGGTCGTTCTCTACAGGGGGTTAGGTCATTTTAATGACCTTGGCCCCGACCCAGTTGTTGTGGGTGGGGACCAGACAGGCGACAGCGTGGGGCGCAAAAGTCATGTCGCTCACGTTTCGAACTGTTGCTTTTTCTCGTTTGGTTCTGCAGTTCTTTCTCTGCGTTTAAACGGTTACGGTAGTGTGAAGTGTAGGTTTTGTGCACAGAAAGTCAATCGATTGGCCCACTTGGTTAACGTAATGTGCCTCGTGCGCTTGAATGTTGCGCTGCTTTGCCTTTGGCCAAACCCCGCTTTCGGCTGGTCCGCTTGTCAGCCCAACCTCAACCTCCACAGTACATTTGCAAGCACATTGCTTTTCAGCTGTCTCCATTCCATGATTCATGGAAACCAGACCTTCTGGACTTGACCACAACCCGATGCTTCTAGAACTCTAATTCCCTGACCCTCTCCAACCTTGGATGGTACATGCGTACCTATTCACATGTTCATGTCAACCCCTTTTACTACACTAAGAACGTTGTTGCCGAGTCACAACCCAGTTCACATACAACCCGGGCGTCTTCTCCTTTGTCGCCGGGCTATTTTCCCTCCGGGCAAACAAACCATTACTCACCAAGGCGATCTGGTTTTTTCCAGCCGCTTGCCTTTCAAATTAGCACCAAAGGGGTGAGATACACTTTGGAGCTACGGAGTAGGGAGTTTCCCCGTGTCACCACGGGGCAAGCGAAAAGCGTCCCAGCCTGCTGGTACCCGGCGAGTCAAATTGAGCTCGGTGCCATTCCCTCAGTGAGCTAGCTCCAAGGTGAGGATGAAATGCCACGTTCCATGATTTCAGAACCGTCGGTCGTCATGTGGAGCACGAAGGATACCTAGTGGATCACCCTGAATGGGACAGGGGTCAGCCTTGGAGCCCACAATGACACCAATAAGCGGATGGAGATTTTGACGACGACGTACGATTCGTGAGAAGCAACACACATGGCATCGAGCATGCCTGGGAGTGCTGGACCATCCCTTACCTGCCCAACCACGGGCTTGATTCTGGTTCTTCCATGGCATCGTAGTAATGGTGGTGGGCAATGCAGTGAGTTGCTAAAGTACTTGCATTAGCGCCGTCGCCTCCTCATGCCGTCACTCGCCAACGGCCGACGCTTATGCTTTCTCATCACCAACACCTGGGCCTTGTGAGACGGGGAACCATGCAAGCCTTCTCGCTGCCTCGGGCTCCTTTCTGCACAGTAGGTACTCGCGGGCACAAAAGCACGGCTGGGTGATTTATGTCCCATTCTGGCCTTGGCCGTGCATGTTATGTCTTTTGTGCCTCTCTGAAACCCTTTTGACTGGATCTGCCTCGACGTCGAGAAGGGATCTCAGATCTGGCGGTGAAGGACGCAACAGACCAGTGAGAAGACTGGGAAGCACGCTCTGGGCAATGGCCGGCCCTGGTTGGTTACTGGACGGGAGATGGATCTTTCGATATGTGATATCGCGGCTCGAGTTCAGGTTTGGAGCTTTGCTATTCGCAGTCTCAAACTTGCCGAACGCTCGTTGCGGCTGAGACGGCACAATGATCTTGACGGGACGGTCGAGTTCTCAATGCTTGAAGAAGCACACCTATCTGCCGGGTTGCTGTTGACGACATCAGGAATGTGTATTGTCGACTTGCGGTGTGCCGTGTGCTGCATAGTGCCACCTCAGCGGCAATCAACAAGCGCACTGAAGAAGGGCCTGATTTGCGTGTTGATCATGGACTCTGAAGCATATCCAACTTTGTCATCCCGTGTCATGGAAGCATGGCTATCCGTTTACATCTATCCTACCGGGCGCCTTCCATTGTTCTTAATTCTGGCACATGCCTGGCCATGAACAGATCCATACAGAGAGGCTCGGGCGGGGGGTAAACCCGGGCCCCTGAGCCGCTCCAACCCCGGCCGGACAAGAGAGCCTTGGCATCGGCCCCGGAGGGTCCTAATGATGCATTCTTTCCATCTGGACGACAGCTGGTCCATCAGCTGGATTTATGGATAAGCCACAGAGTTCAACGCATCTTTCTTAGTCCTAGCATCCCGATGACATGGCCATGGCGTTTTGTCATACAGAACCATACCGTGTCTGGGGTTATGGGAGCCAAGCAGTTCACTCTGAGAAACATAAGAATCCATATCACTTTGTGCGTCCACCACAATCATCCCGTAGCGATCATCAAGCCTTGCCAGTACTCCCAGTTTTTCGGGATGGTGCCTGGCGCAAACTGGTCGCTGAACCTTTTGTAAGGAAAGCAATACTGCTCACGCTGTGCGAGACTCCCTGTCGGATACCATCAATGACAGTCCGGGAACTTGACAAAGACAAATGCTCTATCATTTGTGTTCTAACGCCGCAGGTCTCTGATTGACAAGTGGTCGTTGGCGCCACGAACTGTATACCAGTCCTCAAATCTGCTTCGGACGGCGAGACCATACAAAGTTCCATCATGACAGCTGTGCCATGTTGACTGCGAGTAGAAGTGGCTATCTGAATCACCAATGATGGCAAGTCAAGTCAGTGGTACGTAGATAGATCCGTTCGTAGAATCCATGGAGTCGTTCTGGCCAGGTAGCACATAACCCTCACTTCACCTGTTGCGTTTGCACTGCAATGGGAAAGGACCAATGGATTCAAGTCAATCAAGCCTTTTGATGAACTCTGACGCGAGAAGCGCGCTTAAGAGATACAGATATAAGGAGAGAAAACGTAAGAAAGGTAAGTTGGAGAGAGGAAGAGAAAAGGGGGAGGCGGTTTTGTCTCGGGCCGTTCCCAGGCCGGAGAACCACCAGCGGCCAACTTCTTCCACCATCATCACCTGGATATCACTTCCTCTTCTTCCCTGCCTCCCCATCCTACACGGCCTCCACCACCTCACGACCCCTCCTCACCCCTACATCCCCTAATGCCTGACCACAATGTCACGTCGACGGCGTAAGCACCACACTCCCCTGCCCCAGCACCGGCCACCCCGGCACCACCACGCCAGGGAAAGTCTGCAGGATGGTGACAATATTCACCATGATGAGCCACACGGGCACGGGGATCTTGCCGCTACCATACGTGCCGTACGCCTGCTCCAGTGTCTTGAGCGCATCCAGCAGCGCAGCCGGGTCGCCCACGGGCGCCTGCCTCTTGTTCTTCCTGTCGCTAGGTTTCAAAGGCCCGCCGGGCACGGTCGGGTCGGGGACCAGAGGGCCTCCTGGAACCGTCGGGTCGGGCACCAGCGGCCCGCCGGGAATGGGCGAGCCCGGGATGATGGTCGTCCACCCATCCACAGACTGGCCGCAGAGTTGGAGGGCCGTGACGAGGACCTGCTCGATGAGGAAGATGTTCATGGGCGCCTTGGACGGCTCGCCGTAGGCGGTCAGCAGGACGGCCAGGGCAGCGCGGAGGCCCATGATGTCGACAAGCTGACAGGTCTGGGTACCGACGGTGATCTGGCGTTTCGGGTGGCCGGCCGAGTCGACCGTGAGGGTGGTTGAGATGCCATGAATCTCGAGGAGGCCTGAGATTTGCTGGATCGCGAGCCAGTTGGAGAAGGACGGCTGGGACGGATAGATGGCGGAGGCAGCTCCCAGCAGGGCGAAGTAGGCGTCTTGGAGCCCCTTGGTGTTGAGCTGGGCCGAGGTATCGCGCTTGTCCGAGGGCTTGATGATGGTGAAGGTACCATCCGGCGACTTGATGATGGTGATGCCGCAGCCCTTGAGGAAGGCGGCCAGCTTCAGCATGATGATTTTCTCCTCGGCAGTGTGGAAGTCCTTGTGCATCAGAATCTGCAGAGCAATTTGCGCACCCTCTAGGTTGGGGCACTCCTGGGCGTAGGTGCCGACTGTGTCGAGGCTGATGGTGTCACGCTTGCCCGGCGTGAAGGTGGAGCCCGTTCCCGGCGGTGCAGTAATCTTGGTGATGCCGGCAAGGTACAGCAGGGCGGCCTTGATAGCCTCAATATCCTCAAGGTCTTGCTTCGTCTTGTGCGGCTTGTTCTGCAGTCGGATGAGATCCAGCTCCAGTTTCTCGATGACCTTCTTCGGGTTGGTTGTCGCATCAGGCGGGAGGACAAACCCGCGCTTGCCCGGAGTAAAGACGGTCCCGGTGCCCGGAGGAGCAGAGATCTTGGTGATGCCGGCCAGGTAGAGCAGGGCAGCCTTGATCGCCTCAATGTCCTCACGGTCCTGCTTGGTCTTGTGCGCCTTGTTCTGCAGCCGGATGAGCTCCACTTCCAGCTGTTCAATGACCTTCTTGGGATTCGTGGCCGCGTCAGGGGGAAGGACGAATTCTCGCTTCTGCTTGGGGGGAAGAGTGGGTGGCTCGAGTCCGCCGACGATCGGTGGCAGGACGCAGGGTGGCTGCTCGTTCAGGGGCACATCCGTGAGGCAGACGGGTATCTCTCCCTGGCCAGGAACGAAGATTCCTGACCCATCTCCGATGGTAAACTGCCGTTTGTTTTTCTTGCCTGGCTTGATCTCGCCCGGAATGGGTGGCAGAAGGCACGGCGGTTGTTGGTAAACGGGTACGCCGTTCGCGTCGACCAGGCAAATGGGCAGGTCGCCACTACCGGGGATGAAGACACCCGACCCGTCCCCAATGATGAACTGCCGCTTGTTGACTTCCCTCTTCTTGCCGGGCTTAACCTCGCCGGGGATGGGCGGCAGAAGGCACGGCGGCTGGTTGTAGACGGGTATGCCGTTGGCGTCGACCAGGCAAACGGGCAAGTCGCCACTGCCGGGGATGAAGACACCCGACCCGTCCCCAATGATGAATTGCCGCCTGTTGACTTCTCTTTTCTTTCCGGGTTTGATATCGCCTGGGATGGGCGGCAGAAGGCACGGTGGCTGATTGTAAACGGGTATTCCGTTCGCGTCGACCAGGCAAACGGGCAGATCGCCGCTGCCGGGGATGAAGACACCCGACCCGTCCCCAATGACGAATTGCCGCTTGTTGACTTCCCTCTTCTTGCCGGGCTTGATCTCGCCCGGGATGGGTGGTAGAAGGCACGGCGGCTGCTCCTTGAGGGGCTTGTCGGTCAGGCAAGCAGGCAGCTCGCCGTTGCCAGGGATGAAGGTGCCTGATCCAGGTCCAATCCACACACCGCCCTGCCTCTCTTCAACCGTCTTTCCCGCAGGCAAGGCCTGGACGGCGCCAAGGCCAATGAGAGACAGAGCAAGAGCCGAGGCGACCATGGCTGCGGCGGAGAGCGCGTCTGCTCAGGGGTTGAATTTCGTGTTGGCAAGGTCCGTGAGGAACAGTGCGATCCACGATTCAAGATGGTGAAGGGTATCGTCCGTTGATATACCGTTTGTCACGGCTTTCCAATCCAGTATTATCTGTCACCGTCGTCGCGAATGGCCCCGGCCGTCATATTTATAGAAGCTTGCAATGACATCTCGCATCCGCCCCGCTCCCGAGGCACCGTACAAAGTGCTGACATGGTCGGCAGCACGCTGATTGTTTGGTGGCGGCAATCTCTGCGCAATATGGAATAGATGAAAAGGCGAGGGCAGGACCCAAAGTTATTGATCTGGCTCGGCATATTTATCCGGGAACTTGACGGTGTTTGTTCGCTTCTCAGGCCAGTCTCGGCCACGCCCAGACTTTGACGGCCGGCATGCCAGCCAGCACAAAGACTGCAACCTCCCAATTGTGCCTATTATGCAACTCTGAGTCCAGCCAGTTTGGGCCATCGGCGCTCGAGGACCGCGATAAACCGAGTCCGCCCGAGTCGAGTTTGCGGGAAGCCAAGCTCTGCTATTTTTGGACTGACGTGGTGTTTTGCCGTGTTCCATGCTCGCATCCTCCATGGGGAACTTCACAATGGCTCGGCCCCTTGATTCACGGAAGGATAAATGAGCGGCGATATTGGTCGGGTCAAACGGGGCCAATGCGATCTGGCATCGAGGCCAGGAGGCTCATGCTGAGTGGTATCCATCACTCAACGCTGGCCGATGGGTAGCATTGAGGATGGCGTGGCCGGAAAGCTTAAAGGCGACGATCCCAACGTCTGGCCGGAGCAGCGACATGACCGAGGCGCACCTCCCTCCGGCGAGCCACATCTGGTTCACGAGGGGCCTCTGCGTGCACTCGCACGACGCCTTCTCATGTCCCCATGCCGCTGCGACGGCCCCTGAGCCGTTGTTGACACTTGCCATAGAGTGGAGGAGTGTCGTGTCACGACGCTGGATGCTGCAGGGTCATGCGAAGTTATTTAAAAAGTTCCCAGCATAGGACTAGAGTTGGCCGAGAACGTCGCTGACCCGGGTAGCTGGAGGCTGGGCACGGTGACAAGATGGCCAAGCTCCATGCTGTTCCAGGAATGAGGAAACAGTCCCGCCGGGGGTCGTTGCAATCCCATCCGTCGCACAACACCCTGCCATTGGGAATTTGCGCGCAATATGTCAGGGACCAGACGCAACTCTGCCGTCCGATTCTCGTGAGGCTTCACTTGACTGACCCCCAGTTCTGCCGAATAGTTGTGTTGCACCCGGTCACCTCTCAAGAATGCGGTCTGTCGGCAGACGCCTCGTCATAATAATCTGGGAACCGTTGACAAAACATGAGCTCGGGGGGCTTTGTCGAGATCCGACCAGTACTCCGTCTTCCGAAAGGGGAGTGTTGACCCAAGGGTATCCTCGGCGACGGAAACACGAAAATCGCCTATGCAAGTGGGCGAAAGAGTAAAAGAACTCACCGGAAATTAGATGATGTAGACGAGAAGATGTTGACGTGATAAAATGAATCAGGTTGGAGCATTGCTTTTTGCAAGCAAGGTTGACATTGTGAGTGAGTTATGCTGGTGTCAAGAAAGCACACGAGGGACATAGCCTTCGCAAGGTATGAATTATTACTCCACTTGTTGGCTGCCAGCTGTGAGCCAGCTGAAAAACGTGCTTCTTGTGACGTCCGTCAGCAACTGCTACTGTGCACGGATGTAAAGTGGAAACCACTCTTCTTGCATGTGGTGCCAGAAATCCCAACCAAAAACCATGAGATTCCGGCGGTGTTGATAAAGCGGATTTTGCTTGGACTTGACGGGTGTGTACCCTCCTGAACTTTGGACGTGGACGCTGCAGTGGCTATGGCAATCCATCAGTGATCTCTTTCAACAAGAAGACCACCACTCAGAACTCACGGGTCAATGCTAAAGTAACCGGCGACGAGCCTGAACCAAGAGATACCTTAATCATGACGCCAAGAACTGGCACGGCGCCCGCCTCACACCCGGCCCTGGCCCCGGCCCCGGTTCCGGACCATGCCCAAGCCGGCCTCCGGCAACGCCGCCCCTCCACATCCAGCAAAGGCACCTCAACCTCAACCTCAACCTCAACCTCAACCACCCTCCACGCCGCCGCCCAAGTCCTCGAAAGCTCAGTGGAAACAATTGAAACAACCGTCCTTCGCCTCCTCCACTGGGACGACCTGCCCGCCTGGCGGCGCGACAACCCCTCCATCCTCTCAGGCTACCGCCCCACGTCCAACTCTCTCCACGCCTCGCTCCAGAGCCTCTTCTACCTGCACAACGAATCCGTCAACGTCTGGTCGCACCTGCTTGGCTCCGTCGCCTTCGCCTGCACCGGCGCCTACTGCTACGCCCTGGTGGGGCCGCGGTACGCGTCCGCCAGCGCGGCCGACGCGCTCGTGTTTGCCTGTTTTTTCGGCGGCGCGTTCTGCTGTCTCGGCATGAGCGCCGTGTATCATTTGCTGTGTAACCACAGCGAGGCGGTGGCGAAGTGGGGGAATAAGTTGGACTATACGGGGATTGTGTTTCTGATTGTGGGGAGCTATGTGCCGGCGTTGTGGTATGGGTTTTCTTGCGACGCTGGGTTGTTGACGGCGTATTTGGGGGCGGTGAGTGCATTCTTTTCCCTTTCCAACCGGCCGCCATGGTTTTGATGTTGGGTCAGGGGATAGTAATAAGTGGATGGATCGTTAGATCGGTGGAGGATGGCTGGCTGATAACGGTAACAGATTGTCCTGCTCGGGTTGGGGTGCGTCGGGGTGTCGTGGTTTGAGCACTTCCGCACTCCGGCGTGGAGGCCGTACCGGGCGTTGATGTACGTTGCGCTCGGCTTGTTCGGGATCGTGCCCATTCTTCATGCCCTGATGTCCCGCGGGTATCGCGAGCTGGATGAGAGGATGGGCCTCAGTTGGGTCATTGTTCAGGGCGCGTTGTATATTTTCGGCGCTTTTGTGTACGCGGTGAGTGAGCTTTGCACTGTTCTCTGAGGCAGTGGACGGGTTGCTAACTCAAACTGCAGGTCAGGTTCCCGGAGCGCAAGTATCCGGGCAAGTTTGACATCTGGGGAAGTTCACACCAAATATTCCACGTGTTTGTCCTCCTTGCGGCGGCCACGCATTTGTACGGCATGACCAGGGCTTTTGACTTTCACCATAGTGTTCTTGGAGCACAGTGTCAGATGGGTAGAGCATAGAGGCTGGGCGAGAGCATAGAGGTTGGGCGAGAGCATAGAGGTTGGGCGAGAGCATAGAGGTTGGGCGAGAGCATAGAGGTTGGGCGAAAGCAGAGAGGCCGGGCGCAGACAAATAGATGTGTTGACATTCCCTGCTGATTGGAGGACACCTTATGTCTTGATGATACAAAGGGTATCAAAACGACTGCTTGGTTGCTGAACCGAAATTCGAGCAAAAGGTTTCTGCCATCTATCGGCTCACCGGAGAGGCTGGTGGAACTTGTTAGACTGGGATCGCCATGGTGAAGATGACCGCTGGCTCGAGATCAGGAAAGAAGGACACCGCATGGCCAGGTGCTACTCCACCCCGAGATCCATGACCTTGATCAACCCCGAGGCCATGGCGCATGCCGCCCAGGTGCTGAACTGCACGTTGGGATTCCACTGGATTGTCGTCAACCGTGTTAGCGGCTCGTGGATGACCACCCGAGATGCAAGCCTCTCGTCCAGCTCGGCTTCGCGGTCTTCATACTCATCCTCCTCCGCGCCTGCTTTCTTCTTCTTGCCCTCCCCTTTTTTCTTTGCAGCACGCTTCTTCCTGTCCATCTCTTTCCGCTTCTCCGTCCTGGGATCGTCGTTCTCCTCTGGGAGAAACCCCTGCAGGATCCTCGCTGCGCCCCTCAACATCGGAGCGCCTTGCTCACGGGGCGGCTGAAGCGTGGACTCGGAATCGATCGGCCTATACTCGTGCTCAAACACCCTCAATTTACGCAGTGGCTCGCCCTTTTGCCGGAAGAGTTTCTGCAGCGCGTTGCACGCAAACATGGATCCGTCTGCGCAACCGACCAGGATGAAGGGATGTGTTGCCCCTGCTGAGACGCACATGAGTGTGTTCGGGCCGGTGGCCATGCTGCGGGCCTGGCAGAAGTAGCGGTAGTGGAGAAAGGCGATGGTCGTGTTGGGCGTCGACGACGGGTACAGCGCCATGAACCCTTGCAAGGGTTCGCTCCAACACAGCAGGTTCGGCTGGAAGCTGATGGCCGGGACGGGGAAGTAGGTAAACTCGGAGCTCGGCTGGGACAGATCTGTGAGGGTGGCGCAGCCGCCGACTGGGACGGACGCGACGAGGTAAGGGTTCGACGGGTACGCAGAGCAGATGTCGATAATGTAGGTGGTATGAACATTGACGCGCTGCAGCAGCTGGCGCGGGAAAATGGACCACAGCGTGACGGAGCCGTCCGAGTGGCCCAGGACGAGGCGGTTCGTATTCACCCAGCTTAGGCAGGTGACGCTAACGTTGTAGTCTTCGGTAAGACCGAGAGTGACGACGGGCGAGTCGATCCATTCTGGAGGGAGTTAGCAAAGAAGGCTGAGCGGATGAACTTGGCCTACCATAAAAAGGGGCGTCTGCTTCATCCGCCTTTCTGACTTCGATGACGCGCGCCGTCCCGTCGCCGCAAAGAACGGCAAGGATCCCGTAGAGGCCAAACTGATCCTGCGGAATGGGGCAGAACTCCAGCCGCTTTGGCCTGCCCCAGTCAAAACAATTGGTACCAAGCAATCTTGGCGGGTGTATTGAGGGAGCGGCAAGCTGCCCTGGGCGCCTCTCAGGGACGAACTCCCAGAGCTGGATGCAGCCTGCCGACTGTGCTGCTTCGTCTGTGTTTGCCTTGTCTCGGCTGCTCACTGCCTGGTCTGAGAAAGGAACTGTCGCCACAGCGAGCAACTGTATATCTTGCCGGGCCAAGGGAGCCCACGACATGGCGAGCGGGATGCCGCCCACATCAAGCATCCAGCCACTCGGCGTGTTCTCGCCCGAGTCGGAGTCGTTGACCGGGAGGCCTATTGGCGAGAGCGGCAGACTACCGCCTTGGCTGAGTGTGAACTGTTTCTGCCTGTCCCAAGGGCCAACGAGTGTGACGATATCGCCTCCGGCCTGGGGTATTAACCGTTGGCCATCTTCAGGGCTTAGCACGCGGGACTGCTGGACCTCTGGACTACTGTTCTGATAGTCGTTGTACCAGATGGAGGCCCTAACTTCCTGGGTCTTCTCAAACCCAGGAGGCAGCCACGGGCTCGGTACGACACCATGCTGGTCTTCTGGGGGAAGCCTTGGGGGCAGGACCGGAAAGTCTGCCCAGCGGATCTCGAGGTCCCAAATGACCTTGATGCGCTCATACTCGGGGCCGTACATGGCATCCCGGAGGGCACTGTAGCGGGCATATCGCCTGAGCGGCCCTGCGTAAACGCGAGTGACGATGCGCGTCTCCAGCGGGTAGTGGGGAATGTCGTGGAAACCTTTGCGGCTCTGGATCATGCCAGCGCCCGTATTGCGGTGCCTCTTGGGCTGGCTCGACTGGTCTTTTTGGTCACTGGCTCCTGGGCCGTCTGACACTTCCTCTTCCTCCTCCTCACTCGGGAATTCAGCCTCGTCCTCATCGTCTTTGGCATCCTCGTCGGCCTGGGGACTGTCCGACGGAGCCTCAAAGTCGGCATCGTCCTTGGTTTGGGTCTCGGTCACAATAATGGGGTCTTCATCGTCGTCGAAGATGACGGGTTCTTCGACGTAGCGCTTTCTGACGCCCCGTGTGCTCCTGAGGCGCATTGCGAGGGCATGGGAAGTCCGGCCAATGTGAGCGTCGAGTTTGCTGTGAGAGATGGGGGCTGCTAGGGATATTGGCGATGCCCCACTGCAGTGCAGGCCGGGTGTAGCGCCGACGAAAATAGGCTGTGGGTTCAAAAGTTCCGAGCGAGCAAGTCGTTTGACAGTTAAGATCGCATAGGATGCTACAAATGCATAACCGGCATTGTCCCGCCTTTTTGTCCGTTTGTGTATTTGAGTCGAACGTTGAAAAATCGACTGACTCAGTGGGGCAAACAAACTGACTGCGAAGCTGCGGGTTAGGGTTGCCTGAGCTTAAGTGCAGCTTCGCCGTGGCTTTTCCATTCACAGGGGACACACCCTCTTCAAATTCTCGTGCTGGAATCAACGCCAATTTTCCCTGAAGTGCTGGAATTTTGCTTATATTTTGGATGTCGAAGTACGCGGCGATTTGACAACCTCATATTGATATATGGGAATTTGTGCTTGGTGTTTTCAAGTCTGGTGATTATGCCTGCCGCTGCATGCTGCATCCGGTCAAACTCTCTACCTTAATTACTGAGGGAAGCTCTGTGTCACTGCCCAATCACCCACCAATCGCTTCACCGTATGCACGCCATCCCTCGTCCTCCTAGGCCTTTTGCCATCTGCTCCCTCAGTCAACTCTGATCTGGTGCAGAAGGCCCGGAAATGGCTGGCTGACCATTCCGCGGTTTCGCGATTTGTTGCGCTACAGCTTATTGCAACGCCGCAAGATGTCGACACCACCTTGATTACCCTTCAATTGCCCCCAGTTTCTGGAACTTTACTCCTGTAACAGGTAAAACTGCGCGTGAAACTTATCTAGGGATACATTTTCATCTCGCCACTAGGTACCCTAGAGAGTTTCGTCCAGCTGTGGACCATACAATGAATGGCAAGGACGGGACAACCAGTGTCCTGGCTCGCGCCGTTACAGTTTCCTTCCGTGTCCATTTACCGGCGGACTTTGCGATGCCCGTCTCGGACGAGTCGGACCTAGTCAGAACAGGGCCTCAGGAGACTAAAGTCAAGTGAACCAGATGCTTCCGGGCACTGAATCAAGTAGCCGATTTTCTATACCTCAGGCTTGGGCGACTGGTCGAAGACCCTGCATCGGCGTTTGTCTTTACCGATGCGTGCTTGAAAGCTGAAGATATACTTATCTTCCTTCTCTCCCTCTATGAACCCTTGAACCTAGCACTGCCTCTTGTTTTGACTCTTGTTTTGTTGAACTATCTAAGCAGGCGCATTATCCCCCGAGGCGCTCGATGCGCTCCTCGAGTCACAGCAAGTTAGGGACGTCCTCACCGCGCTGGACTTCGAGCAGGGCCACTTGCTCTTCCAGACCGTCAATTTCATATACTCACACGAGCTCGCGGGATCCAACATTCCCCAGAATACTTTCGCCATACTTAGCTTCCCGTTTCCGGCGACGAAGGAGCAGCGGGACGGCTTCTCCACCATTGGTCGTCTTCCGCTCCCGGACCTATCCTATGAAGAGGCACAGTTTGGCCACTCCAGCAGGACCCTGGGGGGCCAGGACGTGTAGGTATGGTCCACGGGCGTCACAAGCTCCCGGACGGACGTGATGTGGAAATCAGTCTGATCTATCAGCCATGTCGGAAGGCGGAGTGGGAGGACGCCGCGGCAACAAAAGGAGCTGGAGAAGCGGGACCGCTGGACCAGCGCTGACTCTCAACGTCTCGGTTTACTGGCAATCTCCGTGGAGTGTTATAACATATACTGTCTCTAGTTAATGATCTTAGTTACCTAAAGCCTATCCTGTTTCGCGTCATCCCTTTCCATTGTTTGCGGCCGGAAACAGGCTTTTGCATGCGAGGTAGCGGTATCTTGAGCCACGAATCCACGATTGGACGGACGATTGATAGCATAAGTAACTACATACCATCAGTGTGAGAGTGATACCATCAAAACAATTTGGGACGTGACTCAAATTATAAAATTGGATGAAATCGAATGCAAAATGGACATCGGTGGTACAAGCTGGAAGTCTGGTACCATTGGCAGATCTCAACGATCATCCACAGCTCCTTTTTCGAAATCCCATCACAAAGTACAACAAACAAAAGTCGGATTCCTACCAATCTGCCGTCCAAGTTCCTGCTTTCAAAATCTGCAATAAGCCGCGCAACAACAAAAACAACACCCGATACCTAAGCCTTTTTGCGAGGTCAATGGTGACTCGCTGACTTCCAGCAAACACCACTACAAATCGGTCAATCTCAACTGTCACCTTGACACGTTCACTTATTCCTTCGTACGAATCCAAAACAGCAGACACCACAATCGTAAGTTGAACGAGCTACGAGTCGCCCTTTTCTCGCAATGCCCTTCCGCGCGACCCGCGCCCTCCTCCGGGCCACCATCACCACTGGGAGCCTCTCACATTTTCCTCCGCAAAAGCGGACAGCAACAACAACAACAAAACCAACAAACAAACCCACGATCCTCGAAGTCGAACGCAAATTCCGTCGCCTCACCGTCCCCACTTCCACCAACATTCACCACCACACCATCATCAACAACAAAACCAGCACCACGACCCGGCAAGGAATTCTCAACTACAAGCACAGCCCCAACTTCACCTCGGTGACAGCTTTGCCCACTTGCACGATACACGACATATACTACGACACGCCCGACCGCGCGCTGTGCTCGCGGGGGGCATGGATCCGTCAGCGCAACGGCGAGTGGGAGGCGAAAGTCAAGCGGGCGTGGTGGAAGGGCGATTTCGTGAACAGGCGGTTCGAGGAGCTGCATGGGGAGAAGTGTGCCGGGGGCATGGTTCAAGAACCATCGGGGGAAATGCGGCGGCGGCGGCGGCTGATTTGAAGAGGGCCGAGGAGGAGGACTACTCTGGGCGGCTGGGCAAGCTGGCCGAGTTTGTCACGACGCGCGAGGCGTGGCTGGTTCATGGGGAGTTCAAGGTTGTGAGGGACCGGATGGACTTTGGGCATGAGGTTGGTAGGTCGAGTTGCAGGTCGAAGTTCATGATGGTGGTGGGGACGGTAAGACGGGGCAGGAGGAGAAGGCGGCACTTATGGACGAGATGGACCGGAAGATTGAGGCGTTCATGAAGAGGTATGCGTGGGCTTGGGAGGAAGGCGAGGCGGTGGGTAAGCTGACGGCTTATTTTGCTATGATGAAGAGGAGGGTTGGGCAGGCGTGAGGAAGTGACTGGCTGGGGGCACTGTTGGCGCACACAAAGTCAAGTCCCTGTGTGTCATATTCATGGCGTCTCGACGAGGAGGGAAAATGTGGTTTCACGGCACGCTGCTGACCGATACCCAACGGCCAGATTTGTCGGAATGAGTCTATCAACCTATCGACAAATCTCGTCTATTTCATGGAGAGTCAGTTTCATTTGGAGAGTGAGGCGAATTTCTCAGCTCCGGCCATTCATCCCTCAACCGGAGCGCGCACTGGAGCTTTATATATGAGACCGCTGTCTTCCCGCTGGTGTTGACCTGCTCAGGGTTAGAACATGTCAAACGATTTGAACGCGCTTCGAGTCAGGATATCGGCGGCACCCACCTCAACCAACTTGTTCTTGCCACGGCTGCTGCTGTAGTAGTCGAAAATGGGCGGGTTTAGCTCAAGATACTGCTTGTATCTCTTCTCGAACATCTCGCGGGTGTCCCCCTCGCGCCCTTCGTTCCGGGCAAGCACGCTCTCCTTGGCCACTTCCTTGGGGCATTGGAAGAAGAGCACGAGGTGAGGCGGGCCAAACTGGAACGTCAACACGGCACGAAGATGCCAATCAACCACTTTCCGGTACTCACGGCCTTCTCGAACACTCGGATCTGGTCCAACCGCCTGGGAATCCATCCAGAATATTGGGGCAGCCAGGGGGGCTGTCACGAAACGTCTCATGGAGCAGTGGGAAGAGATGCTCGGAAGGCAGAAGTTCGCCGCTCTTGACGTGCCAGCCGATGGCTGCGTTCTTGTCCGCATTCTCCCTAAGCAGGTCTCCGACCGAGATGTGGTTGAAGTCGTTGTCCTTGGAGAGCCGCTTGGCCAGAGTGCCCTTGCCTGATCCAGAGGCTCTCAAGCCAGTGTCAGCCCAGCGCGAAAGGGATGGACGGCGGCATGACTGAGGCCCACCTATGACGAAAATAAGCCGCTTTTTTTCCCCGTCGGCCATCCTCGGTTCTGCTATGGGCGGGCGAATCACGTACCGACGTGAGAGTTCTGCCGAGAACAAGAAGTGTGAGAAGGTCACTCCGAGCTAGGGCGATCAAATACCTTCCTGTCACTAATAGTCCTAGCCCGGTGACAGAGTGGTCACTTTTGCTCTCAGATTGGTATGCCACAGAAGGGCGACAAACATTTTGATTCTGACCTTCCGCCAGACGATGGCGGCTCAAGCGACGCTGCTCAGATCGACACCATCGTTTGGGATACCTTATTGTTTGAACAAACACAACCGCTTGAAAGTTAAATCAAGACTAAAGAATGACTCAGGGACGAACAACATCATCAATACGAGCTATCCTCAGCGATGAGTTTTGTGTCGCCGTGGGCTTGAGGCATACCGTACTAGGTTTGACCCGACCAGAACCCAGCATCAGCAAGCTCATATTAATTACATGTAGCCGGTCCGTTTAAGACTTCAAAACACTCTTTTCAAAGCGTAGGTATTCTCACCACAAGTTCGCTTTCTCTATGGGCAGATAGTGCCTGGCTTCGAGCATCCTCCAACTCACTCAACGCCTCACCAGCTCGCCCACGATGTCAGACAAAGGAACCACATATGCCATGCTGCTGTTCCTGGACACCACCTTGTGCGGTCTCATCCTCTTTTTCTACGCTTACACCAGCATCCCCTCCTTCTCCCTGTCCTCCCGGCCACCCTTTCTCAAGCGCGAGCTGCGTCTCGATTCCGTCTCCATCGTGACCAACGGCAGTAAACTCACGGAATCCTTCCTGCGCGAGCACGGCGCCAATCTCGACATCCTCGCAGTGAGCTGCGACTCGTTCGACGAGAAAACGAATATCGCCATCGGCCGCGGTAGCGGCAACCAGGTGGCAAAGCTGTATGAAATCGCGGCGTGGTACCGCGAGTATAGCGTGCTGTTCAAGCTCAACACGGTCGTCAACAGGTTGAATGTGGGCGAGGCCATGAACGCGCATATAGCTGCGCTGCGACCGTTTCGGTGGAAGTGCTTTCAGGTGCTGATTGTGCGCGGGGAGAACGACTCGGCGGAGACGTTGCGCAACGCGCACACGTTCACTATTTCGGACGCCGAGTTCGAGGCGTTTTGCGAGCGGCACCGCGGCCAGGCGTGTTTGGGGCTGGAGCCGAATCGGCTCATGGCGAGGAGCTATTTGATTCTGGATGAGTACCTGCGGTTCTTGGACCGTATAGGCAAGCAGCCTTCTAAGCCCGTCTTGGAGGTTGGGGTTGAGAAGGCGTTGGAGAGCGTGTACTGGGATGAGGATGCGTTTGTCGAGAGGGGAGGGCTGTATGACTGGGCCAAACCGGAGGGGGAGAAGGAGGGTTGTGGCGGTGCGAAGGAGTTGGACTGGTAGGGTGTAGTGGGTGGAAGAAATGGGGGAGTTGGATCACGTAAATGGAGATTCTGGATGGCAAGCAGGTCGGGCACTGCCTCTAAAAGTGCTCAGGAAGACCAAGCAAGGTACATGTAGCTCGTGCGTACAGGTTATCAATTGCAATTTTGATTTCCACGTGGAAGAACCAGGACTGGAACAGCACATGGTGGCTCCAAGTCAGACTTCAAGTTGCCTCCCTGCAGGTTTGTTTGGAGATACTTTATGAAGCTGATCGGCAACACTGACATGTGTTAATGGCATCTACCAGGAGAAGCTCTCCTCAACCAACCTCACAACAACGCCACGCCTCCCCAGCCGTGCCACCGCAACCCTAACCTCATCCGCCATGCCGGCAGGACCGCAGACGGCAACCGTTGTACCCCCCACAGCACTCCTGACCTCCTCGGCCAGCACAGCATCAATATCGAAGCGCTTGCCAACCGAGATAGTCACGTCCGTGCTGGCCCAAGTTTCCCTCACCACTCCCAATTCGTCACTCGCTTGATGCCGAATAACACTGCCAACGACGCCGCGCACCGCCGCCGCGAGCGGCTCCGTCCTGACGCTCCAAAACAACTTCTGCCTGCCCCAGCTAGACCGAGACGTCAGGAAAGGCAGCACACCGGTGATGCCGACGCCCCCTGCGATGCAAACCAGGTTGGGGTACTTGAGTGAGGGGCGTGACGGGTGGGGCTCGATGGCAGACATATGGGGGCCGTAGGAGTTCTCGACCAGTACGGGGATGCCCTTGTCCGAGTCGGCGTGTCGGAGGAGGAGGGATGTCAGGCCTTGGTGGAGGCGTATGAAGAAGACGAGACCGGGGCCGCGGTGCCGGCTCTGGTGAGGTGGTAGTTCAGGTAAATGGGCTGTGGTTGCGGCGGATGCCGTCTTCTCGGAGGATTTCTCGGTTGCCGACGTAGCCCTAACATCTTGGGATGAGGAGAAGCTGGCAGGAGAACTGGAAGTCGGGGCGGCGCCGCCGCATGAGACGGCTGCCACGGAAAAAGGGTGGTTCTCCCAGAATCGCCATGTCAAAGTGGGGAAGTGCAGATATGCGTGGCCGTTCCCTTCGACGCCAGGCACGTTAACCCGCAAGTAGTCATCGTCGATGACCGTGACAAACGCCTGCTTGACTCCGTTCCGCGCCAGCCGCAGGGGTCTAGCCAAGAAACGGTCAAAGAGCCAGAAAGCGAAGGCAATCCAAACCCAGGTCTGGTACCCCCACTGCCACTCGTAGCGGTAGTAGATGTGGAGCATGCAGCCGATCATGGATAAGACAGCGAGCATAACATGGGAGGCCAGGAACAGCTCGTACATCTTCTTGCGCACTGGGAGGATCGACAACGGCATCAGGAGAACCAAGGCGAGCGTGGCGACAACGCCCCAAATCCAATAATCCAGTTTGCTCTCTTCCTCAAAAGCACCCGGGCCCGACAGGGGCTCGAGGTAGAAGCGCAGGTACAGGATCGAGTGGACGCAGGCCTGCAGCATGCAGATGACCGAGATCCAGCGGTGGACGAGGAGGAAGGTCGAATGGGACCAATTGGTGACCACAAGCAGGACATTGTTGCGGCCGGCAAAGAGGACGGCGATGGCGAGGTTGACGAAAGACAGGACACCGGTGCGGTTGCCGATTTGTGCGATGACCTGCTGCTCCATGGTGCCGTACCAGGAGTGCGGATCTCGCACTTCGTATCCCACGGCGCTGAGGAGGATGTTGATAACCCAGATGTAGGCGATGAAGAGCCCCTGACCGCGGGCGGGCACGAAGCCAAGCCCGAGGACGGGGACCGAGTGGTAGCGCCCGAATAAGGGAGGGTCAATCAGGGAGGCGTAGATGGTCGACACGAAGCTTTGATTGAGGGGGAAGAATCTGAACCAGGAGAACACGATAGGGATGGCGAGGCATGTGGTGATGAGGACGATTCTGCCCCGGGCGCCTGATCAGCAGCTTGCTGGGCATGTCCATCCATTATGTCTGAAAGGGATGGACCATGACTCACCCGTACGTTTCGGCCCTCGCCTCCATCTTCTCAAAGACTTCCAAACCGTTGAAGTTTGCCAGCCAGCTGTGCTCATCAACCAGGGATGTCGTGTTCAGCGTGGCGTCCGCATCGAGAACCGAGGTAGGCGGCGCTTCTGCTACGCGGGAGAGGGCCACCTGGTAAGAATAGGCCGGCATGGGCTGAACTTTTTGGCGGGCGACAATGTCCATCTCCCAGACAGTCTCGAGTGTCGAGTTCTTCACGCCGGGACAATGCGTGTGGAAACACCAGGCCAAGGTCTGGAGATAGTTGTCGCTGGTGGCTCTGCACTCGGGCGTTGCCGAGGGCATGTGGTGCGAGTCCATGCCGCCATGGTCGTGATGGTCGGGGCAGTGGAGCTGCCAGCCCCGGACTGTGTCGATGCACGCGAAGGCGCAGGTCGGATTATACATGGCGATGCCATGGCCGATGACTCCGTAGCGTTCCCTGCCTGACGTGACGTGGGCTTGAGCTAGAACAACAAACAGCGAAGTCATCAACACCGCCAAAGGCGTAAGCGCCCGCATAGGAAGTGCCATATCGATGATGGCGGACGCTCTGTCCGAAGAAGGCATCCTTCATCGATCCCGACCAACTGCAGCAGGCGGAGGTTCTGGGATAGGTTTAAAGAAGGAAGGGAAGTTGGCCCTGAAAAGCAAGCTGTATTGGAGTCGAACACTCCTCGGTCTCAATCCGAATCCCCATCACGTCCCAGGCCTTGGGCCACTCTTGCCGCGCAGAGCAGGTTTGAGCAAGTTAAGTAATTCTGAGGTTTCATTGCTCAAGCCTGGGGTCGCACAACCGCCTGTAACGTCTGGTACTTGGCACTGGACATCCATAGGCTGATCCGGACCATAGCTGCCCGTTCTCGGTCTGGGCTATCTATCCATCAAGGTGGCGTATGAGCGACGCAGGCGTTTGCCGCCGTGGCCAAGGAGAACAGTTTCGACCGACAACAGACCTAAAATGTTGTAAGCAAATCCCACAACCTGGCTGGACCGAGACTCGCATCGCACCTCTGTGTCTGACCGTGTCACTCCGATTGTCCTCTGCTCGTAGCCAAACGCCCTATCTGGCTGTTGTGCCACGTAGTTAACTATTCTTCCTATCGAACATAAATATACGATCAGCTATTCAAACACTGACAGTGTTGCTCTTAGAGTATTCCGAGTCGTCTCCAGACAAAAGCGCTCCCACCAACTACTGCCGAAACTCCGGTGTACACAATCAGGCTCCCATAGCCGCTTCCGTACCCTCCCATCGCCTGGCCCAACCACGGACGACCATGGATAAGCAAGTCACTCAGGGGCCCAGACGCCACGTTTCCGATCCCTCTGCCAGCGCACAGCCATCCAAAAACCAAAGTCGGGTCGACATATGCGTGCGCATGCTCCTCGGATTCTTTCGGACTCGCAATCTCGCGCATGATCCCCGGCCAGATGGACGTGTAGCAACCAGCAAAGAGCCCATACACGACACAGAATGCATACACGCCCGCCAATGTCGACGTCAGCCCCCACAGCACCAGCGCCGCAACGCTGGCTCCGATGCCGGACAACACCAGGCACGTCGTGACGGGCAGCTTGTCCGTCATCCAGCCCATGACGATCGAGCCCATGGTCGCGGCAATGTTGACAAGCACGGCGGTCAAGGCCGACAGCATCGTCGACGCGTCAAAGGTGGCGCGCACATACGAAGGGAGATAGACGCCCGGCAGGAAGTAGCCCGTCGCCTGGACGACGTTGGCCATCTGGTGCAGCAGGAACCGCCTCGACAGGACATAGCGCATATTTTTGAACGGGCGCCCATTGACGGCCGCCGTCGCCGACAGCGGTAGCCGAGGCTTGACAAAGAAGGACAGCGGGATCGCCAGAACAAACAGCACTACCGCCCAGACGCGCAGCGCCGTGCGGAAGCCGTACGACGTCAGGAGGAACTCGAGCAGCAGCGGCAGCACGACCCCGCCAAACCCGGCGGCGCTCCACATGATGCCGTACGCCATGCCCTTGCGCCGCGCGAACCACTCGTCGATGTAGAGGATGCTGGGGCAATAGGCGAAGCAGCCGCCGATGCCGAAGAGGACGCCCTGCGTGGCGATGAGCTGGTCGACGGTGGTGCAAAAGGAGCTGAGGGCCATGGTGAGCGCAGCCGCGACGAGCCCGCCGAGGGTGAACCAGCGCGCCCAGCGGGGACGCAGGCGGGAGAGAGAGATGACGAAGGGCGTGGCGATGTACATGACGCCCTATTTATAGGTTAGAGCTTGTTAGGAAGCGTAACTGGTGAGGAAGGGGGCGTGGTGACGGTGGCATTAACTTACCAGGGTAGTAGTGCCCACTACGGCAATGTTGCCGGCGCCCTGAAAAGGCAGGTGGGAGGAGTAATAGTCCTGGAAGACCCCAAAGGAGAAACCGAATCCTGCCCGTGGGAGTCGATATGCTAAATGAGTCTAACACGTCCAAACGGACTCGTTTCGCAAGGGGAACCTACCCCACACCAAGGCTTCAACGGCCCAGCAGGCAGCAAGAAAGAGCCATGCATCTTTGCCCGTGTCGACGGGCGGCAGAGAAAACTCGTGCAGTGTTTGAATTTGTGTGGCATTACTCTCCTGGGCGTTGGTCACGTCGACGGCGGTGACGGCGGGAGCGAGCACCGGCAAGCGGTTCTCCAGTTCAATGGCAGGGGAGCCCATGACGGCGTCAAATCGTTTTACATTTGAATTGTTGACATTCGTTGTCTCAGGGGAGAATATACTGATTTGGTGGTTGCTGTATCTCGAGGAGGACTTATACTTCGTTGTTCTGCGCCCTTCTGTTGACCAGTGGGGATGTGCTTGCCCGGATATCGGCGGCTGTACCGTATCGCTGTTGTGGCCCGTCTTGGCGTTCCATACGACAGTGGTGTTGGGCGTGAAATGCCAGCCGAGTCGACTCCGGACTCGATTCTTGGGCGATCTCTAGTCAGGTTTAGTGAGTGAGAAGCTCGGCCCGAGGTTGCCCGAATTTGGCTGAACTGCATGATAAGCCAGCTGCCTCACGCCGAAACTTGTTCTAGGTATTTGGCGGCAGGATTCCTCAAAGACGAAGTTACCTGTACGAAGTAGGGCCCCTCTTCCCAGACTGTAGCCCCACCCAAAGCCTGCCATGCAAAACCAGAACCCTAGCTATCAGCTGCAACATGGCGATGGAGGCAAAACAAGATACCTAAGCCATTCATGGGTCGTAGATATCATGCATCTGAGGAGCGGTGTACTATGAATTCGAGTACTAATACATTGCGGTGATTCCGCACTAGCAGCGGGAGTAATAGGAACTGTGCTTCGAGTATCTCCCCTCCAATCATCTGCAGGTTCGACATCTTGCGAATCTAGTACCCACGCCTACATCCCTACTTAGATGGGGAATCCGGTTGCAACTTCAAGGGTACAGTTACAGGCCATACGCTGCTCACTTATCAAACTCAGGGTTGTCCAGCCAAGCGCGGATTTTCTCAACGGCAACCAGTCGTGGCTTTTCTCTGAAGTGTTGTAATCGAGCATGTCGCCTTCGAACCAACCGACTGTTCCCCGAAATGCTCCTAACTTGGGCACAATCTCGCGACAAAACCAAAGTCCACTAAAACCGGTATACGGGCAGCGTTGACGAAAATGTTGGCATGGGTTAATGTCTAGCCAGAAGTGTCAGTGCTTGCTGCTGCTGTTGATTGCCCCGCGGGGGCCCCCCTCCCCCCCCCTCCTCCCCCAGCAGGTGACAAGGAGTAAGCAGGAGCATTGCTGCAAATCCACATACCGTTCTGAGCAAGGCCCAGCGAATGGATATGCCGCACCGCTGACTCAAGTAAACGCCTTCTTGTCATGGATCTCGCCGATAGCATTTTTAATATACTCCTTTAGGTTGTATGAGTGCTTGTCGAACACGAGTTCAGTGATACAGCCCTACGTACACGACGACCATGGTACCTGATGATGCCAGGGTGAGGTTGTTCCGAGACGATTTGCAAGGCATGTATCTCGTCAAGAACCAGTGTTGGAATAGTGGACAGGGTATTGTCCTTTCTATGCTCCTCGTACGCTCCTAACCTTGCGCGCTTGATGTAGAAGGCATCGGTGTCCAGCTCATCCGGGGCAATGGTCAAGCGAGCATCCGACAGCAATTGGGGAAAGATATCTTGGTCGGGGATCCGTTCAAGCGCAGCAGTGAATTGTTCCGGGGTAATCTTGAGTTGGGGGACATTCAGTTGACCAAAGTAGAAAACATCGTCGTCATCAACAGCTGAGAAAGTGGTGTACAAGAATTCGTGGGTGTTCGTATTGAAGGCTTCGTAAAGACCATAGAGATCGCTCGGGTGCGTGGCAATGGGCGGCATGCTGATTTGCGCGCAGAGAGAACGGGCTGTTGGACTGAGAGCGCGTGAGATTACGGTGAATTGAAGGTCAATGGCGGATGTTGTGTACGGATTACAAGAATCTGCGTTGTTGGAATTCTGCCTAGCTGTGTGAGCGATGCTGCCTAGCAACGACAATACGGTAGACGGGTGAAACGTTAAGGTAGCCAATCGCAACTCTCTGTGCGTTTGTCTTTGGTTCAGATGGATTGGGGTGGGCTGCGTGGGGAGGATCATGTTTTTCCATCATAGGAGTAGATAGAAATTGCAGTAATTAACCCCTTGCTTGGACAGCTGAATGATGAGGTGCCTAACCATAGCTTCTTATCTTCGAGGTTGTTCAAAAGGGGTCCGTTTGTTGACTTCATAGCGACTACCCGACAACCGGGTGACACAAGCCGCACTCATAAAACCCAACATATACTAGGTAACGTACCTCAATTGCTTATCAATTTTACATACAAAGACAAAATTCTCAATGGCCCGTCATTTTACCCTCTCCCTCAACTACATCCTATATCCGTTGTACCATTGAGTCAACCCAGCCTTTGATCGACTCTTAGGATAGCGCATTCCACGCTTCGACCGCGAGGCTCTGAAGCTCCTCTTCAGTCCACGTCGGGAACTTAGATATATACTGCTTGACGGCGTTCTACGTATTATTAGTCGGAGAGAGGTCTGGGGATCCAGGCGTATGGAAGAAGTGTCTTAAACCGTGGTGTTGCTTCCAGTCTCGGACGATGTTTTTCTTACCCGTACTATGTCTAGAACCGCCGTCTTCCTCTAGGACAAACTGATCTCTACGCGCAAGCCGGGAACCAACAACCTTCTTAAGGATTTCCTCCCGATATACTTGTATCGACATCTTCCCGTTGTAACGGCACACAACGTGCAGCCATACCGTTGCGCCATATTCCTAGAAAAGGGTACAAATGATTCAATCCGACAGCTTGAATCACTGGCTGCACTATGAAGCTGTAACAACTGACGCCTGTCGCCGGGCGTTGCCGATCCGACCAGCCGTGCCGTTACACCCGTTCGTGTTGCCTGGGACCTCGTAGAAGTAGAGTTCTGACTTGAAATCCCACACGATCGCTGCCTAGGCGTAAAGTCGTGTAAGATGCTTTGGTTCGGCTCCCGAGCTTCTTGAATGTAATCTGAGCAGTGCCGCTCACCAGGTTTTCGAAAAGTCATAGCCCGGCCCTCACATCCAAGAGAAAAATGTACCTCGTCGGACCACCGGATATCGTACCAATGCTGAGGTATTGGGCGTTCCCGGAGGGCTATAGTTGCAGCCTTGAGACGCTTTTTAGCAGTGCCTTCGAGACCTATCCCTTTCGGCACGCTATACATTTACGGTACCCCAGCGTGCCAAGTGCCCGTTGAATCGTTCGCCAGCAAACGTCAGTTGCAACGCCTGCTTCGTAGGCTAGCGATTGCTAGGAAAAAACTTGGGCCTCGAAGCTGTATTCCTAGATTGGCTTCTCCATCGAATATAGGTCGTTAGGTGTAGGGATCCGTTTCCGGCCGCGTGTTTCTTTAAGGTCGGGGTGATCAGGGTTATCTTGCAAATTACGTCGGTTGCGCTGCTGGCGGACGATTTCCCAACCTTGCCGCTGGCTAACACAAGAATGCCTGAAAACGCGCGACTTGAAGTGAGGAATATTCTGCTTCTCGAGAACGAAATGTTGTCTATGACCTTGGCTTCTTTCGGTGTATGGTGGTGACCATTGCCCAGGTTGTAGAATTATCTCTGGGTTGGATGCGAACGTCAGGTTTGCTGGGTATGGGGAATGCTTCGATTGCGAGCGCGGCTTCTTTTGTCACCTGGTTGCCAGAGTAGAGATTTTTCAGCAACAAAAAAAATTTGACAGTAGCATTATAGATGGCCTTCCATCATAACAGTGCATGAGTCTACGCCTAAGCTCTTCGGACGAATAGCTCAGGGGTAGAGCAACCGGCTGCAGTCCGGTAGGTCACGCGTTCAAATCGCGTTTCGTCCTTTCCTTTTGCCGTTGTTTTGAGTTGATCCTATCGCACTAGTCCAGCCGAACTCTTTTCCGTCCGATTCCCGTCTTTTCTATGTTCTTGTCTTTATTTTTCTTTTATTATAATTTTTTCCCCCTTCGCTCAACTGGGCTCAATCGCCTTCTCATCATTTCCAACACGGCCAGTTGAACCAACTGCGCTTCCAACAAATCGGGACGTGATGTGATAATGCGGCCCATGACAGGATGGACCACTCACAGCTGCAGCCGCCAGAACCTGTTGGTTCCAACGTTAACAGGGTTTGCATGACACCCCAGCTGGCTCTAAGCCTCCAAGATGTTGCGCTCTTCAGCCACCCTGCCCGTGTCCTTCGGCTCCTTCCTGCCATCATCACCTCAAGCTTGAAATGTCGAAATCATGGGATTGGTATCCACCATGCTGCCGGCCTGTTTCTATTCTCAGTGCCCGGGCCAGCCAGACACGCGTGGCTAAGCAAACTCGGGCCGGTTCGGTGCTGTCAAGTAGCACCACAGAATAATTTCCCGCGAAAGATCTGTGCACCCTCGCACTCACCTCGGGTCGCAGCCATGGCGGCCGTTTCTGTGCGACCAACATATCCCCATGACATGCATCTGCCCCTCCGCTTCGCATGCCGCGCCTTATTGCCAGTTCTGAGCCCTGGTCTCCCACATGATCACCAACAAACACTCCCACTGCCCTGAATGATAAACCAGGCCACCCATGCCTCTCTCAACCTCTCGCCGCCGCCATGGAACGACAATTCTCGGGGCAGACTCAGCCGATTTATCATGAGACGTACTCGCGACAGCAGACGACGGGAAATGCCGGTTGGAACCCGATCGCGGCAACACCAGATATTGACTCTCCCTTGTCATCGCCGCAACGCTCGCGGGTCTCATTCGCGCCCCTGAGATCGCCAACCCAGGACGCGTCCGGCCTGGACACTCCTTCGAGTGTGGGCCTAGGCATTGGGCCCATTGACCATGGTGCGCAGTTTCCAGGGTACCATCCGGTTGTCTCGCGGGACTCCTTCCAGCAGGACAGTGACAGTCTGCCAACCACTCCAAGTCCTCCGCAGGCGAACAACTGGTCAAAATCCACCATCGCGCCGCGCGAGTGCGCCCTCGACGGCCAAGATGGAGCTCCATACTACTACCCCAGCCCGTATGGAGGCCCATCGCCGCCCGGCGGCCCTGGGAATCCTCGCTTCGCTCAGTTGACCGATTCGACAGGATGGAAGATGATCTATGGGGGTTGGTCGATGTATATCCTGTTCTCTCTGGGGTTTGCATTTGCGGTCGGTCATCACGTCTTCTACAACAGCCTTCACGGGAAGCCTGCCGATGACCAGATCGGCATGATACGCTTCGGCGGTCTTTTGTCGTATGCGGCCAAGGCGTCGTTGGTGGCCGCGGTCGTCTTTGCCTACCGGCAGCAGATCTGGGTGACCGTCATCAACAATGTGCTGCAGCTGAGGACCATCGACAGCCTCTTTGCCGCCGTGGACGAGCCACAGGCATTGTGGAGCTGGGAGCTTTTCAAGAAGGCCCGCATCGCCGTGTGCTTGGCTGTTTTGGCTTGGTCAGTGTCCCTCCACAGCCTTCTCGTTGCGGCTCCCTGACCACCGTAGGTTATTCCCCCTTACCGTCATCTTGACCCCGGCCACCCTCACCGTGGCCCCGCTCACCGAAGTCAGAGACGATCGCTGCCATGGCGTCCGCACGCTCAACTTCGATGGAGAGAAGAAGAAGAACTGGAGACGAGTGGACCGGCTCAACGGCTACCGGGGAATTTCGCTCTCGCTGTGGAACTCGACAGTCCCGGAGTCGATGGGTCTGGTCGACACACCCTTCAACGAGACCTTTTTTGACTACTGGACAGGCAGCAGCGCACCGGTCGAGTTAGTGACCGCCCAGAGTGCACTAACTGGCACAGTCATCCCAAGACGAAATGTCGCTCTGGAAGCTTGTGGTGCCGGCTGGAATTGCAGTTATGAGGTCTCCTTCATGGCCCCTGGGTACAAATGCTCCGAGTTAGCAAGGGGGCAGAAGCTCGACGAGGACGATCTCAAGCGGCAGGGTGTGCCGTTCAACGCCGGCGAATTGGCACCAAACGGCGACTGGGCGTATATAGCTGAGACCAATGTTGGCGAGTACTTTAACGAACAGGTCGAGGTGCTCCCTGGCGGCGCTCCCAAGATGAAACCTCCTTATCCCAAACATCTTGGCGCCCTCAGGACCGAGCCGGTGCTGTGGGTTGGCTATTCCACCCTCACCAGACCGGGAAGACCGCCCGAGAACCGTGATGCCCCCGGGTGGAACACGGATTTTGAGGCCGTTGTCTTCCGGTGCGAGCACTACTTGACTAACTACACTGTCCGATTCAACCACACCTTTTCCGAGCAGGTCACCACCGTTCTCAGGAGAGACCATCTCTATCCCATCATCAACACGACCGTTGTCCCGGGCAAGAACGCCAAAGATGGCACCAAGGATAACACCACAGCCGTCCCTGAATCTAACTACATCCTCCCCATCGACATCGAAACCTACCGTGTCACAGCCGCCTACCACTCCCTCGGGCAGCGCATGCGCGCCTTCATCAACGGCAAGATCAGGTTCTCGCCCTACGTCCAGATTGAGACCCAAGCCTCCAGCACGCCCCTGATCGACTTCGAAACGTACCTCCCCAGCGCGAACCTCATGTCCGAGATGCAGCACTTTTACGAAAACATCACGCTGTCCCTGCTCTCGAACCCGCAATTCGTCATCGTCGCCTGGGCCGCCCAACCCGACCGGCGAAGCGGCATCTCCAACGACACCGTGACGGCCGACCCGGCCCTGTCGTACCCGTGCACCAAGACGCGCGTGGCCAACGCGTACGTCTACAACCGCCGCGACCTGTGGATCGCCTATGCCGTCGCCATCGGCGCGGGCTTGTTTGCCGTCGTGTTGGGGTCGGCCGCGCTGAGCCAGAACAATTTCCATGTGCGCGACGTGCATGTGTCAAGCATCGTCGCTGCGACGCGGGCGCCCTGTCTCGAGGACCTGCCGTGGAAGGCGAGCAGGTGGGGCGAGGTGCCGCGCGAGATCCTTGAGACCAAGCTGGGTTATGGTGTGGTCTCGGAATCGGGACCTAACGGGACGCCTGCCGCGGTGGCGAGTGGTATGGTGTCTGGTATGTGGATGGCTGGGGTCGGCAGTCCGCCCCTGGTGGTTGGCGGGAAGGTGTATTATGGGTTTGCGCCGAAGGAGGTGTTGGAAAGGACGAGGGTGGCGACGTTTGGGCCGGGGAAGATGAGGAAGAGGATGAGTGCTTTTAGTTTTAGGACTTGGGAACAGAGTTACGGGTCGGGTAGCTAGACTGAGTATTTGTACATGGGGGGTCCGAAAGGGTGCATTTGAAAGGCTGGTGTCTGGTGAGGGAATGAGTTTTGGAATGCATTGCTGCGTGGTTTTGTAACGTGTGCTGCCACGCTAGTTCGGTGCATCATTGGGTTTGATATCGCTTTACTGACTGCAGCGTGCAGTAGCATTGACTGGGATTAAATCCAATACCTTGAAAGCACACCTAGTCAATAGTCGCTGTGGGATGCGAGGGCTGGCTAACCATCTGGGCTCATATGATTCTTTACGATTTACCTAACGTTAGTTAATCCTAGTCAAACTCTTGATTGAATTCAGTTCCGAGCCCTCGCTCCTGATCGTGGTTGGTCCGTACTACTCAAGGTGCTGTATCTACGTAGTTAGAGGTGAACCAGTCCAAATAGCTGCTCAGTGCTGACTGGACCCGTGCTAGTCTCATATCCAGGCAACAGACGGCTGGACTTAATCTATAGCAGGGCAAAGATCCACTGTCGTGATTGATTTAGTTGATGGAGTAACTAAGTGGCTGAGTTTGCCTAACCTACCTTAGTACCGGTGTGTTAGCCGTTGACGTGGTCTTCTCTGTAGCCGACTGGAGGCATGTGAGCAAGCACGAGGATATGGAGACTGGCTCCGGCGGGGCGTAGAGTCCAGAACTGTACAGAGATGCTCCGTACAGTTAAGACCACTGGGGGTAGGGCTCACTATGCATTGCAGTATGCACCGTTTGGCGGAAAACTGCCAGCTGTAAAAGCTCCAGACTCGTCTAAAGAGCATAGAAACCGCTGAAAGATGCCAAAATAAGCAACGGCAATATCCGTCGACGTGGGGTTAATGATAAGTGACCTCGGAAGATGGCTTCGGATGTCATCAACGATCGGCTGGTTGCATGAGACAGTCTGGATATGGCTTAGTGTCTCTCAGCCAACTACGTCAAATCAAGTTAGGGTTGATTTCTTTGTGAAAATGCAAAATGAGATGGACATGTGAAAGCGAACGGTCTTGGTCCTATAGGTAGCTTCAAAACGGACGCGACCATTGATACAATGATGCAATGATTAGGCCATCTGCATTCACATGCCTCCATGATCAAGTTGCATGACGTTGTAATTGAACGAGAACGTACATCACTCAGAATTGTGCTCGGGGAAGCACACGGATACCCTACCTACTTCATGCTCGGCCCGAGTACTTGTACAATCCAGCCCTGGTTGGTATGATAGCGTGGAACATACAGGTGAAAAAAGAATGGACGAATGGAAGAGATACGGGAGAATCCAAGAACGAATGTAAGAAACAATGAAGGAAAGAAAGATCAAGAAGGAGATATTACTGAGAGATATGATAAGACGTATGAGAACAGGAGAAGAAAGGTAACAAGAACAAAAATGCTGAAACACAGAAGACGGACCTGAATTGGCAGCGAAAGAAAGCGAAACCACAAAACACTGCAAATGCTCGTTCCGTGCTAACACATAATCTCAAGGTCTTTTTGTACCTTAGCTTATTGGATGAGATAGCGCATAGCGGCCAGAACCAACTTGGAATCCGTCTATAACATACGGTGATGTCGACTCCCGATCGGACACTATCGAACCCTTCATAACTTGAGTCTCCTTGATGGAATTTGAAGCAGCCTGCAGTTAACATATCAAATTTTACCTCAGGTACCTTACTCTTCTAGATACTACTTCAGTGGTCCATTAATAACGGATCAGCCCCTACACTTCACACTTTTGGCACCTGCCAGGCTGCCAGTGTAGATATCTCAAGACGATCACCATCAACACCGCCGCCATGGACGGAGCAAGCGAAGCCGAGAGCCACACCGGCTCAACACTGGCCCCAGAGTTAGATGGCGCCGCTGGGGTGGGCTACGGTTCTGATGGCGCACCCTACCAAGAGCGAGGAGCAAACTGGAATAGAGCCCGCCCCCCCTGGGATAACTCCCAGGCGAACGATGAAAACGGCATCCCCCGCAGCGGCCCAGCCCCTTCATCACGCCGTTCCCACGGCCCATACCCCCGTCTCTCTCGCCCCGTCGAGCTGATGCGGCCGTCGTACGACGTCGTGGTCATAGGCTCCGGGTACGGCGGGGGAGTGGCCGCCAGCCGGATGGCACGCGGCCGACAGAGCGTCTGCGTGCTGGAACGCGGCAAGGAGCGATGGCCCGGTGAGTTCCCCGAGACGCTCCCGGACGCGATGAGGGAGCTGCGCGTCAGCGGCGAGTTCGCTCCGGGGGACAGACGGAGCGTCCCCGGTAAGCTCGTCGACACTGGGAACCCAACCGGGTTGTATCACTTTGCCGTGGGGGACGGGCAGAATGTGTACATGGCCAATGGGCTCGGGGGCACGAGTTTGGTGAATGCGAACGTGTTCTTGGAGCCGCATCCGGACGTGCACAAGATGGATGTGTGGCCCGAGGAGCTGAGGGGAAAGGAGAAATGGACGAGATGTGAGTGTCTTTGAACCCCTCTGTGTGTTTCTGGCTTTGTGAAGACTCTTAAGTCAAGTCTGACGCGCACCCCTCTCAAGACTACGACCGCGCCAAGGAGGTTCTTGAGCCAACCGTGTACCCGGAAAGCTTCCCAGAACTGCTTAAGACCAGCATGCTCAAGGAGCAGGCGAAGCAGATGAGTTGCGGGGACAAGTTCCGGCTGGTTCCCCAAACCACCCGCTTCGAAGACGGACCCAACAGCACAGGCGTCGTCATGCATGCGTCGACCTTGACCGGCATGGACGCCACTGGGATCAATGATGGCAGCAAGTCGACTACTCTGGTGACGTACATCAGCGACGCGTGGAACTGGGGAGCCGAAATCTTCTGCGAGTGCGAGGTGCGCCAAGTGGCCAAGGCCCCTGAGGGCCGGAAAGGGTACATTGTCTACTTTACATGGCGCTCGGGCAAGCGAGACCACTTCATGCCGACTTTCTATGACGACTTGATGTGGGTGCACGCGAAGAAGCTCGTCTTCTTCGGCGCTGGAAGTCTCGGGACGACCGAGATCCTGCTGCGCAGCAAGCGGTTTGGTCTCGATATCAGCAACGAAGTCGGGACCGAGATGAGTGGGAATGGAGATATGCTGGGCTTTGGGCAAGTTCACTTCTCACTGCAGAACTCACATCAACGTCACCAAGCCGGCTAATAACCCGTCTGCCCGGGACAGTTACAACACAGATCGCCCTGTGAATTGCATTGGAAACCCTCGCCCGAACCCAAACCGCCCCGTCGGACCGTGTATCACTGCGTTTATTGATCAACGAGACCAGGACAGGACCCTGGACGGATTCGTCGTCGAAGATTGTGCCGTGCCGTTTGCTCTCGCCCCCATCATGGTTCCCATTTTGGAGTACCTACCAAACCCGAAGCGCCGTTTCTACCGCCCGCTCCAGGCGGTAGCGAAGTATGCGTCACGACTAAGGGGCAAAGTCTTCGGGCCATACTTCGTTCGGGGCAGCGTACAAAACACCGCGGCCTACCTGATTATGTCGCACGACAGCAGCCAGGGCACCCTCACGCTCAGGGAAAACACGCCCGTGCTCTCGTACTCGGGGGTAGGCCGCTCCGAGTCCGTGTCTAGGATCCATGGATTCCTGGAAACCATGACGGAAAAAGTCGGCGGCATGTTTGTTGCCAACCCCGTTTGGACCCTCTTTGGCAAACACGAGATTACGGTTCACCCCATGTAGGTTGCCTCTCCAGTTTAAGAGTGCAACGACAGAACGCATTTCTGACTGATACATCCCACAGGGGTGGAGCACGCATCAGCCCAGGCGGCACGGGCAAAGATGGCGTGACAAACCACAAGGGTCAGGTATTCAAGGGCGATGGGGCTGAAGTGCATGAAGGCCTAGTGGTCTGTGACGCCTCCAACCTGCCAGCGGCCCTGGGCGTGAACCCGTTTGCTACGATCACTGCACTCGCGGAACGGTCTGTCGAACTCGCTGCCGAGGACCAACACATTTCCATAAATTACGGCACCAAGAACGGTAATCTTCAACGAGATGATCCGTGGAAGACGAACTGCTGATGATGGAGATACAGGGATCTTGAATTTGTTCGACAGCCCCAAGTATCCCGTGACCACGAATGAACATGAAGACCAAGGCATTGACCGGCTGGCGAATGTGATTGCCAAGGCCAAGGACAGCGCGAAGGCCGGAGTAGAGTTCACCGAGGTCATGTCCGGATTCATTCACGCAGGGGGCGAGGTGGAAGACTTCGAAGACGCCGCGAAAAAAGCCCGCAGCTACGGCGAAGCCGCGCGCTTCTTCCTTACCGTGAAATCATGGGACGTCTCGGAATGTGAGTTCTCCAGCTCTGCTGCCATGGAGAGTTAGCGCTGAGGTCATGAAGTGGTCAATAGCAGTCTCCATCCAGCCAACCTGACCGGAACCTTCGCCTGCAGCAGTCTTGGAGGGACGTTCCTCGTCCAGCGAGGTACCTTCCGGGTGTTCCATCACGACTCGAGAGAGCCCGACACCACAAACCTGACGTATGACTTCGACATGGTGTCAACGAGCGGCAGGAAGCTGCATTTCTACGGCTACAAGACCGTCAACCCGGCGGCCTTCCTTGCTCCGGTGCGCATCTGGCAGCAGACGAGTACGCTGTATGTCACAATCAGGGACCGCAGCGACACGGCAGAGGACCGTCGCGGCGAGGTCGTCGGGCGCGGCATGCTGCACGTTCAGCCGGCCGATTTCTTGAAGGGTCTCACGACCTTCCAAGCAAGCGGGCCGTCCTCCTGGGCAAGGCTTAGATCTGTGGCAAGCTATGTCGGCTTCTTTACCAAGCAACTTGCCGTTCCCTTCCTCGCCCCGCTCGGCCGGCTCCAGTGGCCAGGCGCGCGGATAGCCGAAACATACCTGGCGACACCTCCGTCCCAATCCATGCGCGTAGTGGCAGCCGACGGGGTCGAGTCGACGATGCTCATGTGGGACCCAGCCGTGCCAAAGAGCGCCGGTGGGCAGCAACCAAGTGCGCCGGCACCCATCATCCTCTTCATCCCGGGAGCGGCAACCGACCACACCATTTTCGCCCTGCCTACCATCGAAAAGAACGCCGTCGACTACTTCCGTGAGGCCGGTTACCGAGTATACTGTGTCACGCACCGCGTCGGCCGCACCCCCGTGGCCCGGAAAGGATACACGCCCTACGACGCGCGTCGAGACATTCGCGCTGCGCTGGAACACATCCGCAAGACGCAAGGCGGAGAAAAGATTTATGTGGTTGCGCACTGCGCCGGCTCATCAGCCCTCGCCTGCGGTCTCCTCGACGGCACGATTCCCGGAAAATGGATCCGGGGAATTACTTGCTCCATGGTCTTCATGAATCCCAAGTTCGGTTTCGTCAACCACCTGCTCTCCAATCTTCCGGTGACGTTATACAGCAAACTTGTCAGCCCGTGGTGGGACTGCACCAGCGACCGCAATGACACGTACCTGCAGCGGCTGATCAATCAGCTCCTGCGCTTCTACCCCGTGGGCGACCCGCGCGAGACGTGCAGGTCTGTCGTCTGCCACAGGAGCGAGTTAGTTTTTGGCCGGTAAGTAATCTTCCCGTCCTAACCAACCGTCTTGACACTCCCACGGAGTGAGGGGCACACCCAGCTAACCCCAGTCCCGCCGGGGGCCCGCCCACAGCCTCTGGACACACAAAAACCTCAACTCGGAGACGCACGAGCGTCTGGAGCACTTCCTCGGGGGCACCTCGATGAACTCGCTCGAGTGGCTCATGCGCGCGGGACGCGTCGAGTGCGTGACGACCAACAAGGGCGAGAACCTCGCGACGCCCGAGAACATTGAACGGCTGAGGGGCATCCCGATCCTGTTCCTGTCTGGCACGGGCAACCGAGTCTACACTGCCGAGAACACCGACAAGTCTTACTCGATCCTGTGCAACGCCCACGGCAAGCACTTGTACGACCGCAAGGTGTTCCCGGACAAGGGCCACTTGGATGCCTGGATGAGCCCCACCGCTTACCGGGATGTGTACCCGACTGTTCGGCAGCATGTTGAGTGGGTTATGAAGAATCTGTAGATTCGGCGAGGATGGAGATAAGGTTGCTCGGAAAGTGCAAAGTGCTCAGATTGTAAAGGTAGCTTGCTTGTATCTGTGGTTCCTTCACTGTAATACACGCCAGTACAGTACCAATGTTCCATCAATCTGCAACCATGGCCACATTTTTTTCCCACATTGCAGGCTAACGTAACCTATTACCTGTTCGGCCATATACGCTGCTTGACCACTCAGTTCCCAAGCAAAGCACAACAAACAGCACGACAACCAGTGCGGCATCAACTCATTCAATTCAAGCCCAGGTAGCACCAAATATGTATCATTCGAACCACTCAATCAGCGAAAACAAATATCCCTATCATTACCCTCCCCAAAGGCCACATCGTCCTTAAGGACTACCCTCTCTTCGAACCCCTATAGTATAGCGCTCTGATCCACTAAAATATAGTGGAACTCGAAGGTCGGCCTTCGCTCTGCTGGTGTGGCGGCGGCTCGGGGTCGTTCTTCCTGTTGGGAATCGTGACTGTGATGTCGATAGGAGCTGAAAAGTGGTGTTCGGGAAAAGTTGAGAAAGTTGTGTTGCTCTAGGAGAGATGTTCTGATGGTGTTGGAGAGTCGCGGTACCCTGAAACGCTTGTTGCTGAAACTCACCAAAGGATGGATGGAATTTATTTCGCCCGGAGGCGCGAAGCCTAAAGGGCCTTAACTCACCAAAGGCACTATATTGATCACTTCGATCTCCACGAGTGTCACGAGGCCCCAGTTTTTAAGCGCATTACTCGTCGGGGCTTCGAAATCGCCGATCCGACTATAATATTGAAATTATTTGCAGCTTCGGTATCTGGCCATCTCAGCAACTTCCCGTCGATTTGCAGTGATTATCGCGTTTCTATTCTACTCCGTCCACACCTCAGTAATCAAGGTAGTTGCTCTGCGCGTGTGGTAGTTGCCGATCAGCACCACCACTGTTGGCTGCGACAGACAGCTACCGCGGATTACATCGACCGGCGACAGGCCAATACTTGAGTCTCTTGCAACATCGCTGGCGACATGGTAGCTATATATTTTTTTTCTCGCATCTGTGATGACACGCCAATTTCTTCTGCGCAACTTTCACGCCATTTGACGCCATTTCCTGCAGTGCCGATTACCTACCAAGGAGTACCAACGACGACGACCACGACGATAAGGAGGGCATTGCTTTGTACAACATATCCATTCCACCATGTTTTCATGCTCAAACGGTAGCCGACTTGGTTGAATTCTTGCTTGGCTGGGGATTCGTGTCTCCCTTCTGCCAAGAGACGAGATCATGGTACCCATATGTCTGAGGAATCATCGGACTGTTGAGCTTCGCCGCCTCGGACGGCGGCGGCCGCCGGGGCGGGCGGACAAACTTCCACGCTGACTTGGTGGCGTCGACCGCCCACCTGAAGACGCCCTTCTTTGCACGGGCGGCAGCCGCTGCCTGTTTGTCATCCCCGTCCCTTTGCCACTTTACCAGCTGCTCGGTGATTCTGATGAACAAGCGCTCCCACATTCCGATGTGCTCTTCGGGCAGCTCCTGCTCGATGCCGTCTTTGGTGCGCTTCCATACCCAGTACGATCGCGGCTCCGGGAGCTGGCACAGCTTGCCTTCGTGCGGCTGCTCCACCTTGACGAGGGGATTCTCGTCCGTCCCGGCCGCGGTGTCGGAGGGGAGCACGCCGTCGTAGTAAGGCGTGACAGGACCGCGGAGGCTGTAGTAGGCGGCCTCCGCGATGGAGTCGTGGCCTTTCCGTATCTGGATGGCGGGGCCATCGCGCCGCTCGAGGCGGTAGCCCCTCTCGGTCAGGGCGCGGCATGTCCAGGGGCCGGCGTCGTCCAGGTTTAAGCCACCGTATAGGTACCGAATACGGACGCAGGGATGCACGAGCTCGTTAGGGTTGACGAGCTTCTCGCGCTTGTCATCGACATAATCGCCGGGTGTGCGTGTCGGGTAGTCCGTGGTGCCCCGAGTGAGCATGCGATAGGGCGCGGCGATGTAAGACCAGATCTTGTCGGGGACGGCTGTGAGGCCGGTTGGGTTGCGGATAAGGCCCAGCGCCCAGTGGCGTGCTCTGGCCTTGGGATGCATGGAATAAAAGATGCGGCTCATTTCTGTCTCGCTGAACTCGACCCCGATGGAAGTGAGTTGGTCGGCCATCCCTGTATTAACTCCGGTTAGCCCTGGCCGGTGCACTGTGCAGTAAGCTTCGAAGGCTGTGGATAACGGCGCCTACATACATGCAAGGGCAATGGTGGCAATCTGCTGGTCCTCCCAGCCTCCACCGACATTGCCGTGGTTGCCAGGGAACCAAACCTGGCGCAGCCGAGTATTGTTGTTGCCTCGTTTTCCCCACAGGGTGCAGTTAAACACCTGCCGCCACTCATCTAGAGCCATCGCGTGGAACGCGTAGTTGACCCCGCGATGGACATTGGGGTTTAGGAATCGGATCTGTCTGTCGGATCAGCGCTTGCTCCCAATATCTCACGGGATCGAGGACGCGCCTCTCGACCTCTACGGCGGTGCCACAAAGGGAGAAGGCGTGGGATGCCCAAGCTCCCCACCGTGTCCCACACGCAGACAGCCTGGACATGGCCCGCGATAGGCTCCCAGTGCTTCCTCCGTTGTGTACATAACAACATCAGATACTGCATAGCGCACGGTTAGCTTGGTTCGTGACATACGGAGACGCTTTATAAGGGAGAGGCGATCGAACCTTGTCGAGCATCTTTCTATACTCATCAGCCATATCATTAAGCCTATCCTCTCCTTTCAATCGTGCCATCTTCTCGTACAGTGCCTTCTTTTTGGCACTGAGATCCAGCGCCACCTTCTCGTCGGGCACCACGTTGGCCACCTCATCAGTCCCATCGCGCTGAGCCTGCTTCCCCCTGCCTGCGGCTTCGAGTCTCGCGATTTTTTTTGCATTCTCCAGAGTGAAGCCCACGAGGTGCTTGTTTTCGTCGAATGCCTGCCTGTTCCATTTGTGCCAAGTCCTATAGTCGTCGTAGATGTGTGGGAACTGGTCAAGGCCTGCGCCGTTGAGGAATCCGAGGGAGCAGACCATTTGAGCGACGGAGCGGGCCGTGAAGGCGCCACGTGAGAAGCCGATCAGGATGATTTCGTCCCCGAAGCTATAGTTGTCGCAGATGAAGCGGTACGACTCGGCAATGTCCCGGACAATGCCGCCGCCCGTAGCCCCCTCAACGATACGCGCTACCCTGGACGACTCTGTACTGCCGACGCCTGGGTGATAGTAAACCACCTGTGGCATGCCCAAGCAGTCCTTCCGCGCAAAGGCTGAGGAGAGCCGGCTGACGTTGGTCGGGGGGTTGGTTGCAACATTGCTGTGAGTTTTGTCAGATACTAGAAAGATAGCAGAGTCCTGGATTTGAACTTGTGGTCCCACCTATTATTCCATGTTCCATCGCAGCAGACGATGAGACGCTTCCTGATGGCAGCTCTGCCCGGCCTCAAGCTGCCGTCGGAGTCCAGCACATCTGCATGGTGGGCACAGCTAACTTGTACAGGAGCCATGTCGCTAATGCCGCTCACATTGAGAAGGTGTACGGGGACCTCAACATCGGTCCTACTTTAGGCGTTATATCCGTAGAATATGGCGGTCCAGACGTGCTCTGCACCCGCCAGAGTCTGGCTCCCTACCCACTATTTACTAGACTCCGACTCTGTATCTGCAATGCTGATTACTGATATGCAACTCAGTGATGGTCCCTAACTGGTTGTCTAGTTACTGAGGTTGTGTTGTCTGATATTTGGGACGATGACGGCGATGACGAGAGACTCTCGTCAGTCCCGTCGTTCACGGTTGATGCGTTGGTCCGGGTATCGGTGACGCTGCACGATGGTCAACGTCAGTGCAATGATCGATTTCGTCAAACAGTCGACACTCGATCGATCGAGAACTTGCGCGTGCTGCGGCCACAGCACGGCAGCGAAACAGGCACTAGCTAGAAAAGTCTTGAGAAATTAACCGTCAAAGTCCCACAATGGGATTGGCAAAGCGTAGAGGCTATCAGATGTTACCTTAGGTTTGCAAGCTACCCACTTGAGGTAGTCAATGGTCTCTTTCATTAGTGGTTGTCTGTTCAATGATTGATCCCACGCTGGCCTACCTTACAGATACCAGTCGGCCGCGAGCATTTGTATCGACGCAGGGTCGGTTGCCGACCGTTGTTAGTCCGTTGGTGAACCGGCGGACTGCTCAGCATTACGGTACCCTAATGTTATATGGACTAGTTAATGGTTACGGAGGACAGGCCCGGGCCGTGGTTGGGCCAGTGGCATAGGAATAGCCCTGTCCCCTCTGCAGCTGGCTGATACATGTAGGCTACGCCATGCTTCCACCGTTCTGTCTGCTGAGCCATCGACCAAGCGCGTGGCAGTCAACCGTCAATTGCTGATTACCGGGTGCCAACCTCCAGAAAATCCATCTCAGTAACGCTTGGTTGTTTTTGAAATACATCACACAACCCACGACATGGCCGAGTATCTGAATCGGTACGCCCATCTGATCCGCTATGCAGACTTGGCTTACAGGAATTCTGATGGCGCCGAGTTCCGGGCTCTGGCGTGGGAACTGGGCTGCAATGATGTTGAAGGAGGGCATCGCAAGATCGAGATTCAATTGCCGAGCTTCCGCTCCGCGCTCAGATTTCTCACCGTCAATACCCATGTACATCTGGGACAGAATGACGATACACTCGTCCTCGTGTTCAGAGGCACCGACTGGCCCTCGGCCATGATCGACTTCTTCAACCCACAGAAGTGGTGGGGGTTTGCCAGCAATACCTGGACCAATCTCGCGTTCGGTTTGTCTGGGGACATCAACTGGCTCCCTCGCAACTACGTCGAGAAGAGACCCATACTTGTCCACGAAGGCTTTTTGTATGCTTTCAACGATCTTCTATCCGACGACAAGCTTGAGCAAAGCATTCATTGGCTCGTCAAAGATGGGGAACCAACCAAGATTGAGGTCTGCGGCCACAGTCTGGGTGCCGCGCTGGCTACCCTCTGCGCAGCGTGGTGCAGAATCAAGTGGCCCAACGCAGACATTACCTGCGTCACTCTCGGATCGCCCCGCGTCGGCAATGAGGCTTTTGGCAGCCTTTTTAAGGACACCAAGACCTTCCGCATCATGATGGACGCCGACCCGATCCCCACCGTCCCGGACCGACGCACCCAGGCTATACCGACCGTAATCCCGGCCAGCCACCAGCGCGGAATGCCGCCCGCCGACCGGAGGTACCGCCATGTTGGCACTCCAATCGTGCTGCGGACGCGCTACCGCGAAGCCGATTATGGGGTCGAGCGTCGCGATGTCGAAAGAGAGGAAGCCGAACCTGAGCTCGGCTGGATCGACTGGTTGTGGATTCTTGTTTATTGGCCTATAAGAATTCTGGAGATGCTGTCGGAGATGCGAAGGAGTCACGCGTCTGGCGCGTACGTGACGGCCGTACAGCGGATCAAGGAGAAGGCGGGCAGCAAGGCATTGAAGGCAGATGGTGCGTCCCAGATCTGGTCCCCCACTTTTTTCCATAATGGACCTCTCAGGCTAAGAGTGACGCTAGGGGTCCGAAAATCGTCGAGGGATGGGGAATGAAATTGGGGTTGGTGTTGGAATTGTTCTGGGGCATCGTGTGGTTGGTTGCCAGTGGCGGTCATTGACAACTGGAAGGATGGCATTGAACTTGGACAATCGCAGGTGAGCTTACGTTCGTGCGTAAAAGACGCGGGCAATCGGAGTGGAGGATAAGACCCGAATTCAAGATACCGTTAGCTGTCTGGGTATTTCCTGGTACTGTATGTTAAATTTCCTACGGCGGGGGTTTTGAAGGGAACTTTTAACCTAGGGTTGCGAATTTTCGGAAAAATGTCTGACTATAGAAAATGAAAACAGAGCCTTGAAAGTTGACTTCCATATATTTTAGCATCTCCTATTAACGTATTTTATATGCAAATGACCTATATAGAAGAGTAACTCGCCTTATCAGATTTCAGTTAAGCTGTATGCAAAAAACTATTGAAAGATTGTCAGAGGCTCTTACTAAATTCTTAGGTATTTTTATGTAACTAACGTTAGCTCATAACGATGTGGTAAAGTGGGGTTCCAAAAGTCTGTTACCATCCCATCCTGAATCCCCAACCACTCAAATTACCCAGCGCTGGTACTTCTGACTTAACAAATCATAACTTAGTATACAAAAATCCAGGTAAGAACCTAGCTAGTACATCTTGTAGCCCTGATTCCAATTACTAATACTTAGTGTACCAGCCCCTAGCTTTTTTGACTGCAGCCAGCCGACGTGGGACTGAATCAATCAGACGGTCGATGTCAGCCTGATCAATC